AATACTAGGCCGTTGGCTACAGCTTGCTTCAAAGCACGGTAATGGAGAACATGCTTTCGCTTCGGTAGAAGGGTAGTTAGAAGCTTCGGCTCTTTTGACCCTGGTGGCTTTGAGCGTTCAGGACAAAACGGAAAATCACTATGTTTTTCATGAAGTTCTTCCGGATAATCTAAGTCGACTTCCAAAATGTAACCTATTGGCCCATCATCTGGAACGTTAAAATCAAAAGAATTGTCAATATTTTCTTCCCACTCAAAGCCACCATATGGAAGTGATTGAATCATGGCCCAACCATACAAGTTATTTGCGTCAAAGTATACGATGTAAGATGTTTCCTCATTTTCATTATATTCTTCCATGTAAGGATTATTTGCTTTTGCGTACCGATTGGTACATTGACTTATTCCACCTCTAATTCCACGTTCAACAAACATCACCATATCAATGTCTGTGAGGAGTTCCAATTTTATATTCGTATACTTTAACATAGCATCCCATGTTAAACCTGGTGTTGTATAATAATGCGCTGCATCAAGACCGTATGCGAGTAAACACTGATTTCGGAAATTTTCGAAAATATCTGCAAGTAACAGTACATCTGTTTGCATATACAAATACACGTAGTCGCCGAGATTTTGACAATTGAATTCGGTCCACACTTTCTGCGCATGTGCATAATCTTCGTCGGAAACATTTGAATCATTTAACGTACTATAAAATTTTTCTTTTGGTGGTAATTGAGTCTCTTCAAGTTTTTCCCGTGAATCAATATATTCGTAAGGAAAAACTCCTTTACGAGTTAACAATTTAATTTTATCGTTGCTGTAATTAAAAAATACTGAACTTACAATTTTGTATTCATCGAGGTAGGACGCTAATTTGTCCAATGATGATGCCATAAATTTAAATGAATCAATAAAGCGAAATTTTATAACACTATCCTTAATATTTTTTGTAAAACTGATATACTTCTCTTTATTTATGGGAAGCAGATCAACTTTGCCTTCAAATTCCGTAGCAATAGATTCAATTATGAAATGCGCGTCATAACCACTCAGGTTATGAAAAACAACAGGTATAACCTGTGATTCGTGATAATTAATGTTGCACTCTTGATGCGCGGGCCCACGATACTTCCCTGTTAGATGACAGTGGTCTCTTACTTTTACATCCCCATACTTGATTTTCTTTCTACAAATATGACATGTATTTACATTTCTAAAATCAACCAGCTCTTGTCGACTTAGCACTTTCATTGGAATAGGGTTTTTAAATCTCATATTAAGATTATCTGATAAATTCTTTAACTCCTTTGAAAACCACTTTGCAGGATTCTCCTCATCTATTGGAGATGCTTTGTACATGGACAATGAGTCATCAAAACCACACTTCAAGTAGTAACCAATACTGAGCGTTTTATGATTTTGGAAAACCTCAGTATTATTGATCTCTTGTGGTATATCAGCAGGAATTAATAAACTCTCACAATCCGCATAAATAATAAAAGGAACACGCTCCTTGTTCTGGAAATTTTTAAATTCAACAAAATTTTTTCCTTCTTCCGGTAGCCTAATTCTTGTCTCGTTCATTTTTCTACAATTTTCTTCATGGCTTGTAAGCTTTTGTTCATTAAGAAAATAGTGTAAACAGCGATCACATATGTACTTTTTATTTTTCTGCTTTGATAAATCCGAACTTACTAGTCTCGATAAGTCCTTTATCCAGACATAATGGTAGTTGAATGAAATGATAGTTACATTATCAGACTCCCTCTCTTCATCATCAATAAGATTTTCATCTATGTAGTGGTCTTCAATTAGTAACATATTTACATGAGTAAACTTTTTTTGAGATGAAAGATGTAGAGGTGAAACGGTAAACTTTTTATCTCTTTTGCTAAGACCGTATACATTTACTGAAATGTTGTTCAGAGCCTCAAATTTAGAAATATCTTTAAGTGCGACAGGAAATTTAATTCCAGTAAAATTAAGCGTTTCTTCATACTGTCTGTATTTTGAAACGCGGTCAGCATCTCTCAAAGGTGGGTATAAAGCTGATAGTATTGCCCATTTAAAACACTGATTATCTATGTTTTGCACATTAATACAGGCTTTTTTACGTTTTATTGGAAGTGGTAAGTCAATGTAAGAACTTGCGCGCATAGGGTTGTACTTGTTAATGTTAACCTCTAATCTTTGAATCGAATCAAGTTTCCAATTAGAATCTTTCTCTTGGAACTCTTCAATTCTTCTCAAAGTAACTTGTTTAACATTAACATTATACCAGTCATCTAACGGGGTTGTATTTAAGATTTCAGCAGTTTTTGCGGTAAATGTTTTTAAATCAGATATTTCTTCTCTACCATCTATTGAATCTTTTTTGAATTTTGCACCTAACACGGTATATACTTTTATTGGACCAAATTTGTTTAAAGCTTTTTCAATATTAATCTGAAATAAAACAAAAGCATCATCAAGGAACTCATTAATGTCCTTGTAATCTACATTAATGATAGCACTACTTTGTAATCGACCCTCAAAAGCCTCATCAAAATTCACCCACTTTATTCTGTCATTCATTTGCACTCCTGCACCACGCTTCATTAACGCATCAAAATTGCAACGCAAGTATTCAAGCTTTTGGCATAAATTTAGATATCTCGATTTTTGATGTGGGAAAAAATCAAATTTACGCGAAAATGTTCTCATTACATTTTTATAACGTTGACACTTGTTTTGCCATTCAAATGCGTTAACAAATCTATCATCTCCAGTCTTTCCCATAGTGGAGATGAGTTGATTTTCCGCGATTTTTATAAAATTGTCACATTCTTGGCAAACTTCATTGAATTCATTTACCTGAATTCGTTTCCGTGATTTTTTTGGAGAATTAACCTTTGGCATTTTTTTTTTTTACAAACGAAGAATCTTAATTCTAAACCTTAAAACGTATAACGAAAACCCTAAGACTAAGAAAAAAAAGAGATACAATATATACACTTAAACCTAAAACAAAAGAACAAACCTGAAACAAAAGAACAAACCTGAAACAGAAGAAAATCTGAAACAAAAAAAATAAGAAAAAAAAACTGAAACAGACAAAATAAAACAGAAGAAAAAAACTGAAATAAAAGTATTAAAAAGTGTGGAAAAATCTTCTTGAACTGCTACTCTTCTCTATAGACGATCTATGCTGTACCTGTGAACACAAGATAATGCTGCTGGTGGCTTGCGCTGCCCGCCTTATACCCTGTTCCCCACTATGGCGCACCCCACCTCAACCGCTCCCCACTATGGCGCACCCCACCTCAGCCGCTCCCCACTACCTAACAGCCGCGCGCAACTAAACACACCCATCCCTGCGCGCTCCGCTGACAGGCGCGTAAAGCCTGGGGATTCCCCGAACTAACCGAATGAAATGAAGTGTTGATAGATCAGGGTGCAACTACTTCCAAGCAAATTTAAATAAAGACGCCATCATTGGCGCTAAAATTTAAAACGCCCCACTTCCAATACACCTTTTTAAGTTTATAATTTTTAAGTGAGGCCATCTATTGACGGCAACAGGTAATAATTCGGTAGGTAAAATTTGCGAGATATTTAAAAATAACAACTTCCTAGACATTGAAAATTATTTTAAAAAATAAAGTGGTGCCATCTACCGGTGACAATGAGAATTAAGACGGCCGGTATAAAAGAACACAATATTGCAAGGCAGGTAAAAATGGGTGAGAAAAAAATTACCAAATTCGAAGCAATTTTAAATTGGCCGCCAAAAAAAGTGGCGCCATCTAGCGGTGGCAACGAGAATTAAAACGATCGGTAAAGAAGAACACAGTATTGCAACGCAGGTAAAAATGTGTGAGAAAAAAAAATTACCACATTGCAAGCCAGTTTAAATTGGCCGCCAAAATAAAGTGGCGCCATCTAGCGGTGAAAATTAGAACTACACCACATTGCAACGCAAGTAAAAATGGGTGAGAAAAAAATTACAACATTGCAAGCCAGTTTAAATTGGCCGCCAAAATAAAGTGGCGCCATCTAGCGGTGAAAATTAGAACTACACCACATTGCAACGCAGGTAAAAAATGTCGGTAAAACAGATTCCTACTTTACCGACCTCGGTCGGTAACTGCGCTAGAACCCGTGTTGCTATACTACTTATTAATATTATATTAAATAATTATTTAAATAAATACATTTTTAAATTTGCCGTTTATAATTAACAAATAAATAAATTATTAGAATTTTTAGGCGCCAATATTATAATTTTATTAGAAACGGAAATAGAAATTAAAAAATATATTTATTTAAATAAAAATTAAAATTAAAATTAAAATTAAAAAATTAAAAATTAAAAATTAAAATAAATAAAATAAAAAGTAATACTGAATAAAAGTATAGAACTTTTAAATTAATTACAATGTAATAAAAATTTATTTTTTAAATAATTCAATCGTTTGTCTTCTGTATTCGATAAAAAAAACTGTTCTATATTTGCAATTCAAAAAAGCAAATTTTAATTACGATAATTACGATAAAAGGGGAAAAAATATATATATTTTTTTTAATTGGTTTTGTCCGATTATTCAAATTCAGTAAAATAAAAGAATTGATCTTCTTGGTTTAATTTGCAAGAAACTCTTGTATAAATTAATGAAAATCGATAAAATTTTGCATAGCAATGTTTTATATGTAATATTATTAAAATTTCATAATCTTCTGCAAATAAAGATCCTCTTATATTTTTTTAATTTACACCTGCATTTTATTAATAAAGAATTTAAAAAAAATTAATAAAAAATTTAAAAAAAATTAATAAAAAATTATAAAAAATTAATATAAAAATTAATTTAGTAAAATTAATATAAAAATTAATTTATTAAAATTAATATAAAAATAATTTTGTAAAATTAATTCAGTAAAATTAATATAAATGGCGAGAAAGAAATTATTATTTTTTTTTTAAATTAATTGAAATTATTTATATTATATACTTACACCTAAAAAAACATCTTGAGTACCGAGCGATTGTTTATATTTCATTTCATATTCCGGTCTAACTCGTGGATCACGCTGCTGTTGAAAATATTGAAATTTCTTTGTTTCCGCAGCATGCCAAATATCCTTATTTTCTCTTTGTACAGAACCACAAGAATCTTCATATCCATCTTCTTTTACTTTACACATCTTCATATGACTACTTCCTAAAAAAACAAAAAATTTAATTTTTTTTTCTCATAAACCAAAAAAAAAAATTTACACTTTTTTTGATAAAAAATTCTTTTGAAAATTCAATTCTTTATTCTATCATTAAATTTAGTTTTTATTTTAGTTTAATATTGAAAATTATTAAAAAACGAAAAATATTGTAAATATTACAAAAAAATTTTCTTAATATTGAAAAATATTTATTTTTTCGAAAATAATTTAAAATTATTAATTATTAATTATTAATTACTAATTATTAATTATTAATTATTAATTATAATAATTTAAAAATAACATTTATTTCAGAAAGGTAAAAAATGGTTATTACAAAAAAAAATTTTTTTTTCAGTGATAATTACATTTGAAAAATATTTATAAAATGTAAACCGAATTACCTGAAGTTGTCGGTACAGATTGTGTTACATCGTCGTCTGAATTTTTCGTTGGCTGCGATAATAAGTTTTGTAATTCTTTTATTTTCTCAAAAGTAAATAGACCTTCCATATTTCATGAGAGAATTTGAGAAAAAAAAACTTTACGTCAAACTCCAAAAGCGGACAAAAAAGAAAACGATAATAGCAGAAAGTTTCACAAGTGACAGACCTTAAACAAATTTTCGTTGTCATGACAATCACACAGAAGAACACTAACGCCTGTTATAATTTCGTTCTAATTTTTTTAATTTTTTACTTTAAAAAATTGCATTAATTTAATAATTAAATTATAAATTAATTAAAATAATTTTATTAATTAATTAAAATAATTTTATTAATTTAATAAATTTCAATTATTAATTAAAGTTAATAATTAATTACAATTTTTTTATATCTTTTTTTTTAATTCATTACAATAGAATTAATTAAAAAATTATTATTTACATTTTTGTATAAATTAAAAATTTCCAAATTTATGAAACTCAATTAAAAAGTAATTAGAAAAAAAAATAGAAATAATTATTAATTTTAATTTGGGAGTTTAGAAAATATTTTTTTTAACAATTAGAAGATTTTTAAACGACAATGAATACTAACAATAGAATAATTATTCCAAAAATTGGAGGAACTTGAAAATTTTTTTTTTTTGATAATTCTTTTTAATCGTCGATTTTAAAAAGTCAATGACATAATAATAGAGGCACCAGCATAAAATTTGTATCCTTTCTTGTTTCTATGGTAATTAAAAAAATGCTTATTGTATAAAAAGACCTTTTCAATAATTTTTAAGCGCATTTTTAAATTACAGCTTCCATAATAATCAAACAATGAGTAAAAAAATTTTAATTATTTTTCTATTCATCGTGAATACAGTGAAAAGTTTTAGTGATCAAAATGACGTTGAAATTGTTTTTCTACCAATTCAAAATGTTAAACGTGAACTTGAGGTATGTAATTTTAATTTAATTTTATAATTAAAAAGGAATTATTTAATTAATTTTATTAATTTAATTTAATTTAATTTAATTTAATTTAATTAGAAAGATGTAAACCGGAAGTTCGTCCGAAACCGAAAGGTGTGGACTATGAATAAATAAAAAAAAATAATAAAAATAATTAATTTAATTTAATATTAATATTAATAATAATTTAATTTATCATAAGATAAAAATAATTTACAATTCTTTATGTAATTTAAATAAAAAAATTTTATTTTCCGAATTTACAGATCCCGTTGAGTTTCGAAGTTTTCGATCGAAAAATCGATTTATTACTAAAAAGAAATGATAAATTATTATCATCAAATTTTCAAGTATGGAGACAAACAAATAAAGATTTTCGTGAAGAAATTCAAGAATTAAATTCACCAGAATCGTGTCATTATTTAATTGAAGATGATAATAAATCGGCTGCAATTAATTTCTGCGAGGATCGTAAAATGGTAATAAAAAAAAAATCGCTTTTTATACCTCCAAAAAAAAATAATTCTCATGATGAATTTTGTCATTTTCAGACTGGAATTATTTTTCTCGACAACATGGCTTTGGAAATAATGCCAATAGAAAATAATGCATCATTTTATAAAAATAATAATATAAACAATAAACAATTGGAATATTTAAAAATTCCTCATATTATAAAAAAATTTTCACCACCATCTAATGTGACAATAATAAAATTAAATGAAATTAAAAGAGAAATTATTAATTCACAATTAACAATGGAATTGGCATTATTTTTCGATGAAATGGCTTATAAAATATTTAAACCATTTTTTAATGATGATGAAAAAAAATTACGCGATATGTTATTGGCATATGTAAATGGAATTCAAGCAATATATCATCATCCAAGTTTGGGTGTGAAAATAAATATTATTTTAATACGTCTCGAAATAATGAGACAACAACCAAGAGAATTACCACACTATAATGGTGAACGTGGTTCATTATTGGATTCATTTTGTCGTTATTCGAAAATTTACAATCACATCAATGATTCAAATCCAAATCATTGGGATATTGGATTATATATATCGGGACATGATTTTTTTGCAATTGAAAATGGAAGAAAAAATAATGTCACAATGGGATTGGCAACAGTTGGCGGTATTTGTCTCGAGGATTATTCTTGTGTTATCGCTGAATTTGGAGTTAGAAATACATTTGGAAAACCATATCCATCGGCGGGATTTACTTCAGTTTATATTGCAGCTCACGAAATTGGACACAAGTAAAAAAAAATGTTCTTTTTTCTTTTTTAAAATTCAGGCTTCGAAGTGTCCACTTTTTTCTTTTTTTATGCAAAAAAAAAAATTTATTTAATTCAAATAATCGGTTACTTGACTATTATCAAATAAATATTTATTTGTATCAAATAATTGTTGAGTCAATTAAATTATATTTGTTTCATACAGAAATTATTGTTTCAAATACAGTTTATTTAATTCAATTATTTGATTTCAAAAATTATTTGGTTCAAGTAAATATTTATTTGATAATAGTCAAGTAACCGATTATTATTTGAATCCAATAAATTTTTTTTTCAGTGTAAGAAAATTATAATAAATTAATTATAAATTAATACAAATTGTCAAGTAAAATTTCAATTAGTTTTGAAAAATTTCCATTGAATTTTTTTTCAAAAGTTGTAAAATAAATATTCCTTAAACATTTCAGCTAATTTCAAAAATATCCGCAAACATTTTTCACAAAAATCCAATTATTTAAAAAATTCTTAATCATAATTCATTGAAAATTCAATTACTGCAAAAAACTTTTGATTAAAATTCTTTAAAAATTCAATTATTTAAAAAAATTTCAATCACTTTCTTTAAAAATCTCATTACAGACCTCGGATCAAACAAATTTCGGACAATAATTAAGTTTTACAAATTTTTAAATTCTTTTTTTTTTAATTAATTAAATTGCACAAGATTTTAAATTTTAAATAAATTTTCTAAAAATAAAAAATCGCTATGGTTTTTTTTCTGTTTTTAATTTTTTACAACAATTAAATTTTAGAGTTTTTATATAAAACATTTTTAAATAATTGAATTTCAAAAGATTTTGTTTAAATTTCAAGCAATAATTAAATTTTACAAAATTGAAACTTCGGTAAAATATTTTTAAAAATATTTAAAAATATTTTTCATTAAATTAGATGGAAATTTTTTAGAAATAATTAAAATAATTTCACAATTTTCAATTAAAAGTCTTTGATTATTCAATTATTTTTAGACTGATGAATTAAAATTAAAAAATTATTATTTTCAAAAACTTCAAGTTCAGCTTTTGTTTTAAATAAATAAATTAATTAATTAAAAAATTATTTTTAAATATTTAAATTAAAAGTTATTGATGATTTAATTATTTAAAATAATTTCAATGAAATCTTTTGAAAAATTTAATTATTCTTAAAAATCCCAACTAAAATTTTTCCAAAATTTAATTATTTTCAAAAGTGTCAATTTATTTAACATCTTTGAGATATCAATTACTTTCAAAGAATTGTAAAATTAAACGTTCTTCAATTATTTTGAATTAAAATACTCCAAAAAATCTAATTATTTTCAAAAATTTTAATTAATGTTTTTCAAAAACGCAATTTCTTTTTATACGAATTTTTACTTTAGATAATTTTTAGCTACCGAATTTTTGTTTATCAGAAGTTTTATTTTATAGTAATTTAATTTACATGACTTTTTATTTAGTAGAATTTCAATTTGATCGAATTTTAATTTAACAAAATTCTCATTCTATCGATATATATATCTAATTCGAATTTTTAATTGACAGAAATTTCAATTCAATGAATTTTAATTTGGTGCGAATTTTTATTTATTTGAAGGAATTTTTAATTGATAGAATTTTGAAAACGCCGAATTTTCAATTTGTCCAAAATTACAAATGTCGTGAACAGAAAATTTGACAGAAAAATTTCGGCGCAATTTTGAAAATTGACCAATTAGAAATTATCAAGAAAATTGTAATTGATCAATTACGCCGAAATTTTTCTGTCGATGTTTTGTTCGGGTATTTACAATTTCGGACAAATTAAAATTCGGCGTCTTAAAAATTCTACAAATTAAAAATTAATACAAATAAAAATTCGGACAAATTAAAATTTGGTGAATTTGAAATTTTTGTCATTTAAAAATTCGAATTACAATAAAATTTGATTGAAAGAGAATTCTGTTAAATTAAAAATTTTTTTAACTAAAAAATCATGTAAAGAAAATGACTTGAATAAAAATTCATCCAAAAAAAAAAATTTGATAGCTAAAATTATTGTTAAGTAACAATTCGTATAAAAATAAAATCTTTCAAATTTCGAAAATTTGTTTAAAATATAATTATTTCTAAATACTTTTTAATAATTTTAATTAATGATTTTTTATGTAAAATTCATGCGCACCATAAATAATTCTTTTTTTACAGTTTAGGAATGCATCACGATTCAATTGGAAATTCATGTTCAAAAAATGGATACATTATGTCACCAAGTCGAGGAACAATTGAAGGTGAAACAAATTGGTCCGAGTGTAGTCGTGAAATTGGAAAAAATCTCTTTCGTAATAAATTATGCCTCTTGGACGAAAACAATAATAATAATAATAATAATTTAATTTTAAAGCCAATGAAAAAATGGACAGCAAAAAAACAATGTGAATTATTTTTACGCAATAATAATGCTGAAGTTGTGAATCTACAGAATTCATGTCAATCACTTGAATGTAAAATTTCCAATAAAATTGAATATTATCACGCTGGTCCAGCATTAGAGGGTACTAAATGTTCATTCAATGGTGATTATGAATGTCAAGGCGGTGAGTGTCTTGCAATTTCATCGCTTGATGATGATGATTGGAGTAATTGGCGTGAAGAATCATGTAAAAGTGGTTGTTTACAAAAATCCCATGGTTATCGTTTGAGAAGACGAATTTGTGAAAATCCATTAAACACTTGTCAGGGATATTCGTTTGATGTTCAACTTTGTAATGATGTGAGACTCTGTAAAAAGAAACGTAAATCAATTGATGAATTTGCAACAATAAAATGTGGGGAATTTAGTAAAAAATTGGAAATATTAAAAAGAGAGGGAATTCAGGCATTACATGAAATTGAAAGACCATGGATGGCTTGTGCTATTTTTTGCTTAAGAAAAGATATTAAAGCGTATTATACACCACGTATTGAATTAAATGACCTTGGCCTCGATCCATATTTTCCCGATGGTACCTGGTGTCATTACAATCAAGGTCAACATTATTTTTGTCGTCATCATCATTGTTTACCGGAAAATTTTCAATTTTTCGAAAAAAATTCAATTTCAAATAATGATTATTTGATTATTTCAGAAAATTATGATGGAAAAATAATTCCGGATGAGGTGATGAAATATTTTAGTCTTGATCTGAATGGCAAGCCTCTTTTCACAAAGGGAGCGATTAATTCTTCTGATGATGATGAACTTTCCGAATCTGCACAGAAAAAATCTGATATTTATTTTTAAAATTAAAATTTAATTTTTTTTTGTAAATGAATTTTTGAAAAATAAAACTTTTCTTTAAATGGAATACATCAATCTTTCTTTAAAATGAATTTTGCGATGTGTGTATATAAAAGAGAAACAGAGATAGAATAATGACGTCATCGACTTGGCTGACTATTTTTGGAATCGTCGCTTATAATCGGAGTTTTAAAAGAAGTATAAAGGAAGTAAATAAAATAAGGAAGTCAACTAATAACTTAAAAGTGTTCACTTTATTATTTTTTTAGTGTACAAATCAACTTTGTGAAAAGAAAGTACTTAAATTCGATAAGAAAATACACTTCCGTTATACAGATTTCTTGTAGAATTTATACAAAAAAAAAAAAAAAAAAAAAAGTGTTAAAGGACTAAAAAATACTGTTGCAATTCAAAAAGTTTACTAAATTCTCTCCCTAAAGTATAAAAAAATAACTTTACTGAAAAGATTAACTAATTAATGAATTCTCTTCCTATTTTTTTTTTCTTAGTACAAGAAACTACGTTTTCAAAAGAAAATTTCGTCCTTTACACTTTTTTTTTTTTTTTTAACAATCTTTTCTTCAAAGAAGTGAATTTTCTTGATCTTGGAAACAATTTAATTGCTTTTGCACCACTTTTCAAAACGTCTATAAAATTCATCCATTGAGTCACACTCACGAAAAAAAAAATATTCACATTCTTTTTTTAACTTATAATTTCTAGTTCACGCATTCATTCGTTCGCGACGATGAAAGAAAAAAAAAATCGACGGACTCGCGTTTCTAGAGCCAGAGAAAAAAAACAATTTTTTTTTTTTGAAGAGAAAATTTTTAGGCTCTAATTATATTTACGAGTCTTCAGTCTCGTTGAGCGAAACAAATAAACATTTTTTTTTTTATTCTTCAATTTTTATTTTCAATTTGGTAAAGTGTCGTAAAGTATATCCTTTGCACTTTGCGTTAATGTATCGGGAAATTTGATGTCAAACGATACCAATAGATCACCTTTTCGCGATGGTTCCTTAGGGAATGGTAATCCATGTCCTTGTAACCTTTTAACCATATTTGGTTTAACTATTTCACGTGTCAAATTAAGACTTATTTTCTCACCATTTAATGTTGGAATTTCAACAATTGTACCGCATAGTGCTTGTTTTAATGATAATTTTTGTATATAACGAATATCACTGCCCTCTCGCCTAAATAATGGATGTGACTTATCTCTAATAATGAATACAATATCCGCGGGCACTTTACCACGTCCCTGATCGCCTTCCTTTTGAAATGTAATTTTTGTCCCCGCCTTCCAGCCGGGTTTCACATTAATTGTCAATACTTTATCCTCCTTTTTTGTTGTTCCATCGGGTTGTATAACACGGCGGGAGATTTTCATTTTTTTTGTACAACCACGTAAAATATCATCGAGACCAACATATAAATCGTGTTCAATTGCCGGATCTTGTGAACGATCTTTGCCACAACTTCGTCCCTGATTTGGACCGGCAAAATTAAATGAATGCGAACGAAATGCACCACCCTGTCCACCGGGTCTCTGTGGTCCTATTCCTAAACCAAATGGATCGTCCATATCCATGTCCTCGTCATGAAAATTGGGAAATACACGATTACTTCCTTGTCCACCGAAACCAAAGAATGTTTGAAATGGTGAGGCTGAACCGAAAAATTGTGCAAATGTTGCTCTTGGATCACCGTGGAAAGTGTAAGTTGAACCACCACCACCTGGACAACCGCCCGATGTTGCACCACCTTTAAGACCCTCCTCACCAAATTGATCGTAGACCTCACGTTTTTTTGCATCCGACAATACCTCATATGCCTCGGCAATTTCTTTGAATTTCTCCTCAGCACCGGCGGATCGATTTTTATCTGGATGATATTTCAAGGCTAATTTTCGATATGCCTTTTTAATCTCATCGTCACTTGCCTCTTTATTGATGCACAAAATTTTGTAGTAATCTTTCCCCATTTTTTTTCCTGCAAAAAAAAAAAAATTAGAAATTAATACAAATAACGGAATTTACAAATTAAAAATCGTTATTTAAATATTAAAAAAACAATTTAATTTATTTTTAACAAATAAAATTTCTTTTTAAAAGTACAATTTTCAATATAAATTATTTTGCCTAATTTGTTGTTAATTAATAATTATTTCACTTTTTTTTCAATTTTTTTTTTTTTTATAAAGTTGATAAATTTGTACATCCAATTTTTATAAACATCATTTTTCTCTTTGAAAGATTTTCTACAATTCTGTTCGTTGAACTTTAAATTAATAACTAATTTATTTTTTCTTCAAAAAAATAATAAACAAATAAAATTTTTGTATAATTTTTTAAACAAAGCATATAATTATTTAACAAAACCACAAAATAAGAATTGTAGAAAATATTTTCAAAAAGAAAAGCATTTGTTTATAAATATTAAATGAAAATTAAAATTGTTTATTAACTATTAAGAAAAAAAATGTTTATTAATTATTATTTTAATTTAGCAATAAATTTTAACTAAAAATAATTTTTTTTTCCTGCAAAAAAAAAGAACCTTGTTATTTTTAACAAATAAAATTTCTTTTTAAAAGTACAATTTTCAATATAAATTATTTTGCCTAATTTGTTGTTAATTAATAATTATTTCACTTTTTTAAAAAAATTTTTTTTTACAAAGTTGATAAATTTGTACATTCAATTTTTACAAAAATCATTTTTCTCTTTGAAAGATTTTCTACAATTCTGTTCGTTGAACTTTAAATTAATAATTAATTTATTTTTTCTTCAAAAAAATAATAAACAAATAAAATTTTTGTATAATTTTTTAAACAAATCATATATATATTTAACAAAACCACAAAATAAGAATTGTAGAAAATATTTTCAAAGAGAAAAGCATTTGTTTATAAATTATGTTTATTAAATTTATTATTATTAATATTAATTAATTATTAATTATTATTAATTATTATTAATTAATTATTAATTAATTATTAATTAATTATTAATTAATTATTAATTATTATTAATTAATTATATTATATTAATTATTTATTATTAGTTATTTATTTTGTTTATTAAATTAAAATTAAAATTGTTTATTAATTATTATTTTAATTTAGCAATAAATTTTAACTAAAAATAATTTTTTTTTTTTGAAAATTGTACAAATGGATTTTTCCAATTTGAGTGAAATGAATTTTAAATATATTTTTAGTTCTGTTAAAAACTACTTTTTTGGTTTGAGGTTATTGAACTTAAGAGAAGGGACCAGTGAAATTTTAATCCATTGAAATTATTTTCTAAGATTATCAATTTTTTTCTGACAATATTGAATATTTAAAATGGCGCGCCATTTAAAATTATAATATAAAAAATTAAATAAAAATAATAATAATAATTATTATTACTGGTGATTATTTAAAAATTCAACTTCTTTCACAATTTTAATTATTTTTCATCGTCGATGATTTTTTTATACGCTTTTCTTAAAAATTTTGAATCGTATGGATTTTAAAAAATTTTAATTATTGCACAAAAATAAAATTTCCAAAATAAACAAAAATATTTTTTTTTCATTTTAATAATATATTATAATAATAATTTTAGATCCTAAATAATACCAGAAATAAAAAATTACAATTCTTAATAACATTAGTTTCGATAGAGTGAAATTTTACTGGTCCCTCTTGATATTAAAAATTTTTTTAAAAACAAACAAAATTTTAAGACTTGGTAGAAACGTAACGCCAAGGATAAATTTCAATGTCATTCTCTTTATAAGTATAATCGATTAAAGTAAATAATTAAAGACGAATATGCACTGTGTTAAATCTCGATCAATAGCGATACAATTTGCATATAATTTTGGATCTTGTTCAATAACATTATAAATGAAGACAAGAACAGGCTTCAAAGTTTAGTAGATTACTAAAAAAAAAAAAAAGAAAAAAAAAGAAAAAAAAAGAAAAAGTATGAAAAATATCTCCAAAATTAAAAATAAAATTTAAATAAAAAAACCTATTTTTTGGTTAAAAATTCTCTCTTCATTTTCAATATGTAAGATTTTTTTGCTATACAGAATTAATTTTAATTTTGAATTAAATCTTCAAAGAATTAAAATTGAAATTACTTTCAAAATTTGTATTTTTGAAGAATATTTATTGAAATTTTTGAAAATTATTGTATTTTTTGAATATTTTCATTCAAAATTATTAATGAGCATTTAATTTTGCAATTCTTTGAAAGTAATTGTAATCTCAATGATGTTAAATTGATATTTTTGAAAAGAATAAATTTTTTAATGAGCTCAACTTGAAATTTTTGAAAAATAATTAAATAATCAACGACCTTTAATTGAAAATATTCAATTAAATTTCACAATTTAAGAATTGTAGTTCAGATTTTTAAAAATAATTGAATTTTTTAAAGACATTGGATTGAAAATTCTTTAAATAATTGAATCTTTAAAGACAAAAAAAATTGAAAATTTTTAAAATAATTGAATTTTTAACGAATTTTAATCATAAGTTTTTAAAGCAATTGAATTTTCGAAACATTGTGATTAATTTTTTAAATATTTGAATTTTTGAAGAATATTTAGTTATTTTTGAAAATCATTGTATTTTTGGAGTATTTTAATTCAAAATTATTAAAGAGCATTTAATTTTGCAATTCTTTGAAAGTAATTAAAATCTCAAAGATGTTAAATTGATATTTTTGAAAATAATAAATTTTTTAATGAGCTCAACTTGAAATTTTTGAAAATAATAATTGAATTTTTTAATTTTATTTCTTCAGTTTGAAAAATAATTAAATAATCAACGACCTTTAATTGAAAATTTTCAATTTAATTTCACAATTTAAGAATTGTAGTTCAGATTTTTGAAAATAATGGAATTTTCTAAAGACATTGGATTAAAAATTCTTTAAATAATTGAATCTTTAAAGACAAATTAAATTTTTAAAATAATTGAATTTTTGAACCAATTTTAATCATAAGTTTTTAAAGCAATTAAATTTTCGAAAAATTGTGATTAATTTTTTAAATAATTGAATTTTTGAAGAATTTTTAGTTATTTTTGAAATTATCAATTAATAGAATTAAAAATCACAAAAATTCTGGCAATTTTTTTTTTACGTTTACAATTTAAAAAAGTAGCATTTAGTAGTTTCTGAGCAAAATTAGTATTAAAAAAATACTGTCCAAAAAAAAGAGAAAAAAAGTAAAAAATAAAAAAAAAGGAAAAAAAAACAAATTTGAAAACAGTAAAAGTTTCTAATTCCTCTAATAATAGAAATAAAATTTTTCTCAACTTTTTTGCTAAATCGATAAAGTTCCAATTTCCAAAACGAAAGTCCTACGTTTTGTGCGTGCGCACACCATTTATAATTTTCGCGAAGTTAACCTCGGTTCAAAGATCTCAAATTAACAAGGTCTTCTTGATACTGTTTTTTTTTTTTTCTTTTTCTTTTTTTTTCGCAACCATTTTTGGACAAAGACAAGTCTTGAATATTGTCGCTTCCTGCCACCTTCAAACACTATTTTATTTCAATTTAAAAAGGAAGGGCACTCAAGGCAAGGATTCTTGTTTTAAAAAAAAAAAAAAAGTGAATTTTGTTTCTTATTTCCGCTTTCAGCGACGTCAATTCCTTATTCATGACGTCAGATATATTCCCGAATTATTTTCAGAACATTTTTTTTTCTTACTTTCTTTATTTAGATTTTTTTTTATTAAAAACAAAAATTACTGATTCAGAAAAAGAAAGATAAGAAATTTAAAATAATTGTAATTCTACAATTTTTATCGACTAAATGAATATTAAAAATATGAATTCGAATTTTTTTCGAAATCTATAAAATAAAGTACAATTAATCAGTGCAATATTATCTATTATTATTAGTCATAAAGAGAAAATACTTTGTTTAAAAAATCTTATCTAATCTGCAATTAAATAATTTACAATTGATAGTTTTTTTTTTTTTTTTTTTTTTTTTTTTTTTTTTTTTTTTAGAAATAGTTTTTAATATAACAATTATTGAACAACCTTTTGTTATTGACCTTAATGCAATTTGACTTTTGATTAATAATCATGCAAAGATTCAATTTAAAAATAAAGTTGGTATGCACGACAAATATAGGCACTTGAACTAGATATTTTCGTTGACACATTCTAAACTAATATATGATACATATTGGAGAGAATTTTCAATAATAAATTTCGTAATAGAACAATAATTTTATTTTTTTTTTCCACTCCATTTTTGATTTGACATTTTATCTAAATTGAATATTAAAAAACAATGAAGTGATTTTTAACGAAAGTTTCTCATAAATTTCCCCCCTCTCTCTCTCTTTTTCACTCTTCTAAATATTTTCATTGCTTGGAAATATTCTCTCATCTCTCACACACATCATTTTCTACCAAGTCTTATATATTCTGCCTAACACACCCACATATAGTTTCTCCGCTATTTCGAGCAATGATGATACACTGACAGAGAAAAAGAATCTCATCAAAGTTTTTGAATAATTCAAAAATAAATCCATAGGAATTGATAATAGATTTTAATTGAAAGCTTGAGATTGTTGAAAGCGCGCTATTTTACATTTATGACGTGACAACCAACATCATCATTATTATCATCTGTTCGTGTACCATTTTTTGATTCTTGAAAATTAAAACTAACCTTAATTTTCCACCAGATTGTAATAATTAAACACTAACCTTTTTATTTCACAATCACAATTTATGTCCTTTTATATTTGTTTTGTAAATCATACAGGAAAATTTTCCACTCTTTTTTATCTGTTTTCTTTTTTTTTAATATAAAAACGTTTTGATGGTAATTTAAAGAAACAATATTCCTCACGTCTTCTCTTGTACTAAACTGTTAGTGTGGGCGCTGCTCACATATATACATAGAGGAGATTCTAGTTGCTTCCGGAACTTTCGAGAACACAATTGATGCTAACTTCACGTTTAATTGTTGTATTTCTGACGTCATTGACATATTCAAAACAGAATGTAATTTTAGGAATTTATTCAAAAATTTGACAGTTTATAAAAGGGTGTTTTGTTATTTTTGTGAAATTTAGTTTCTAAATTACTTGTATTGTGAAAAAATTGTCAAATTTATTACAGTGATTTGCAAAAGAAATGGGAAATACAAAAGTGATGAAAAACAAGAGTGAGGTTAGTTAGATATCGAAGTTCGATATTTTTCTTTTTATACTCAGTGATTTGAAAGTATCAGTTTCAAAGGAAAACAACGTAATACAAGATTGTATCGGGTGTCAGGAAAATAGAGATTTAAAAGGTAGAAATAATTCATTTCAATGACATACTCTCATTTCTTTGTTTATCAATATTTTGTGTTATCAAAATGTAATTGTTATGCTTCTCAGGACAATACGTACATAACCTATAAATTTCGCGTTTGTAATGACTTTTTTTAAAAATTTGTTGACTATTTTGTATTTAATTATTAATTTATTGAAATGGTTATTATAATTATTAATTATTTTAATATATTAAATAAATTTTTTCAATAAAATTTAAATTAATTAATTTAATTGAATTTTTACTTTTAAAAAATGTTTATAGTCATCGAATTTTTGTTTGGCAGAATTTTTAAAAATAATCGACAGAAAGATTTCGGCGCAATTTTTAAAATTGACCAATCACGATTTTCATGATAATTTCTAATTGGTTAATTTTTAAAATTGCGCCGAAATCTTTCTGTCGATCGTTTCTTCGGACATTTGTAATTTCGGACAAAGGGAAATTCGTACAAATATAAAAATTTGGAGAAATTAAAATTCGGTTAATTATGAATTTTTGTCATTTAAAAATTCGCAAAATTCTATTAAATTAAAATTCATGTTTTTAAATGCTAATTCAAAAAATAAAAAATCGTTTAAAAAATAATTATTTCTAATAAAAATTTTTAAAATAAAAAATAAAAAATTCGCAAAATTCTATTAAATTAAAATTCATGTTTTTAAATGCTAATTCAAAAAATAAAAAATCGTATAAAAAATAATTATTTCTAATAAAAATTTTTAAAATAAAAAATAAAAATTCTATTTAATTATTTTCACTGATTTTTATGGAATAATTATACGTTTTGATAAATTTCTTTGGAAAAAAATTGTACGAATTTTTAAGAATCAATTAAAAATTCGTAAATATTAAATTAAAATTATAGAATAAAAATTCTACTAAAAAAAAATTGAGTAGCTAAAAATTTGATTAAATAAAAATTCGTATAAATGGAAATTCTATTAAATTTTAAATCGAAAAATGAAAATTCGTCTAAAAAATAATAATTTCTAATGATTTAAAAGAAAATTCTAATTAATAATTTTAATGGAATTATTATGCACCCCAAAAATAACAGTTAAACAAAATTTATAATTTTTATTACATATTTCGTTGTACAAAATTTTTTTTTTCGAATATTAACGACACAATCGTAAAAATAGGGCATGTCTACATTCTCGAGAATCGGGCGGAATATATTTATCATAGAAATCCTGTACAAATTCTTCTACTTTGAATCCAAATTTTTGATATAAAATTAATGCGGGATTAGTGACGGAAACATGTAATGTCACATCTTTGCCCATACAAGTTTGAATTAAATGATAAAGCATAAATGTACCAATACCCGAATTACGCCATTCTGGTCGCGTTAAAAAAAAGGAAATATAAGTTTGATTATAAGCGACGTCTGGTACCATTATTGCAAAACCAATTATTAATTTTTTATATAAAGCTACACAGCTGAAATCTGGATACTGCAAACATTCCGTTACTGGAAACAAAGAAAAAAAATATTAATTCACACAAAGGAAACAAAATAGAAAATAAAAAAAAATACACCGACCTCGGATTGACTTTAAGGCGCGAAAAAAAATTGTATTACATTTACAAAAAAATTCGATTTTATTTATTTTAATTAAATTTAATAATTATATAAATATTTTACTTTAAATAACTAATGTTACTAGTTATTAAATTCATTATATTAATTCTTTAATAAGAATATTACCAAGAAAATTTATTTCTTTTTCAAAATCGAATTAAGACAAATATTCAAAATTTTAATTAAGTAGAATAAATTTCTAAAAAAATATTTTTAAAGTTCAATTTTTTAAAATTTTTTGAAGTCGTATTTAAATTTAAAATTAAAAATTTTGGCACACTTATTAGTTTTAATGATCAAATAAATTTCGGACAATTAAATTTTACAGATTTAAATTTTTCTTTTTATTAATAAAATTAAATTGCAAACGATTTTAAATTTGAAATAAATTTTCTGCAAAAAAAAATTATTGTAGTTTTTATTTTTTAATTTCTGACAACAAATCAATTTTAGAGTTTTTATATGAAACATTTTTAAATAATTGAATTTCAAAAGATTTTGTTAAATTTCCGATAATAATTAAATTTTACAGATTTGGAACTTTGGTAAAATATTTTAAAAATATTTAAAATTATTTTTCAATAAATTGGATGGAAATTTTTTAGAAATAATTAAATTTTAAAAGATTTGAAAATTGGAATTTTTTTGTAATTTTAATTGATGATTTTTTTTGTAATTTTAAACAATTATTGAATTTTTATAAAATTTTTAAATTGAAAAATAGTTTAACATAATTGAATTTGTGAGGAATTTCATTAAAATTATTGAAAATAATTTAATTTAATGTAATTTAATTTTTAATTTAGAGAAGATTTATTGATTAGTCAATTATTTTTAAACTGATGAATTAAAATTAAAAAATTCGATTATTATTTTCAAAAATTTCAAGTTCAGCTTTTGTGTTAAGTAAATAAATAAATAAATAAATTAATTAATTAATTATTAAAAAAATTATTTTCAAAAGTTTAAATTAAAAGTTTTGTAATGATTCAATTATTTAAAATAATTTCAATGAAATCTCTTGAAAAATTTAATTATTCTTAAAAATTCCAACTAAAATTTTTCTAAAATTTAATTATTTTCAAAAATATCAATTTATTTAATATCTTTGAGATTTTAATTACTTTCAAACAATTGCAAAATTAAATGCTCTTTAATTATTTTGAATTAAAATACTCCAAAAAAATCTAATCAATTTAAAACTTTTTAATTGATGTTCTTAAAAAAAAGAAATTTTCAAAAAGGGGCGCATTTATTTTCCATACAAATCATTAATTAGAATTTTTATTTTAAAGTGTTTTATTAGAGATAATAATTATTTTTTTGACGAATTTTCTGCAAATTTAAATTGCTGTAATTTTTTTTTTTTAATTTCTGCCACCAATTCAATTTTAGGTTTTTTTATATCAAACTTTTTTAAATAATTGAATTTTTAAAGCAATAATTAAATTTCAAAAGATTTTGTTAATTTTGTTAATTAAAAGATTTTTAATTAAAATTTTTGAAAATAATTCAATTTCAAGTGATTTTGAATTGAAATTTTATGTAATTTTATTTGATGATTTTTTTTTTAATTTTAAACGATTATTGAATTTTCATAAAATTTTTAAATTGAAAACTAGTTTAAGATAATTGAATTTGTGAGGAATTTCATTAAAAATTATTGAAAATAATTAATTTAGAAAAGAATTTTAGTTTAAAATTTGTTAAATTGAAATAAAAATTATCTAAAGAAGATCTGTATTGAATACAAAAAAAGAAACTACTTTCTTTAAAAATGTTGTAAAAGATGTAAATAAAAAATCGAAAAAGTCGCATCTTATCAAAATAAATCGAAAAATTTCGAAAAAAGTCATATAATCCGAGGAATTTTACAGAATTGAAACTTGTGTGAAATATTTTTCAATTAGATGTCATTTTTTTAGAAATAATTCAATTTTAAAAGGTTTTAAATTGAAATTTTTGAAAATAATTCAATTCCAAGTGATTTTGAATTGAAATTTTTTGTTTTAAACGATTATTGAATTTTCATAAAATTTTTAAATTGAAAACTAGTTTAAGATAATTGAATTTGTGAGGAATTTCCATTAAAATTATTGAAAATAATTAATTTAGAAAAGAATTTTAGTTAAAAATTTGTTAAATAATTGAAATAAAAAAATATCTGAAAATCTGTATTGTATACTAAAAAAAAGTACTTTGTTTAAAAAATGTTTTAAAAAATGTAAATAAAAAGTCGAAAAAGTCTTATAATCCGCGGCCTGAAATAGGAAACAAAATATATAAATAGAAAAATAAAACAACTTACAGTCAATTCCAGGCCAAAAGAACTGATTACAAAGACTATTCAATGCTGGTATGTGTTGTGGTCTAATGTAAGAATAATCAATCGGTGCTTTTGTTGGAATTGTCAAATTAGAATTATTTTTATTTAATTTAGCAAAGAGTTCATCTTGTAGCTTTAGCCAAAGGGGTTTTGTTGTCATATCACGTCGAATAAATGGTTTCAAAAGTCTATTTGTATAGGGACTATTAATCGCTGGCGATTCATTGAGCCCTTGTAATCGTTGTTCAAAAGCACCAACTTTCGAATGATGACTCACAAAACGATCTAAAATTCTACTACCCTTATTTTGAATACAAGAATGCGATGAATTTCCAAATTGATCTAAATCAAAAATTCGTAAACTATATTCTCTTTTTAATTTTCGAACTGATAATTTTCTATGTAGTCGTTTAATGGACGATGGCGCTGTACTTAAATTACTTTTCTTTAATTGTTGCAATAAATATGTTTCTTCACGTTCACTGATTCGTGATGTTGGCTCATTATTATATTTATTATTGTAATTTTTCTCCCATGGCCATGGACGTTGTTCTGAAGTTGTAAATAATGATGGATGAACTTGTGGTTGAATTGAATCAAAACTATCAGAACTTTCTTCGGAATATTGTTCATTTAGAGAATTATTTTTAATATCGTCACAAATTACAAAATCATCATTGTCATTGCTGTTTGTACTTTTTTCATCTTCATACATATAATCCATTGTTTCGGTTTTATTATTTTGATCAAATTGACAATGTTGATTTCGAAAATTTCTTATTAAATCAGCAAGCGATAATGTTTCGTGTTTATTGTCCATTTCAATTCCATCTTCTGTGTCAAGCATATCCATATCTAATTAAAAATTTAAAAATTCAGGAATTATAATAATTTTTAAGATAAAATTATACAATTTCAGTCTTCGAAGTGTAAAATTAAAAATTCTTCACAAATTTAAGTATCTTAAATTATTTTCCAATTAAAAATGTTATGAAATTTAACAATTGTTTACAATTAAAAAAAAAAAGTTACCAAAATTTCAATTTAAAACCTTTTAAAATTTTCCATCTAAATGATATAAAACTTTTTTGAATTTAATAATTTCAATTATAACTCTTTCGAAATTCAATTTTTTTTTTTTGAATGATTTTTATAATATTCTTCAAAAATTCAATTGTGTGAAAGCATTTTTTAATTGAAATTTTTTTTTAAAATTATTTTAAATTTAATTAAAATAAAAAAATCGACTGTAAATCGATTAAAACGACTTTTTTTACGCCTTAAAGTCGATCCGAGGCCTGTAGTTGAAATTTTTTAAAATAATTAATTTTTCAAGAGTTTTAATTGAAATTATTTTAAATAATTGAATCAAAAACTTTTAATTTAAACTTTTAAAAAAGATTTTTTTAAATTAATTTATGTATTTAGCACAAAAGCTGAAATTGAAATTTTTTAAAAATAATTGAATTTTTTATTTTTAATTGATCATTTTGAAAATAATTGAATAATCAAAGACCTTCAATTGAAAATTTTGAAAATAATTTAACATTTTAAGAATTACAGTTGAAACTGTTGTTTGCAAATTAATTTTACAATCTAAGAATTAAAGTAGAGTTTTTTTTAATGGATGGAAGAACATTGATTTGGACATTTTTTAAATAATATTGAATTTTTAAAGAATTTTAATAGAAAGTTTTTGAAGCAATTGAGTTTTCGAAGAATTTTGGTAAAGAATTTTTTAAATAATTGGATTTTCGAAGAAATTTTACAATTATTTTTGAAATTGTTTGGAATTTTTCAAGAATATTTATTACAACTTTTGAAGAAAATTTAATAGAAATTTTCAAAACTAATTGAATCTTAAAGTATTTAAATAATTTTGTTTTTAAAATAATTTAATTTTCAAAGAATTTTAATTGCAATTTTGAAAAGGAACTAAGTTTTTGAAGAATTTGAATTAAAATTATTGAAGAGCGTTTAATTGTAATTTGTTTTTGAGAAAATAATTGAAATTGCACGAATTTTAATTAGAAATATTTAAAATAATTTAATTTTTCAAGAGATTTAATTGAAATTATTTTAAATAATTGAATCAAAACCTTTTAATTTAAACTTTTAAAAAAGATTGTTTAATTAATTTATGTATTTAGCACAAAAGCTGAAATTTGAATAATCAAAGACCTTTAAATGAAAAATTTGAAAATATTTTAACATTTTAAGAATTTCAGTTGAAACTGTTGTTTTCAAATTAATTTTACAATCTAAGAATTAAAGTAGAGTTTTTTTTTATTGATGGAAGACATTGATTTGGAAATTTTTTAAATAATATTGAATTTTTAAAGAATTTTAATAGAAAGTTTTTGAAGCAATTGTGTTTTCGAAGAATTTTGGTAAAGAATTTTTTAAATAATTGTATTTTCGAAGAATTTTTACAGTTATTTTTGAAATTGTTTGGAATTTTTCAAGAATATTTATTACAACTTTTGAAGAAAATTTAATAGAAATTTTCAAAACTAATTGAATCTTAAAGTATTTAAATAATTTGGTTTTTAAAATAATTTAATTTTCAAAGAATTTTAATTGCAATTTTGAAAAGGAACTAAATTTTTGAAGAATTTGAATTAAAATTATTGAAGTGCGTTTAATTGTATTTTTTTTTATTTTTAAATTAATTTAATAGAAAATTTAATAGAAATTTTCAAAACTAATTGAATCTTAAAGTATTTAAATAATTTGGTTTTTAAAATAATTTAATTTTCAAAGAATTTTAATTGCAATTTTGAAAAGGAACTAAATTTTTGAAGAATTTGAATTAAAATTATTGAAGTGCGTTTAATTGTATTTTTTTTTTTTTATTTTTAAATTAATTTAATAGAAAATTTAATAGAAATTTTCAAAACTAATTGAATCTTAAAGTATTTAAATATTTTGTTTTTAAAATAATTTAATTTTCAAAGAATTTTAATTGCAATTTTGAAAAGGAACTAAATTTTTGAAGAATTTGAATTAAAATTATTGAAGTGCGTTTAATTGTATTTTTTTTTTTTATTTTTAAATTAATTTAATAGAAAATTTAATAGAAATTTTCAAAACTAATTGAATCTTAAAGTATTTAAATATTTTGTTTTTAAAATAATTTAATTTTCAAAGAATTTTAATTGCAATTTTGAAAAGGAACTAAATTTTTGAAGAATTTGAATTAAAATTATTGAAGTGCGTTTAATTGTATTTTTTTTTTTTTATTTTTAAATTAATTTAATAGAAAATTTAATAGAAATTTTCAAAACTAATTGAATCTTAAAGTATTTAAATATTTTGTTTTTAAAATAATTTAATTTTCAAAGAATTTTAATTGCAATTTTGAAAAGGAACTCAATTTTTGAAGAATTTGAATTAAAATTATTAAAGAGCGTTTAATTGTAAATCTTTTTTTTTGAAAATAATTGAAATTGCACGAATTTTAATTAGAAATATTTAAAATAATTTAATTTTTAAAGGATTTTAATGAATGTTTTTCAAAAGAATTGAATTAGGAGAATTTTTTCGAATAAATGTGAAGAGTTTTATCTTAATTATTAATTAATTAAATTTAAAAATTACAGGATTCTGGCACTTTTTAAAAATTTTATTTAGAAAGAGTAGCAATTAAAAGTTCTTTAAAAGTTAGTTCTTTTAAAATTAGTATTAAAAATTAGCCCTATCAAAAAAAAAGTATCAAAAAAGGAAAAAAAATGTGGTACTTCGAAGCTTAAATTTGAAATGAAAAAATCTTGTTACCATGTAAATCGTCTTCAGTGAGTAGAAAATCAGAAAGAATTTCATTAAAATGTGTCGGTGATGAATTTCTTTGATTCTTTAAAGTATCCACTGTGTAATTATTATCGTCACCAAGAGATGTACTCGATTCTGATGGCGTAGGACTTTCGCATTCTTTTTTTACAATATGCACATGTTCCACAGTTTTATTTTGTTCCATTTTATTCGCTAAAATCGCTGAAATTTCAATATATTACAATTTATAATATTATTTTATATTATTAAAATTATTATTTATTTATTACATTTATTTATTATTTATTTTTATTTCATGATAAATTCTATTAAATATTTCTATAAAAAAAAAAATTTATTTTACCATGCATAATAATTTCCGGTGGTTCATTAGAAATTAATTTCCACCATCCAGTTTCACCAAGTTCAGATGAACCTGATTTAAAATAAGTTCCCGTATTGTGAGACAATGTACCGGAAATTGTACCAATCCATTGTTTTGGCTGTTTTCTAAAATATATAAAAGAGTAATAATTTTTGTTTTCATAGAAAATTGCAAATTTAAAAAAAAAAACAAATTACTTTTGTTTTGTAAATAAATAATCCCAATGACGATCTACAAATGTACTAATGTCAGATTTCCAATGAAAATATCCTCTCTTACTGATACCACTTGATTTTTCTCTTAAATTATATAAGACGAGTACAATTATCTGTGACCAGGACATTTTTTCACGTATTAATGTTTCATTACCTAAACTATCACAATCGGAGCATGTTAATTTAAAAAAAATATCACCAACAAATGAATTGGAAAAACTTTTTCTCTTTAAACAATGAAGATGTATTTTTTTTGAACAATTTCCAGTGCATTGTAGAGCTGGTTTTTCATATGGATCACATAATTTACCACATCTTTTACATTTGTCTTTTGGTAATGATTTATATGATTTAGAACCACGTTTATTTGTCTTTAACATTTTTCTGTATTTATTTAGAAGTTTTTTTAATGTTTAGCAATTTATGATTTTATAGGTTAGGAATAAAACCGGTAAATAAAACATGACAGCTAAAGAAAGAAATAACACCATTTTCTTCTATTTTACACTAAATATTTATTATTAACGATTCAAATAATTTAATAAGTTTTATTATTTATTTATAAAACGTATTTTTTTATTTATTTTTTAACGTTTGCGATCTGTCACTGACTGTCATTACTCATTACTGAGAACCTAACCTATGTCAGGGCCGTAGTTCGCCCCTTTCGCCCTATTTTCAACATTGTTCGATGTTATTGTTTTATCATTGTTTAATAAATAACATTCGATGATAAAAAAACTAATTAAATGTGTGTGTGATGTGTTTTGAATTTATCTGACTTTTGTTTGATAAGAAAAACAACAATGGTGGGTGTTTTAAATGATTCTGATAGTGACGATGAATTACCACCGGGATGGGAAGAACGAGCAACAATTGATGGAAATGTTTACTACGTAAAGTAAGTTTAATATTGTTTTTTTTTTTTTATCTATTTTAATTATACGAAGTAATTACAAACACAGAAATCTGTTCGTAAACTTATAGGTTATGTTTACTTGCTTTTTTTTAAAAATACAAATTAATTTTTTTTATTTTACTAGTCACTTTACGAAAGGTACACAGTGGACACATCCACGAACTGGTCGCAAAAAATTAGTCGAAGGAGGTAATTCATAAAAATATAATTATAAATTATTTTCTAATATAAAAAATTTGATGTTTTTTCCTTTTTAATACAGAATTACCAACTGGTTGGGAAAGGTGTATTTCAAACGACGGAAAAGTTTTATTTGTCGATCATAATCATCAAACGACAACGTACACTGATCCTAGATTAGCATTTGCAACAGAATTTCGCGAAATGTCACAACCAGTTCGACAGAGATTTGATGGAAGCAGTACAGCTCTCGCTGTACTTCATGGACGAGATTTGAGGGGAAAAGTTGCTTTAGTAACAGGTGCAAATGTAGGAATAGGTAAATTTCATTTTTTTTTTGTTTTCAAATAATAGTAATAATAATAATAACAGGCCTCGGATTATACGACTTTTTCCGACTTTTTTACATATTTTTAAAAAAATTTTAAACAATATACGTTTTTTTTTGGTATGTATACAATACAGATCTTCTTCAAATCTTCTTTATTTCAATTATTTAACAAATTTTTAACTAAAATTCTTCACTAAATTAATTATTTTTAATTATTTTCAATGAAATTCTTCACAAAATCAATTATCTTAAAATATTTTTCAATTAAAATTTTTATGAAATGTAATAATTGTTTATAATTTTTATAAAATTGGCCAATAAAATTACCAAAAATTTTTAATTCATAATCACTTGAAATTTAATTATTTGCAAAAATTTCAATTATTTTTAATGATTTTTATAATATTCTTCACAAAGTCAATTATCATAAAATATTTTCAATTAAAATTTTTATGAAATGTAATAATTGTTTATAATTTTTATAAAATTGGCCAATAAAATTACCAAAAATTTTTAATTCATAATCACTTGAAATTTAATTATTTGCAAAAATTTCAATTATTTTTAATGATTTTTATAATATTCTTCACAAAGTCAATTATCATAAAATATTTTCAATTAAAATTTTTATGAAATGTAATAATTGTTTATAATTTTTATAAAATTGGCCAATAAAATTACCAAAAATTTTTAATTCAAAATCACTTGAAATTTAATTAATTGCAAAAATTTCAATTATTTTTAATGATTTTTATAATATTTTTTGAAAATTCAATTATTTTAAAACATTTTTCAAGGTGTCTAACGGTCAGGGAAAAGTCAGGAAATTTCTTTAATTTTCGGGAATTTTTTATAAATAAATTAAAGTAACTATTAGTTTCAACAAATTTTTTACTTTTTTCCAAAAGCAAATGCAAATTAAAAATTTGCCCTTCACACTCAATTATGAAGCATGTGATATATATCTTATATTCATTAAGTAAATAATTATTTACTATTATTTATTGAATCTAATAAATGATTTTTTAAACTTGGATAACAATTTTTTTCAGTGAAATATTTGGTTTTTTAATATAAATAAAAATTATTTGATACAATTTTATTTTATCGGTTCAACTTCAAATAAAGTAAATTATTCATTAATAGGAATAATTTATTATTTAATTGCTAATACCCACATTTAACTTATAAAAATTTTTACAGGGTCGAATATTATTATCGAATTTCTATTTAGCAAAATTGTATAAAGTGTATTTTATATTATGCAAAATTTTCAATTTAGATTTAAATAAAATTCGATTGAATAGAATAGAATTGGTTCGAATTAAAAATTTCTTTAATAAAAACTTTGTTAATTAAGAATTTTGTTAAATAGAAATTCTGTTAATTGTGGATTTATTCAATGACTATTCTGTTAAGTAAATATTTTGATAAATCGAAATTTACTAAAATAACAATTGTGTTAAAAAAATTTTGTTCTTTATGAAATTTTTCTTGTCATAAATTCCGTTAAATTAAAATTGTATTAATTTGAAATTCGATGTACTAGAAAATCTGCTTTATATAATTTTACTAAATAAAAATTTAATAATTTAAGATTTGATGCCGTAAAAATTCTTTTAAATTAAATGTTGAGAATATTTATACGTTCCCAATTAGTTTATTTATTTCACTTAAATATTAGAGCCAAAAGTTTTGAACGTTCATATGAACAAAATATTTTTTTTAATCTATAAATTATTAGAAATTATAATATCAATGTAAAATAAAACAGTAAATTAAACAAATATAAAATTAATAACTTCTTTTTAGATATTTAAAACAATATTTTGTAATAAAATTCGTACTTAAAGAAGTTACAAAAAAAGTTTTGTTCATTTGAACGTTCAAAAAACTTTTGGCTCATTAAATATTTTATTTTTTACGAAACATTATTTATTTGATTCAAATACATATGAAATTAGTGGATAATAAACAGGTAAATGATTTAATTGTATCAAAATAAATTTTATTTGATGAAAATAAAATTTTTTTAATGTAATTTAGAACAGTGAAAAGTCAGGGAGTTTTTTTCCTAGCAGTTGTTAGACACCCTGGAAATTCAATTATTTCTAAAAATTTTAATTTTAACTCTTAAAAAATTATTATTATTTAAAAAATATTTTTATTTTAAAATCTGTAAAACTTAATTAAGTATTGCCTGAATTTTTTTGTCAAACTATGACAAAATTTTAAATTCGAATGAATTGCTTAAATCGAACTTTAAAAAATTATAAAAATGTAACTTTAAGAATTTTTTTAGAAATATAATTTTGAAAATTTATTTTATTTATCATTATGAAGTGAATTTAATATCTAATAACGTTAGTTATTTAAAGTAAAATATTTATTAACCAATTAAATTTTGTTAAAATAAAAAAATAAAAAAATGACTTTTTCTTAAAGTCAATCGGAAGTCTGTAATAAATTATTTTTTTAAAAAAATACATTTTTAGGGTACGAAACAGCAAGATCGTTAGCTTTACACGGTTGCAAAGTTGTGTTAGCTTGCAGAGATTTAGAAAAAGCCCAAGAAGCTGCAAGAGAAATTGAACGTGAACGGGAAAATATTTCTTGTGATGTTTTACATTTGGATTTATGTTCATTACGACACGTTCAAATGGCTGCCGATTCATTTAAGCAAAAATATAAGTAAGATATATATTTAAAATTATTATTTAACAATTATTTTAAATATAAACTAGCAAAAATAAAGCGCTAAATAAATTATCTAGATTATTTAAAAAAAATAAAATACCAGAAAATTGAAAATTAATTCATTTCAATTAAAACTTTTCAAATTACATTTTTTCAATTAATACTAAACAAAATAATATACTTAGATAATAAAAAATAATTTGCAAAATTAATTAAAATTAAATTAATTTTAATAAATTAAAGATGTAAAACAGATGGAATGAATGAATACGAAAATAATAATAATTATTATTATAATTTAAAAATTATTGTAATTTAGTAATTTTTTTCTAAAGATGCAATTAATTTCTTTTTAGAAGCCTTCATATGCTTATATTGAATGCTGGAGTATTTGCAGTTCCTTATTCATTGACAGAGGACGGCTATGAAACGACTTTTCAAGTCAATCATTTAGCTCAATTTTTTTTCACATTGTTGCTAAAAGAACCACTTCATCATTGTGAAAGTTCAAGAGTCACAATTCTTTCCAGCGAATCTCATAGGTAAAATTTTTATAAAGAAGAACGTTTTTTTTTTTTATATAAGCAAATTTTTATGTAAAAACAAAAATTTTATAACTTTGATTATACTTTGTAGATTTTCGTTTCTTACATCGCCGAATGATATTGAACCGTTGAATTTATCACCACCTGAATATAAATACTGGCAAATGGCTGCTTACAATAATTCAAAATTATGTAATATTTTATTCGCTCAAGAATTAGCGAGACAATGGCCAACTGTAAGTGTATTTAGTTGTCATCCTGGAAATATGGTTTCATCAAGCCTACCACGACAATCATGGTTATATCGATTTATATTTGCTCTTGTTCGACCATTCACAAAATCATTGGTAAATTCGTATTAAAAAATTTATTAAACAATTTAGTTATAATTTTTTTTTCTTTTTCTGAATCTAAATTAATTTTCAGCAACAAGCAGCGAGTACGACTGTTTATTGTGCAACAGCTTCTGAATTGGAAGGCGCAACTGGTTTATATTTTAATAATTGTTTTCGTTGTGAATCAACTCGTCAAAGTATGGATCCAGAATTGGCGCAAAAACTTTGGATTGTTAGTCAAGAAATGTTAAAATTGGCAAATTTTCACATAGACGATAAGTGAGGTTGATGAAAAAAAAAAAAAAATCATTTGTAAATATTTCTTCCAATCTTCTGATCTCGTATATTATTTACTGTGATTAAATTTTTTAATTTGGTTTGTCTTGTTTTTAAATAAATAACTTTTTTACTAATTGAAATTATTGTATACGATCATTGATTGATAAACAATTTTTATTTCTGAATTAAAAATTAACAATTACTATTTTTTTTTTTTTCTTAACTTGCATAAAATTCTTTGAGATATTCGGCTGTTGGTTTAAGAATGACTTTATCACGAAGACTCACCACCCAACCCGGTGCAAGACCATAAAATATTTGTCTTGGATCTTTTCTTTCGGTGAGCATTTCATAATTTGGATCATCTTCAATTTTTGGTAATGTGTAGCCATATTTTTGTGCCAACACAAGACGTTCGTAGGAAACTTTCTCTGGATCCGCCAAATATCCACGTGTCGCGGCACTTGAATAATATTCAAGACAATCGGATGGTGGTAAAAGTCGACGGGGAATTGCTTGACCTAATTGATTAAAAAAAAAATTAAATTTTAGCGCATGAATTTTCCATAAATAAATCAATTAGAATTTTTATTTTAAAGTATTTTTTTTTTAGTAGAAATAATTCATTTTTTAGATGAATTTTAAATTTTCGAATTAAAATTTAACAGATTTTCTTTTTATGCGAATTTTTACTAAACAAACGTTTTAGTTACTGAATTATTGATCGAATTTTTATTTTACAGTCATTTTTTACATGACTTTTTATTTTAAATTTTTAATTAATTTTTAATTTAAACGAATTTTATTTTAATCGAATTTAAATTTAACAGAATTCTTAATCAATCGAATTTTATAAGATGCGAATTTTTAAATGACAGAAATTCCAAATTTTACCGAATTTCAAATTTCTCCCAATTTTTAATTGATAGAATTTTTGAGACGCCGAATTTTCATTTGTCCGAACAAATAATCAACAGAAAGATTTTGGCGCAATTTTTAAAATTAACCAATTTTAAAAATTGAGCCGAAATCTTTTGGTCAATTTCTTGTTCTTTTGAGACAAATGAAAATTCGGCATCTTAAAAATTCGTACAAATAAAAATTCGGTGAATTGGAATTTCTGTCATTTAAAAATTCGATTGATTAAGAATTCTGTTAAATTAAAAATCGCGTAAATAAAAAATCATTAAAAAAAATGACTGTAAAATAAAAAATTACCAAAAATTTTCTAGCTGGAAATTTGGTTATTAATGATTTTTATGGATTAATCATGCGCCCCAATTTTAGTTTATCGAATATTTATGATTTCGTTTTATACCTTTTTTGAAGAAACTCTCCGGCTTTATCATGCATTGTAAACTATGGAGATCAAAGAAAGACGTTGTTATAACTCCACCATTTTTTTCAATAGCAGCAATTACAGGTTCACTTGCCCATTGAACTTCAATGTTAATTTTTGCTGTAAATATTTCTAGTCCCTGAAAAAAAAATTTATATTTAAAAATTTTTACATAGTTTTTATAATTAAATAAGTTAATTTTTTAAATTAAGTAATTTTGAAAAGAAATTTTAAGTGGATCCAGTTTTATAGAATCAAATTTAAATATACCTCGTCTGTAAGTTGAACTCCAGCTTGTCTCATATCCGGTTGTAAGGAATAAAGACCAGAATTTACTAAACTTACAAGATCTATGGGTTTTGATGCATCTAATCGATTTGTATCGATCATTTTTTGTAAATTTAACAATGATAGCGGAGGATATTCTCTTCTTAGACTGAAATCAAACAAAAAAAGTGATAATTATTCTTTTTATATAAAAATTATAAAAATTGATTTAAAAAAACAACTAATAAAAGTACAAAGAATCAAATTAATATGAGACGAAAATTAATTTAAAAAAAAAATTAACAATGAAACAATATAAAAATATTAAAGACAAAAAAGAATATAATGAAAAAAAATTAGAACTACAATTATTATATAATAATACAAATACAAAAAATTTATGATGAGAAAAAAGATGCGCCAGGAAATTTCGTACAAGATAGTAATTTGAAAAAAATTTATTTTTAAAAATTAATTTTTAAGGTACCAGGGGCCAACGAATACCTATTAAATACTAATTATAAAAACACAGGCCTCGAATCATCTTAAAGACACAAAAAAAGTCGTTTTAGTCGATTTATTTTCCAAAAAAAAGTGAATTTGTTTTTTATTTTAACAAAAATCTTTTACAGATTTTTAAATAAAAAATTTTTTTTCAATAATTATCCTTTTCGAAGGGTTAAAGTTGAAATTTTTAGAAATAATTAAATTTCAAAAGATATTGTTAATTTTCAAACAATTATTAAATTTTACAGAACTAAAAATAATTTATCAAACAATTTTTGGAAAACATTTTTTAAATTTAATTGAATTTTCAAAGATTTAAAATTGAGATTTTTGAAATTAATTGAAACTTTAAGTGTTTTGTAATTAAAATTTTAAATGGTTTCACTAAAAATTTATTAGAAAATGCGGACAAAATACAATAATTTGAAAATCATTTTTAATTGAAAAATGGTTTCAGATAGTTGAATTTTAAAACACTATTATTAAAATAGTTAAAAATAATTGCATTTCCTTAGAGTTGTAATTGAAATTATTAAATTTCAAAAAAAAATTTCAATGGAAAATTTTAGAAATCATTAAATTTTAGATGCTTTTAAATTCAAATTATTGAAAATTCAATTAATTTTGATTTCAAATGTTTGAAAATAATGAAATTTTCTTTGATTTTGAATTGAAAATTTTGGTAAATAATTGAATTTTAATTGAAATTTTGGATAATAATTTAATTTTAGTTCATTTTTGATTGAAAATTTTAATAATAAATAATTTTGAGTTGAAATTTTTGAGAATAATTGAATTTTAGTTGATTTTTAATTGAAAATTTTGAAAATAATTGAATTTTCATTGATTTTGAATTGAAATTTTGATTGAAAATTTTGATAATAATTGAATTTTTGCTGATTTTTAATTGAAATTTTTTTAAATAATTCAATTTTATTTGATTTTGAATTAAAATTTTTTGGTAATTTTATTTGATATTTTTTTTAAATTATAAATAATTGTTAAATTTTATAAAAATTTTAATTGAAAAATAATTTGAAATAATTGCATTTGTGATAAATATCATTAAAATTATTAAAAATTATTAATTTAGTGAAGAATTTTAGTTAAAAATTTATTAAATAATTGAAATAAAGAAGATCTGAAGAAGATCTGCATTTTATACTAAAAAAAAATATTTTTTATTTAAAAAACTTTTTTAAAAATGTAAAAAAAAAGTCGGAATAGTCGCATTTTATTAAAATAAGTCAAAAAAAGTCGGAAATAGTCGAAAAAGTCGCATAACCCGAGGCTTGGTTTCAGATAGTTGAATTTTCAAAGAATATTATTAAAATAGTTAAAAATAATTGAATTTCCTTAGAGTTATAATTGAAATTATTAAATTTCAAAAAAAAATTTCGATGTAAAATTTTAGAAACAACTAAATTTTAGATGCTTTTAAATTGAAATTATTGAAAATTCAATTAATTTTGAATTCAAATTTTTGAGAATAATAAAATTTTATTTGATTTCAAATTTGGAAAACAATTGGATTTCAGTTCATTTTTAATTGAAAATTTTGGGAAATAGTTGAATTTTAATTGAAATTTTGGATAATAATTTAATTTAAGTTCATTTTTGATTGAAAATTTGTATAATTAATTTTGAATAGAAATTTTAGAAAATAATCGAATTTTATTTCATTTTAAATTGAAAACTTGGTAAATAATTAAATTTTAAATTGAAAATTTTGGATAATTATTGAATTTTAACTGATTTTGAATTAAAATTTCGGGTAATAATTGAATTGTAGTTTATTTTGAATTGAAATTTTTAAAAAATAATTTAATTTTATTGTGATATTTTTTTTTTAAATTATAAACAATTGTTAAATTTCATAAAAATTTTAATTGAAAAATAATTTTGATATAATTGAATTTGTTATGTATTTCATTAAAATTATTAAAAATAATTAATTTAGTGAAGAATCATTTTAGTTCAAAATTTGTTAAATAATTGAATTGAAGAAGATCTGAAGAAGATCTACATTTTATACTAAAAAAAATGTATTTTATTTACATTTTTTTTTCAAATGTAAAAAAAAATGTCGCATTTTATTAAAATAAGTCGATAAAAGTCGTATTTTTGAAAAAAGTCGGAAAAAGTCGTATAATCCGAGGCCTGTAAACATATAATTTTCATTATTATCATTTAATATGTAATAATATTCTAATAAATTAAATTATTATTGATAATATTAATCTTTAATTTCTTTATAACAAACAATTAAATACTCAATTTGGCGCGCGATTAATTTTGCTAGTACAAAATATAAAAAACGAAATGATAAAAGAAAATTATCAAAATAAATAAAATAAAACGAAGTTGAAGTATACAACGTTTACGATAAACGATTTTTAAAGAAATAATTTGTTAAAATGAAAAATTCTATAATTTTTTGCTTAAAAAATATTTTTTTATAATTTGTTGATTAATGAAAACTATAAGAAATATTTTTTATGCGAAAAATTATAGAATTTTTCATTTAAAAAATTATTTCTTTAAATAATGGTTTATCATAAACGTTGCGTATACTTCAGCGTCGTAAAAAAAATAGAAAAATAAATACCTACAAAATTCTTATTCATATTGTTTCATTGTTAATTTATTTTCTAATAAAATGATATATTTTATATATTTTGAAGTCGAAATATTAATTAATTAAATAATAATTTTTAATTTCGCTTACTGATGCCCTTTGTAATAAGGCTCCTTTCCAAATCTCAAATAAAATGGATTATTTCCAGTTTCATAACCAGGTCGCATATAATTTTGTCTTGCCAAAGAACCTTTATTTCCGTGTCCGTGTTTATCACCTCCATGCTGCCCTCTTCCTCTTTTATTCTTAAAAATAATTATAAAATTTTAATTTTAATTTAATTAAAATTTTTTTAATTTTAAAAATAAACAATTTTTATATATAAAAATTTTATATTAAAAAAACTAACAGGAAAATAAATGATTTTTAAAATGTTTAATTAAGATCGCATTATTGTTAAAAAGTTTGTTTTTTTTAAATAATTTTTTATACCTTTTTTACAGCACCAGGGTGATTTTTAAGATTTGCGATGCAAACCCGGGGTAAATTTCTCAGCATTTGGAAAGCCAATTCCCGGCCTTGTTTTACAACGTTTCCTGACATTGTTGATTTCCAATTTGTAAGTATTTAAAATTAAACTATCACTTTTCTTATAATTAATTGATTTAAATTATAGTTTAAATCATGTTTTTATTTTGGATGTTAATTTGCGCTTTTGATGAACATAACCTAAAAGATTTAGGTTATGTTATTGAAGTTCTGCTATAAAAAAAAATTTTGGAATTGCAAACATTTTAAATTATTGAATAATTAATTTTAAGTTTAAGTTTTAAATTAAATGCAAATTTATTTATATAAAACTTGAAAATCGTTTTTTTTTTGAGATTCCAGCGCAAGATTTATTTATTTTTGTAATGAAGAGACGTCACATCCGAAGTAATATGACGTCATGTGATTTCCGGCCGGCTGTTTCCAGCAGCAAGGGCAACAGAAGGGTATATATATAGTAAAGTGCTTTAATTAAATTGTTTTCCTGTCTTGTTGAATTGCTAATTATTCTCATTAAGTTAATAAAACAATCACAATGGCCCAAAGTGCAAGATTAATGTCACTTTCTGGTGGTCTTTTTAAAAATGCTGGAAATAGTATTCCCATTGTATTTTCTCAAAAAAATAGGTATGTAATAATCGATTTTTTCATATGGGATAAAAAATCATTATTTTTATTATTTTACAGAGCTATCAATTTTTTTTCACTTCTTTTTTTGCTCTGAAAACTTATGATTATAAATAATTATTTAATTATAAATTTTATTTCGCATTAATTTTTTTTTATTAATTATAGTATTATTAATTTAAAGTAATAATCTCTAATTTATTATGTAATTGAAATATTGAATAAATAATATTTTATAGTTCCTGGTGGAGTCACGTGGAAATGGGACCACCGGATGCAATTCTAGGAGTAACCGAAGCATTTAAAAGGGATAATAATCCAAAAAAAATTAATTTAGGAGTTGGTGCCTATCGAGATGACAATGGCAAACCCTTTGTATTACCTAGTGTTCTAAAAGTAATATATTTAAAAATACTGATTTAAAAAAAACAAGGAGGGGGTCCTTTATGTTTATTTCATAAACATTTTGCTTCCTCATTGTGTGAAGCAAAAAATTTGCTTCCTCGTGGAGGAAGCTATGAATTTTTCTAATCAATTGATTGATTTAAAATATTTCGAGTTAAAAACTGATTTAAATTAATTAAATTTTTTGAAAAATTAAGAAAATTTTAATTCATTTTGGGTGTAATATATACTTTATATATATATATATACGAATCGATTCATTTCAATGCAAGGAATTCAATTATTTTATGTATTAACTTGAATTTAAAAAAAAACACTAAATTTTTTAGCTAAAACATGAATTTTTGATTTTTCAATTTTTATTAATTCTTAAAATTTAAATCAAATCTATACTTTATATATACCAATCGATTCGTTTTAATGCAGGGAATAAAGTTATTTCATATATAAATTTGAATTTTAATAAACACAACATTTTTTAGTAAATTTTTGATTTTTTAACTTTCATTAATTCTTTAAATTTCAATCAAATCTATACTTTATATATACCAATCGATTCGTCTTGATGTAAGGAAGACAATTATATTATAATATTATCTTAAATTTTTCTATTTAAAAATTTTTTGGAAAAAAGACGATAAAATTTCTTTTTTTTTGGTATTTTTAAAAATCCTCTCGTCATTTTTGAGAGATTAATGTGATAAATAAGCCTACCAAATTTTATCCAAATCCATTAAAACCTTCCTTCCACGAGGAAGCAAAATTATTTCTACTATCAAGAAAGGTAATTTTTTTTATTTTTAGGCCGAGGAGAAAATGAGAGGTAAACAGTTAGACAAGGAATATTCTCCAATTTCCGGAAATATGGAATTTTGTAAACACAGTATCAATTTAGCTCTTGGAGATGATAATACTATTGTTCCAAATGGATTGGTAAATAAAATATTAATACTAATTTATTATTTAATTGCTAATACCCACATTTAACTTATAAAAATTTTTACGTCGTCGAATATTAAATTATCGAATTTCTATTTAGTAAAATTGTATAAAGTGGATTTTATATTATGCAAAATTTTCAATTTACATTTAACGAAAATTCGATTGAAAAGAATTTCTATTTAGCAGAACTCTTATAAAGCATTTTTTCTAATACTTTTTTAAAAATTTTAAATTAATATAATTTCAATTCAACAAAATTTATGTCTATAAAAATTGACAAAAAAAGAACATAGGGTAGAATTTTTCTTAAATGAGAATTCTGTTAAATAAGAATTAGTTCGAATTAAAATTTTCTTTAATAAAAACTTTGTTAATTAAGAATTTTATTAAATAGAAATTCTGTTAGTTGTGAATTTATTCAATGACAATTCTGTTAAGTAAATATTTTGATAAATCGAAATTTACTAAAATAACAATTCTGTTGAAAAAAATTGTTCTTTATGCAATTTTTATTGACATAAATTCCGTTAAATTAAAATTATATTAATTTGAAATTCAATGTACTAGAAAATCTGCTTTATTATTTTACTAAATAAAAATTTGATAATTTAAGATTTAACGCCGTAAAAATTCTTTTAAATTAAATGTTGAGAATATTTATACGTCCCCAATTACTTTATTTATTTCACTTAAATATTTTATTTTTTACGAAACATTATTTATTTGGTTCAAATACATATGAAATTAGTGGATAATAGACAGGTAAATGATTTAATTGTATCAAAATAAATTTTATTTGATCAAAATAAAAATTTTTTAATGTAATTTAGATCAGTAAAAAGTCAGGGAATTTTTGTCCTAGCATTTGTTAGATAGTATTTATTGTTTTCTAAAAATTTTTTATTTTAAAATAGAATTTTATTTTACTTTAAGCATAATAAGTTTTTGAAACTTTTTTTTAAATTTGAGGGATACTAAATTTTTTTTAAGGGATTCTAAATTTTTTTTTTTTATTTATATTTATATAAAATTTTCTTCTTTATAAAGGAAAATTTTTTTAAAATAAATGTTTCTTTTTGCTTTTATAGAATTCAACAGTACAAAGTATATCGGGAACTGGTGCACTTTGGATTGGTGCAAAATTTATAGAACATTATTTTCCCTTTAGTCGTGATGTTTATCTTCCATCTCCATCATGGGGTAATCATGCGCAAATAGTTAAATTAGCTAAATTAAATGTTAAATCTTATCGTTATTACGATCCAAAAACATGTGGATTAGATTTTCAAGGTGCCTTAGACGATATTTCCGTAAGTTGACAACAAATATTTTCATATAATTTTCTATTATTATTTATTAATTCATATTTCAGGCTTCGAAGTATTACAATTTTTTTTTACTTTTTTTTGATAATTTTTTTGGCTAGGACTAATTTTTTTAATACTAATCTTAACCAGCAGCTACTAAATGCTACTATTTCTAAATAAATGTAAAATTAATTTATTTTATTCATTTATATATAAATTTTTATTTTACAAATGACAAAAATTCCATTTTTTATTTGTTCGAATTTTTATTTTGAACGAATTTTTAAGATCCCGAATTTACATTTGTCCGAACGAACATTCGACAGAAAGATTTCGGCGCTAGTTTTAAAATTAATCAATTAGAAATTGTCGAGAAAATCGTGTTTGGTCAATTTTAAAAATTGCGCCGAAATCTTTCTGTTTAGTTATTTGTTCGGACAAATGAAAATTCGACGTCTTATAAATTCTATTAATTAAACATTCGGACAAATTTGAAATTCGGTAAAAATTTAAATTTCTGTCATTTAAAAATTTGGATCACATAAAATTTGATTGATTAACAATTCTGTTAAATTTAAATTCGATTAAATTAAAATTCTCTTATTTAAAAAGTCATGTAAATTAAATATTTATAAAATAAAAATTCTGGTAAACAGAAATTTGGTAGCTAAACAATTTTGTTAAGTATAAAAATTTGTATAAAAAAGAAATTCTGTTGAATTTTAATTTGAAAATTTGTCTAAAAAATGATTGTTTCTAATAAATTTCTTTAAAATGAAAATTCTATGATTTTTATTCGATAATAATGCGCTGAATTTTTAATTATTTTTTTTTGTTTCAGAAAATCCCGGAAAAATCGGTAATTTTATTACATGCTTGTGCACACAATCCAACTGGTGTTGATCCAAAACCAGAGCAATGGGCGGAATTATCCAATGTGATAAAAAAAAGAAATCTTTTTATTTTCTTCGATATGGCTTATCAAGGGTTCGCCTCCGGTAAGAATAAGTTTCTTCACTTTTATCAACATGTTACGATAGTAAAAAAAACATAATATATTTATATTTTTCCAATTAAATTATTACTTTTAATTATTTTATTTTAATAATACAAATTAGTAAATAAATTTGTTTTTATCAAAAATAGTTACATAAATTTCGTTCTAATATCAATTTTTGTAGGTAATTACAAATTTGTTTTATTTTTGTAAGTTGAAAATTTTTCTTCCAGGTGATGTAAATAGAGACGCTCAGGCCGTAAGATATTTTCTAAAAGACGGTCATCGAATTGCTCTTGCACAATCGTACGCAAAGAATTTTGGTTTATATGGTAAATTATTTTCTTTAATATTCAATTAATAGAATTTGAAAAAAATGGATAATTCTATTTTATTTTTTATAGGTGAACGAGTTGGCGCTTTTACATTGGTAAATGCAGATAAAGATGAAGCTGCTCGTACACTTTCTCAATTGAAAATTTTAATTCGACCAATGTATTCGAATCCACCAATTCATGGCGCGCGAATTGTTTCAGAAATTTTAGGCGATTCAAGCTTAAAAAAAGAATGGCTCTCTGATGTTAAAGGAATGGCTGATAGAATTATATCAGTGAGAACAAAACTTCGTGAGAATTTAAAGAAAAATGGAAGTACACGCGATTGGTCACATATTACTGATCAAATTGGAATGTTTTGTTTCACTGGTCTCAATGCATCTCAGGTATGTGACTTTTAATTTAAAATTAATTATTAATTATTAATTATTATTAAATAATTTTAATTATTTTAATTTCTCAATTGTTTTAGGTGGAAAATTTGACAAAAAATTATAGTGTCTACTTAACAAAGGACGGTAGAATTTCAATGGCAGGCGTTACATCGAAGAATGTTGAGTATCTTGCTCACGCTATTCATGAAGTGACAAAATAAAAAAAAAAAAACAGGAATCAGATTTTCTATCAAAAGCAATTTTGATAAATTTGAAAATATACACGATTTTTAATTGCCTTTTTTTGCATTTAGACCATTATATTTTTACTAAACTTTCAAATTTTAACATCAAATTTTGTATCTTAATTTTGCAGTGTAAAAATTTATTGCCTTTTGAAAAAAGGTATTTTAATCAAAAAAGATAGAATTTTATATACACGTTAAATTTTTAGAAAAAAGTACAATTTTTCCGAGTGTTTTATAAAAAAAAATGAATCGATAGTAGAATTTCGAAATATTATAAAATAAAAGAGATAATATTTATCTGCATTAATAATGGGTAGTAACCAAAGTTTGTGCCAAATACTTTCAGAGTTGGGGGAGATTTTATTCTAAAATGTAATGTCACATTTAATATTAATTATTACTTGTAATATTACATATGCATTTTAATTATTAATTTTTCTGCTGTTTTACATGATAGTACAAATTGTTTTATAGATGCGTTTATTTTTCTGTAAAAAAAAAAAATTATAATTTTCGACTTTTTTCCTTTTCAATTGCTCGAAAGTATTCGCGTTACTTTGGAAAATTGAGAATTTAAAAAAAAAAATTTATCGTACAGTGAAAAAAAAAAATTATTTTGAATTCAAATAAATACTTGACTATTATCAAATAAATATTTACGTGAAGGAAATAATTTTTATTTTAAACCAATAATTTTTGTATTTAAAACAAAGAACATTTAATTGACTCGATTAAAAAAAAAAATTATTTGGTTCTAGTAAATATTTATTTGGTAATAATCAAGTAATCGATTATTTGAATCAAATTTTTTTTTCAGTGTTTGCATAAAAATGAGAGATCAATAGACGCATTATTAAATACATTCCGCAGTCTTATAATACAATAAATGCATATCTGTGTATATATGTAAAAGAATATTAATAAAATCTGAAAAAATGATATTAAATTAATTTCGTTTTTCTATGTAAAAAAAATTTGAAAGAATTTAGTAATGGTTTTTTGAATTTCGCGCCTAAAAATTGACTTTAGCGGCGCAAAATTTAAATTTCCTGAATAATTTTTTTGTTTATGAATTTTTAACTAATATGAAAATATAAAATTAATAATATTTTTACCAGCTTTTGCAATGATAATTTTAATATTGAAAAAAGCGGATTTTGGCGCGCAGAACTTTAAATAAATCGCAGCAGAAAAGCAGATAACTTCAGGACATATCCAACGATTTCAGTTCACTTCAGATTGAGTCATGGATATTTAATCCTCAGGGACAACTATATAACCAAAACCAAAATAAATTTTAACCAAAAATTGTATTTGTACTATTTCTTCAAAAAAAAAAAAAATAATAAAGTGATTGTCATTTGAAAATAACAATTTATTGTTATTTCGCAGATATGTTTGTAAATAAAACGTGTTCTGTATCAAATGGTGCTAAAAAATTTTTGAGTAAGTATATTTGTTTTTATTTTTAATCGCAGATTATGTAAGTTAAAAAAAAAAGTATAACATGTGACTTGTAATTGACATTCGAAAAGACGTTTTTAAAATAATAACAAAGTTTTATATCGTTCGATTTTTTTTATATATATAAAAAATCGAAACTTTCGATGTTTAAAAGAAAAAATTTTTTTTTGATAATTTAATTTATCCTCTCTATTTTAGGAACTGCAAATTTGACTAAATATGAATTAGCGAAACAAATTCGTTTACCATTAAATCAAAGTGTTAAAGTTTTGTCTCAATGTAATAATTTAAATTCCGATGCAAAGTCTGCTTTGTTTACAAATAATCTCGTACATGGAAAAACATTAGAGGTGTGTTATCACTGCAATTTATGATTTAATTAATTTTTTATTTAATTGAATATATTTTTTATGGTAATTTTTTTTTTTCAAGCGTTTACCGGCGTCAAATTTGTCGCTCCAATATCGCATGGGAAGCTCAAATGCAGATCATGTTAAATTATGGCAAATGGAAAGAATAACGTCAGCGGCATTGCCAATTGTTTTACCAGCAGCTTTTATTATGGAGAATCCTCTTCTTGACAGTTTACTTGCTGTACTTGTTGTTGTTCACACTCATTGGTGATTATTTAGCAATTTCTTTTCCCTACTTATTAATATATATATATTTATTTATTTAATTTATATAATAAGTCCTAATTTTCAAAATTTTAGAATTTTTATCATTCCCGGCCAAAATTTTATTCTAAACGATTTTTTCGACTTTTTCCGACTTTTTTCGTTCTAATAAAATGTGACTTTTTTTTACATTTTTTAAACAAAATACGTTTTTAGTATACAATGCAGATCTTTATCAGATCTTCTTTATTTTAATAATTTTTATGAAATTCTTTACAAATTCAATTACCTATTTTAAATTATTTTTCCAATTAAATTTTTTTAGGAAATTTAATAATTGTTTATAATTTAAAAAAAAAAATTAGCAAAAATTTTAAATTCAAAATCACTTGAAATTTAATTATTTGCAAAAATTTCAATTATTTTCAATTGATTTTTATAATATTCTTCGAAAATTCAATTATCTGAAAGCATTTTTCAATTAAAAACTTTTGGAATTCAATAATTATATAATTCGCTGGGTTATTGGAAAAAAAGGACACGTCACAGTTAAATCAAACGGACGTATCCTTTTTTTCCACTAACCCAGCGAATTATATAATAATAAAATGCTTGGTCTGTCCTTCTGTCCTAACTTGAAGTTGGCCTTTTCTGATTTCACGTGTTTTTTTGAATAGTAATCTTATGACGTGTCAAATTTTGACAATTCTTTTTGTCATTTTTGCCAAAGTTGTATAATTGTGTTTCCAAATTTCGGAATAAGTTTCTTTAAAATTCCAAATTCCAAAATTCAATTCACGAAGCTGAAGTACACAACGTTTACCAACGAAATTTTTTTTAAACTTGTATATTGATTCAAAAATTGTATACAAATACAAAAAAATTATGATGAGCAAAAAGATGCGCCAGGAAATTTCTTACAAGATAGTAATTTGAAAAAAATTTATTTTTAAAAATTAATTTTTAAGGTACCAGGGGCCAACGAATACATATTAAATATTAATTATAAAAATACAGGCCTCGAATCAACTTAAAGACACAAAAAAGTCGTTTTAGTCGATTTATATTCCAAAAAAAAGTGGATTTGTTTTTTATTTTAACAAAAATATTTTACAGATTTTTAAATAAATTTTTTTTTTAATAATAATCCTTTTCGAAGGGTTAAGTTTGAAATTTTTAGAAATAATTAAATTTCAAAAGATATTGTTAATTTTCAAACAATTATTAATTTTTACAGAACTAAAAATAATTTATCAAACAATTTTTGGAAAATATTTTTTAAATTTAATTGAATTTTCAAAGATTTAAAATTGAGATTTTTGAAATTAATTGAAACTTTAAGTGTTTTGTAATTAAAATTTTAGATGGTTTCACTAAAAATTTATTAGAAAATGCGGACAAAATACAATAATTTAAAAATCATTTTTAATTGAAAAATGGTTTCAAATAGTTGAATTTTCAAAGACTATTATTAAAATAGTTAAAAATAATTGAATTTCTTTAGAGTTATAATTGAAATTATTAAATTTCAAAAAGAAAAGATTTTCAATGAAAAATTTTAGAAATAATTAAATTTTAGATGCTTTTAAATTCAAATTATTGAAAATAATTGAATTTCAATTGAAATTTTGTATAATAATTGAATTTTAATTGAAATGTTTTAAAGAATTGAATTTTATTTGATTTTAAATTGAAAATTTGGAAAATAATTAAATTTTAGAAGATTTTGAATTGAAAATTTGGAAAATAATTAAATTTTAAAAGATTTTGAATTGAAAATTTGGAAAATAATTAAATTTTAATTGATTTTAAATTGAAATTTTTAAAAATAATTGAATTTTATTTGATTTTAAATTGAAAATTTGGAAAATAATTGAATTTCAATTGAAATTTTGTATAATAATTGAATTTTAATTAATTTTGAATTAAAATTTTGGGAAATAATTGAATTTTAATTGGTTTTTAATTAAAATTTTTGGTAATAACTGAATTTGAGTTGATTTTGAATTGAAATTTTGGATAATAATTTAATTTAAGTTCAATTTTGATTGAAAATCTGGTTAATTAATTTTGAATAGAAATTTTAGAAAATAATTGAATTTTGTTTCATTTTAAATTGAAAACTTGGTAAATAATTAAATTTTAAATTGAAAATTTTTGATAATTATTGAATTTTAATTGATTTTGAATTAAAATTTCGGGTAATAATTGAATTTTAGTTTATTTTGAATTGAGATTTTTAAAAAATAATTCAATTGTATTGTGATATTTTTTTTTAAATTATAAACAATTGCTAAATTTCATAAAAATTTTAATTGAAAAATAATTTTGATATAATTGAATTTGTGATGTATTTCATTAAAATTATTAAAAATAATTAATTTAGTGAAGAATCATTTTTGTTCAAAATTTGTTAAATAATTGAATTGAAGAAGATTTGAAGAAGATCTACATTTTATACTAAAAAAATGTATTTTATTTACATTTTTTTTCAAATGTAAAAAAAATGTCGCACTTTATTAAAAGAAGTCGATAAAAGTCGTATTTTTGAAAAAAGTCGGAAAAAGTCGTATAATCCGAGGCCTGTAAACATATAATTTTCATTTTTATCATTTAATATTTTAATATTCTAATAAATTAAATTATTATTGATAATATTAATCTTTAATTTCTTTATAACAAACAATTAAATATTTAATTTGGCGCGCTTGCGAGTGTTTAATTTTGCTAGTAATAAATAAAATAAATACTTATTTTAGTTAAAAAAAAAGTTACAGTAAAGAAATCAAATAAAATTTTAAAAAAATCAATTTTAAATATATATTATTATTTAGAACAAAATTTTGTCCGGGAGTGATGAAAATTCGAAAATTTTGAAAATTCAGACCAATTATTATTATTATTATTATTATTATTATTATTATTATTATTATTATTATTATTATTATTATTATTATGTATATGGAAAATAATTTTAATTTTTGTTTTTAGGGGATTGGAAGCAATAGTTGTTGATTATGCACGACCAATTATAATGGGTACAGTTTTACCGAAAATTTTACATTTATTATTAAGTTTCCTCTCAGCTGTGACACTTGCTGGTTTACTTGTTCTCATTTACAATGGGCCAGGAATTGCGAAAACAGTTAAAAATGTATGGAACATTGGCAAAGAAGAGTCAGTAGAAAAATGAATAAAATCATAAAATTTCAATTCGGTTTGTTACATTAATTAAGTAATAATAAATTACTTTGCAAAATTATATATAAATATATATTATGTATGTAGAAAAAAAACAACGATAACTAATACAAAAATTCTAAAAACTTTTAGAGTTTCAATCTCTTTTTTCCTAAAAGTAACTTCTTTATTATTATTATTATTAGAAAATATTCAAAATAATTATATTATCATAAATTATTAAAAGTAATTATATTCTTTTTATAAATTATTAATTATTATTTTTATAAACAATAGTAATACTATTCCAACATTTAAATTCAGGTTTTTAATTGGCTGATATATTCTTTTATTGGACAAAAGTTTCCAAATTTATTTCACCCAATGAGAGAACTACTAATCTTTGTTTTTCAACTTATCCCACCCTGCTTCAGTTATGCATTGTGAATATGCCTTTAAGTTCTTTCAGTTTTTTTTCCTTGCTCTGTGTATTTTAGGAAATGTCTTTAATAATTATAAGTTGAATATTTATAAGTGATTAAAATTAGTGTTTTTTTGTTATTTTAATTAATAATTCGATAATGAGAATATCTATAGAATCATCATACCGATAGGAGGTGAAAAAAAACAATAGCAAAATTGACATCAAAAAATATTGAAAATAAAAAAAAAAGTTTGTTTGCTGTGCATATATATGTATATATAAGGTTATAGTTTTTTTATGTTTAAAACAAAATCAAAAGTAATGATTTATATGGATAGTAATTAAAATTTAGTGAATTTCGTGTTTATATTTATATATATATGTATTTATATATATAAATAAACATATGTAAATATTGTTCCATTTTGGAAAATCTTAATAATAATATCTGTAATCAAAATATTTATTTCATTATGGATGATCTACAAAATTACAGATTGCAACTTCAACAAGTGAGTAAAATTATTTTTTTTCGTTTTTAATTATTTTGAAGAACTTCACTCAAAAGATTCGTTTTTTTTACTCTAAACTGTAAAGTACGTTTACTATACTTATTTTTTTTTTACTATAGAGTGTTTTTTTTTTTAAAGGTTGAAGCTGCTTTAACAACAGATCCGTCTAATAAAGAATTATTGAAATTAAAAATCGATTTGGAAGAAGTAATAGAATTAACGCACGATCTCATTAAATCACAACAACAAGAAAAACGACAAACTGAAGAACCGGATATTAAAGATCCTATTCTTCTTGCAGTATTAGCAAATAAATGGAATGTCGGAGAGCTTTGTATGGCTCCATGGAGCGAAGATGGAAAGTAAGTTTACTCATTTCTTTTTTTTAATAATCTTTATTTTTGTACTTGAATAAAAAAAAAAATATAATTCTATTCAGGTATTACGAGGCTACCATTGATGGAATAAACGAAGACGGTGTAGTTAATGTTACATTTAACGAATACAAAAACACAGACGTTACAATGCTCAGTCAATTAAAATCACTCGCTAAAAGACCAGCGTCCGATTGGGCTGATCAAAAAGCAAAGTAAGTATTTTATTTTTATCAAACAGAATCAGATTACGAAATACCACATTTTGATACTTTTTTTGGCCAGGGCTATCTTTCTAATACTAATTTTGTGCAGAAGCTACTAAATAATACTATTTCTAAATAAATGTAAAAAAAAATTGCCATAATTGTGTAGTTTTTAAGTTTATTAATTGATAATTAATTAATTATGCTACAACTCTTCACAAATTTCAGAAAAATTCTCTTAATCAGTGTGTCTAACGGTCAGGGAACTCAGGAAAAAGTCAGGGAATTTTTTTTAATTTTCTGGAATTTTTTATAAATAAATTAAAGTAACTATTAGTTTCAAAAAAAATTTTACTTTTTTCCCAAAGCAAATGCAAATTAAAAAGTTGTCCTTCACACTCAATTATTAACAGAATGTCTAAGTAAATTTTTCTAAAAATCACTTTTAATTAAAATTTTCATTTTAATTCGTTATAAAATGTAAAGTTCTGAATACTTTTACATACAATTTACAGGATTTATAGTTTAAACTATCCTTTGAATGATTCTTAATAATAATTGATGTTTAATTTTTAAAAAATTATTAATTTTTTTTGTTGCTCAGTGCTGCAAGGCTTAATATTATTCAAAAGCTTCGTTTATCTAGGGAATTTTCTCTGATGATAAACTTCCTTTGAATAAAATGTTCATTGATAATAAAAAAAAAAGTGTATTAAAATAAAACTTTACAGTAATCTTTATTGTGTAACAATAAACATTTTATTAAGAGGAATTTTGTCTTCAAGAAAAATTCCCTACATAAACGATGCGTTTGAAAAATATAAATCCCTATACAAAACACTGAGCAACAAATAAATTAATGACTTTTTTTCTAATTAAAAAATGTAGAATTATTATTAAGAATCATTTAAAGGATAGTTTAAACTATAACTCCTGTAAATTGTATGCAAAAATATTCAGAACTTTTCATTTTAGAACGAATTAAAGTAAAAATTTTAATTAAAAGTGATTTTATTGAAAAATTTTGATTTTTGCTTTTTTCTTAAAAACTGTTACAAATAGAAAAAAAAATTATGATGTGAATAAAGATGCGCCAGAAAATTTCCTACTAGATGTATAGTAATTTGAAAAAATTTATTTTTAAAAATTGATCTTTAAGGTACCAGGGGCCAACGAATACCGCTGTAGAAATTTTAATTATAATATCCGGCGGCTCATACTTAACATAGGCGGAATATTTATCTGAAAAATGCTTTAAAAATTCCGCCTACAATAAATATATGTAATTTAGGGTCAATATACAATTTTAAACAAAAATTTCGTTGATAAACGTTGTGTACTTCAGCATCGTGAATTGAATTTTTGAATTTGAATTTCGAATTTTAAAGAAACTAATTCCGAAATTTGGAAACACAATTATATAACTTTGGCAAAAACGAAAAAAGAATTGTCAAAAGTTGACACAAATTTGACACGTCATAAAATTACAATTCAAAAAACACGTGAAATCAGAAAAGACCAACTTCAAGTTAGGACAGAAGGACAGACCAAGCATTTTATTATTATATATATATATATAATAATTGCTAATACCCACATTTAACTTATAAAAATTTTTACAGCGTCGAATATTAAATTATCGAATTTCTATTTAGCAAAATTGTATAAAGTGGATTTTATATTATGCAAAATTTTCAATTTACATTTAACTAAAATTCGATTGAAAAGAATTTCTATTTAGAAGAACTCTTATAAAGCATTTTTTCTAATACTTTTTTTGAAATTTTAAATTAATATAATTTCAATTCAACAAAATTTATGTCTATAAAAATTGACAAAAGTAACTAGGTAGAATTTTTCTTACATGAGAATTCTGTTAAATAAGAATTAATTCGAATTAAAATTTTCTTTAATAAAAATTTTGTTAATTAAGAATTTTGTTAAATAGAAATAATGTTAATTGTGGATTTATTCAATGAAAATTCTGTTAAGGAAATATTTTGATAAATCGAAATTTACTAAAATAACAATTCTTTTTAAAAAATTGTTCTTTATGCAATTTTTCTTGACATAAATTCCGTTAAATTGAAATCGTATTAATTTGAAATTCGATGTACTAGAAAATCTGCTTTATATAATTTTACTAAATAAAAATTTAATAATTTAAGATTTAACGCCGTAAAAATTCTTTTAAATTAAATGTTAAGAATATTTATACGTTCCCAATTTAGTTTATTTATTTCATTAAAATATTTTATTTTTTACGAAACATTATTTATTTGGTTCAAATACATATGAAATTAGTAAATAATAGATAGGTAAATGATTTAATTGTATTAAAAAGAAATTTTATTTGATTAAAATAAAAAAGTCAGGGAATTTTTTTCCTAGCAGTTGTTAGACACCTTGTTAAATAAGAAAAGAGGTTTAAAGTCTTACATCGCTCCATATTTTTTAGTGTTTATTGTTTTCTTACAATTTTTTATTTTAAAATAGAATTTTACTTTACTTTAAGCATAAATACGTTTTTGGAACTTTTTTTTTAAATTTGAGAGATAATTTTCATACTTTTTTTAGTAATATAATATACTTCGAAGCAAGTAATTGAATTTTTTAATTTATTAATTTAAAAATAATTGAATAATCAAAGATCTTTAATTAAAAATTTTCAAATTAATTTAACATTTAAAAAATTACAGTTGAGATTATTGTTTTCAAATTAATTTCCAAATCTAAGAATTATTTATTTATTTATTTATTTATTTAACAATATATACAGGTTTACAAAAGAAAAAATTAATTTAAAATTATAGTTTGGATTGGATTTTTGATGAATTTTTACGGGCATTTTTGAAATTAGCTGAAATTTTTAATGAAAATTTAATTAAAATTTTTCAAAAATAACTGAATCTTAATATTCAATTTTTAAAATAATGTAATTTTTAAAGAATTTTAGTTGAAGATTTGAAAATAATTGGATGTTTTAAATATTTAAATGGAAATTTTTAATGATAATTGAATTTATAATGGTTTAAATGAAAATGTTGGAAATAATTAAATTTTTTGAAAAATTTGAATTGCAATTTTTGAATTAAAATTATTGAAGAGCGTTTAATTGCAATTTTATTTGGGTAATTTAATTTCCAAGAATTTTAATTTGAAGTATTTAAAATAATAATTGAACTAGTTAGAAATATTATTAATATATTAAAAAAATAGTTGAATTTTTGGAGGTTTTTCAAATAATCAAATTCGAAGAATTTTTTTGCACAAATGTGTAGATTTTTGTATTAATTAATTAATTAATTATCAATTAGTATACTTGAAAACTACACTATCCTGGCAATTTTTATACATTTATTTAGAAAAAATAGCATTTAGTAACTTCTTGTCAAAATTAGAATTAAAAAAGTAGCCCCTGCTCAAAAAAGTATCAAAAAAAGCAAAAAATTGTGATAATTCCAAGCATGTAAGTATTTTATTCTTTAAAAAGCAAGAATTTTTCTTTATAAAAACAAAAATAATAAGAGAAAAAAAAATACTATTTAAATAATTTTTTATAATTACAAATTTTTAAAAATTAAAATCATTTCTTTTTTTTTAGAAAAATGCAAGTAGCAGCTGTAGCTGGAGCCGATCCAAATAAACAACGGGAATATTTAAAGAAAAAGAAACAAAAAAAGCTTCAACGATTTAAAGAACTCGAAGAAGAAAGGGAGCAGGAAAAAAATAAATGGTTGGCATTTGCAAATAAGGTAAATAATTTTATAAATTTTCAATTCTTTTCTTTTTTTTTTCAAAACTATTTTTTAATTATATTTTTTTTTCTTTTGCAGTCAACTAAAAAAGGTGTAATTAAAAAAAGTATTTTTGCAACGCCAGAAAATGCAAATGGTCGAGTTGGTATTGGAACTTGTGGTGTTAGTGGTCGTGAAATGACAAAATTCAGTAACGGTGAAAAGTGGAGGCGTGGTACATAAATATATTTGTAAATATATATATATATATAACTAGGTCAGTAAGTTTATATATTAAGGGACATTCTATTTTTTTTTTTAATTTATCATTCGATGAAATTTATTTTGTTTCAAAAAACAGTTTTCTCAAACTCTTTAATTTTATTTAGATAAAATTTAACACTTAGATTTTATTATCTTTAATTTCACTGTTCATTTAATAAATTATATGACTGCTAAATATGTAATTTTTTGTGAAAAATGTTAATTTTTCGTAAAGTGCAATTTTAGCAAAAAAAAAATTGATTATTCAAAATTTAAAAATTATTTGTATATAAATAATTTAAAATTCTTTCTTCGTCATCATTTAAATCGTTCATTGATCTTTTTCTTCTACCGAGAAAAAGTGTTGAAGTTCCGCTTGTTGAAGAAAAATTGTGAAACAGCAACTATAAATAATTAATTTTGTTATCTTTTAATTATTTAAATAATTAAGCAATTTTTTTTTTTTGCTTACCATTATTAATCGAACGAGATAAACGGCAAATGTGAGAAATGAAATTGCCATTAATGCACCTTCCAATGAAGGAAAACCCAAAGAATCATCATCGTGTTGATGTTCGTATCTTTTTTGACGTTTATTTCTTTTTACATCCTTGTATGGTACAATTGTTGCAGCTAATCGATTTTCTAAATTCGATATTTAAAATAATAAACAAACTTTTGAGGATTAAATTCTAAATTAAGATTTGAATATAAAAAATTTATTTTAAATGAAAATTTAATTTAGGAATTTCACTCACCAACTTCAGATAAAAGAATTTTTTCAAAATTTCGTAGAAATTTAATTTTTCCCTTAAGAGTATGTGGCTGTGCTTTCAAAATTAAATGGACTTTTTTAAAAAATTTAATTGGCAAATAATATAAAAAGCGTTTATCAGCTTCATTTTTCGTTTCATTTGAAGAATAATTTTGCGATGTATTACAAAAATTTGAATCCTTTTTTGCTGCCTCGGTCGAACATGTTGGATATAATTTTTCTAATTTATCATTTCCATTTAATTGTTCCCCCTTTCAAAAAAAAAAAAAAAAGTTATAACTAATTTTTATATTTAATCAAAATGCAAAATAAATTAACATTAATAAAAATAGAAATAATTGAATAAATAATATTTCTTACAGGTACTTCGTCTTCTGAATTTTGTATTTTTTGTAAATTTTTCTTTTCTTCACTTTTCTCCACTGTAACATTATCAAATTTTCTAATTGATTCAGTCGTCAATTTAATAGGTAAAACTGTCGTTGTACAAGTATCATTCACAATAACAAAATTTTCCAATCCTTTACGATAAATTGTTTTTTCAATCACAGATTGTTTATGAAATTTATCAATTTTTTGATAATTAGATTGAATCACAGGACGTGTATTGATTTTAATTTCACTTTCATTGCGCGGTGAATGAAAAAATTGAAACGATGTTCTATAAACTTTTTCATTATTTGAAAATTGTGGTAGTTCAACCCATTCGGATTTAATTATTTTCAATTTAATCCAAAAAGTTAAAGAAATTATCAGCAATTTGTAATTGTTTATCATTTTTTTTTTCTTTTGATTAATAAATTAGAATTTTATTTTTTGAAAATTGATTTTATTTTTTTGCAGTTTTTACACAAGAAACTGTTTTAGATTGAATACTGTCAACTTGGAAAAATTACAAAAGCAAAGTAAAGAAATTATAATTGAGCTATTATTTCAAGCAGACACTTGGGACCGTTCGTTTGGTGGCATAATTAACTCCCACTTGTAACAAAAATTTTCAAACTGCTCTAGATATTTTCATTTTTTTTTTTTTTTTGTTTTATTTGTTCGGCAAAAAGAAATAAACAAAAATTTGTTCTTAATAAATAAATTTATTTAAATGAACAAATATGAGAAATTAACTAGATTAAAAAAAAATTACAATTTGATACAAAAGAAATTGATATTTAAAAAAAAAAATTACAAATTTTTGATACAAAAGAAATTGAAATGGAAACAAAAATTTCGGCAAAAAAACAAAAATCTTTGTTGAAAAGAAAAATTTTAATTTTTTACAATGAAAATATTTTATGATATTTTTTATAATAATAAATCAAAAATTAAAATTTTAATGCCTTGGTCTATCGCGATCTCTTCTTCGTCCTCCTCGATCATTTTCTCGTTCTCTTCGATGACGATCCTTGTCTCTTTCTTTTTCTTTAATCATTGTATTTTGTAATTTTGGCGAACGACTTCTTTTCCTCTGACGTCTGTCTCTATCTCTCTCTTTACTTCTCGATCTTTGTCTCTCTCTATCGGATCTTTTCTCCGTTCTTGAATATCTTTTATCTCTATCTTTATTACGATCACGTTCACGATCGTAATCGTCATTTCTCTTACGATTATCAACTCTCAATGTTGGTAAATCTTCTTCTTCTTCAGATGATGACGATTCAATTGCTTCATCCATATCGTCTTCAAGTGCCGAAACTTTTGCTTCTATAGAAAAAGAAATTTTAAGTTATTTTTTGGAAAAATTCAATTATCTTTGAAAAATATAAAAAAAAGTTTAGAAAAATAATTTTTTTTTTACTTGGAAAAAATGTATATTTTTAAATATCTTGAATTTTGTTTCAATTTTTTTAAAAATTGTTTCTAATTCGACATTTTTGTAATTTTTTTTTGTTTTCACAGGGTGTCTAACAGCTAGGAAAAAAATTCCCTGACTTTGTCCTGATCTAAATTACACTAAAAAAATTTTTATTTTGATCAAATAAAATTTATTCTGATACAATTAAATCAATTTACCTGTTTATTATCCACTAATTTCATATGTATTTGAAATAAATAATGTTTCGTAAAAAATAAAATATTTAAGTGAAATAAATAAACTAATTGGGGACGTATTAATATTCTCAACATTTAATTTAAAAGAATTTTTACGGCGTTAAATCTTAAATTATTAAATTTTTATTTAGTAAAATTATATAAAGCAGATTTTCTAGTACATTGAATTTCGAATTAATACAATTTCAATTTAACGGAATTTATGTCAAGAAAAATTGCGTAAAGAACAATTTTTTTCAACAGAATTGTTATTTTAGTAAATTTCGATTTATCAAAATATTTACTTAACAGAATTTTCATTGAATAAATCCGCAATTAACAGAATTTCTATTTAACAAAATTCTTAATTAACAATGTTTTTATTAAAGAAAATTTTAATTCAAACTAATTCTTATTTAACTGAATTCTCATTTAAGAAACATTCTACCTAGTTCTTTTTTTTCAATTTTTATAGACATAAATTTTGTTGAATTGAAATTATATTAATTTAAAATTTCAAAAAAAGTATTAGAAAAAATGCTTTTTATAAGAATTCTGCTAAATATAAATTCTTTTAAATCGAATTTTAGTTAAATGTAAATTGAAAATTTTGCATAATATAAAATCCACTTTATACAATTTTGCTAAATAGAAATTCGATAATTTAATATTCGACGGCGTAAAAATTTTCATAAGTTAAATGTGGGTATTAGCAATTATTATTATTATTATTATTATTATTATTATTATTATTATTATTATTATATAATAAAATGCTTGGTCTGTCCTTCTGTCCCAACTTGAAGTTGGTCTTTTCTGATTTCACGTGTTTTTTGAATTGTAATTTTATGACGTGTCAAATTTGTGTCAAATTTTGACAATTCTTTTTTCGTTTTTGCCAAAGTTGTATAATTGTGTTTCCAAATTTCGGAATTAGTTTCTTTAAAATTCCAAATTCAAATTCAAAAATTCAATTCACGAAGCTGAAGTACACAACGTTTATCAACGAAATTTTTTTAAAAATTATATATTGACCCTAAATTACATATATTTATTGTAGGCGGAATTTTTAAAGCATTTTTCAGATAAATATTCCGCCTATGTTAAGTATGAGCCGCCGGATATTATAATTAAAATTTCTACAGCGGTATTCGTTGGCCCCTGGTACCTTAAAGATCAATTTTTAAAAATAAATTTTTTCAAATTACTATACATCTAGTAGGAAATTTTCTGGCGCATCTTTATTCACATCATAATTTTTTTTTCTATTTGTAACAGTTTTTAAGAAAAAAGCAAAAATCAAAATTTTTCAATAAAATCACTTTTAATTAAAATTTTTACTTTAATTCGTTCTAAAATGAAAAGCTCTGAATATTTTTGCATACAATTTACAGGAGTTATAGTTTAAACTATCATTTAAATGATTCTTAATAATAATTCTTCATTTTTTAATTAGAAAAAAAGTTATTAATTTATTTGTTGCTCAGTGTTTTGTATAGGGATTTATATATTTCAAACGCTTCGTTTATGTAGGAAATTTTCCTTGAAGAGAAAAAATTCCTCTGAATAAAATGTTTATTGATACACAATAAAGATTACAGTAAAGTTTTATTTTAATACACTTTTTTTTTATTATCAATGAACATTTTATTCAGAGGAAGTTTATCATCAGAGAAAATTCCCTAGATAAACGAAGCTTTTGAATAATATTAAGCCTTGCAGCACTGAGCAACAAAAAAATTAATAATTTTTTTAAAATTAAAAATGAATTATTATTAAGGATCATTCAAAGGATAGTTTAAACTATAAATCCTGTAAATTCTATGTAAATGTATTCAGAACTTTACATTTTATAACGAATTAAAATGAAAATTTAAATTAAAAGTGTTTTTCAGAAAAATTAATTTTTTTTTTTGCATTTTTCTCAAAAATTTGTCACAAATACAAAAAAATTTATCAAAAGAAAAAAGATGCACCAGAAAATTTCGTACAAGATAGTATTTTTTTTTTTTTTTTTTTTTATTGTTTTTGTTGATAAACGTTGCGTACTTCAGCTTCGTTACAATTCTATTAAATATTAATTATATAAACATTTTGTATTAAACCAAGTCCACTTCTGGGCCGAATGGCTGAAGCTTAATTAATAAATAATAATAATAATTATATAAACATATAATTTTTATTATCATTTAATATGTAATAATTTTCTAATAAATTTAAATTATTATTGATAATATTAATTTTAATTTCTTTATAACAAACAATTACGCGCGTTTAACTTTGCTAGTTAAATAATAAATTATTCGTATTAATGAATAATTTACTTTATTTGAAATTGAAGCGATAAAATAAAATTGTATCAAATAATTTTTATTTATATTAAAAAACCAAATATTTCACTGAAAAAAATTGTTATCCAAGTTTAAAAAATCATTTTTTAGATTCAATAAATAGTAGTAAATAATTATTTACTTAATGAATATAAGATATATATCACATGCTTAATAATTAAGTGTGATGACTAAATTTTTAATTTGCATTTGCTTTGGGGAAAAAGTAAAATTTTTTTTTGAAACTAATAGTTACTTTAATTTATTCATAAAAAATTTCAGAAAATTAAAGAAATTCCCTGACTTTAACCTGACCGTTAGACACCCTGAAATTGTTTCTAATTCAAAATTTTTTTTTTTATTTTCAAAAAAGGTCGAGTTTTTTAAAATATTCACAATAAGATGTAATATTGAAAAAAAAAAATTGTAGAAAAAATTTTTCAATTAATTTCTTAAATAACTATTTTATTATAATTTTCATTAAAAACATTAAATTAGAATGTTTATTTGGAGAAATTTATGTTTCTCAGTAACTGAAATAAATTTTAGTTTAATTTAAAAAATTTAATGTAATTTAAATTTAATTTTTTCTTCTTTTTCTTACCTAATTCATTATTCTCTTCTAAAACATGTCTCCTTTGTACTCTTGGTAAAATAACATCGCAACATCTTTCGTCTCTTAATAATTCATCAATAAGTTCATCCATATGAACAAGTTCAAAAACACCATCTTTATTTTGTCGTCTCAATTTTCGATTATCGTTAAACAATGGTTCCAAATATTTATAACAATCCAATGATGTGCCCGTTAAACGCATATAAAGCGCTCCCAATGCACGAACATATTTGAATTCTTCATTTTTTATAAATTCCACAATAATATCTTTCTCCGGTTGTATTTGTAGCATTTTTAAAATTAAACAAAGAAAAGGTGTTGGTTTTGTATTGCCACCATAAATTCCACCAATGTATCTAAATTGTAAATTTAATTTAAATTTAATTCCCTTTTTCTTATTTATTATTTATAATATTTATTTTCTTATTTCTTTCATTTGCCATTAAATTTAATTTAAAAAAGAAAAAAAAAGTAGTTTCAAAAAAATTTATTTTAAGGTTATAAAATTTGTTTTCATCAAAAAGTTTTTTTCTAACAAAAAAAAAGTGATTAATATTAAAATTGATAATTACATACCTTAATTCCATCGCTTTGTCAACTAATAATTCAGCCGTAAGAGCAAAACATTCTTCTTTCCAATATTTAGAATCATATATTCTTGATCTTATAATTTTTTCCACTAAATATTGGGGATTTGTTCCTCGAATTGATTTCGCATCTTTTACTGTTCGATTAGCCATTATTAAAATAAATCACTAACAATTAATGCAAATCTAATTTATTTTCATTTTAATTATTTAATTTGAAATTTTCTTTTAATTTCTTTGTAATATAACCTTTCTTGAAATTACTTCAGGGATGGGAAGATAAATTAGATAAACTTTAAGGCTGGTATTCAATGCTATTATCGACCTTCTGTAAATTCAAGGCATTTAATTGGCTGTCACTGAATAACTTGTCCAGAATGCAACGAATCATAATACTGGTAAATTTAAAATTTCCTTTTGGTAAAAGTGACCGCACTGTGAATTTTATTTTTTGACAGTTGTCATTTGATTTAATTATTATTTATAATTATTGTTAATTTAATTATTGCTGTTACTTACAGAAGAGAAGAAGAAATATTTTAGTTATTTTTACTATTTAACTTGTACAAGTATGTACAATTATGTATTATTTATTATTATTTGCCATGTGAAAAGTTTTGTCACCTGAATATTGGTATGTATTAAATTTGAAATTAATTATTAATGTTAATAAACATTAAAATATAAGTAACTAGATGAATAACATTGGAAAATAGTTGAAACAAATTTATTTGACAGGTTAAGAAAGTTTTATGTATGATTTAAATGATTAAAATTAGTAATTTAACCTGAAAATAAGTTTTGGATAAGTAGATTTAAATTCTTCTGTTATTTAAATGTAAAAAATAGAAACGAATGTACAATTTCAATTTTATTTATTCGTACAAGAAAATTACATTTCTTTTTGAATTTCACTGCAATTTTTTTTTTTTTTTTATTTCTATTATTGTTGATCGCGAAAAAAACTTGTAGTAATTAAATAATTGTTTATTTTTAAATCTGTGAATTTAAAAAGTAATAATAATAATTAGTCAATAAAAGTGATGTCAATTTTTTGTAAATATATTTTTACTTACTTTCAAGTAAATTTTGATTTATCCAAGACAAGTTCTAAACATTTTAGAACACACATTGGTACAGCATCCATTTGATGGACTGTCTGGATTACACCATTTACCTTCTCTTTTGCACGCGGCATTTATTGTCGTCAAATAAAGACTTAAAAATAAACAAAATAACAAAATGTATATATTTTTTAAGGAATACATTTTTATTTTTTTTTTAACTCGAAAACAATTTTAAATTTGAAAAATAGTAGTCCAATTTTTTTGTTGCAGTATTTATATATTTTCTTTTTTTGATAAGAAATGTCCATTATGCATTTTAATGTAAAAACAAAAACAGAAAGTAATTTTTTAGTTCCTTATCAACCGCCATGGACAACAATTATCTAAAAAAAAGGGGAATTTTTTAAGAAAGGAAAATTATTTTTTTTATTTTTTTTTACTTGTATATATTTTAATAATTGTTACTATTTTTAATATTATTTGAAACGAATTTTTTTTCTACTTATATATTATAATAATAACAATAATAATACAGTGGAACCTCGATTATCCAAACCTCTATTATTCGAACCCTCTATTATCCGAATCGAAAAACATTTTATCCGAACTTCTATTATCCGAACTATTTTTTGGTCTCCCGAATTTTAAATTTTATTTTCTCTATTTATTTTATCATTCAAAGCAAAATAACCAAATTTATGCCAAAAAAAATCTTAAAAATTTCCGAATTTTCTGAGTTTTTAATATATTATTAATTAATATATATTTACATATATGTATATACTTATGTATATTTAAAAACATATGTATTAAGTTAAATATATAGTTCAACTGTACATTTTTTTACTTTAATTATAAAAAAAATTAAAATCTCTATTATCCGAATTTTCGATTATCCGAACCCGGCCTTGCCTAGATTAGTTCGGATAATCGAGGTTCCACTGTAATAAAATATAATAATAATTTTTTTTATTATCAGAAATTATAATTTTATTTATTTCAATTGGAGTAAAAATTAAAATTTTTTTGAATATCAAATTTCAGAAAAATGTTTTATTGCAATTTGACGGTAAAATAAATGGTTTATAGTTAAAAAAAAAAAAAAAAAATTGTCGCGACTTGATGGTAAAATAAATTGCCAAGTCAAAAAATACAAATAATCATTTGAGAGATAAAAAGTATTTGTTCTGTAAAATTAAAGAATTATTATCAGCAAAAAAAAAAAAAATTATCGGTAAAAAATTAATTATATTTCAACGACAAAATTTGGTTGTATTATTTTATTTTTTGCACAAATGAAATAGAAATTACAATATAAATTTGTAATTTATATAAAATAGTTACTCAATTATTAAAGACATTTGCTTCTTCTTCTAGAACACATTTGATAGCAACATTCACTACTTGCATCACATGTTTCACCTTTATTTTTACATTTGGCATTTATTGTCATTAAAAAATAATTTAAAATCAAATAAAAAAATATAAGATATATTTTTAAAGAATACATTTTAATAAATTGCCAACTTTGATCAAGTTTCAAATGAAAAATAGTTAATATATATATATAGCTGCGTGTTTGGTGCAGTATTTATATAATTTTTTACGTTAAGGAAAAATTGTTTTAACAATTTGGAAAAGGAAAAATAGTTTAAATACACTTTTTTTATCTAAACAAAAAAAAAACAAATTAAACAAATTATTTTAAAAACAAAAAAAAAATAATCCCTATAATTTAAAAGTAATTAATATTTTATTTTAAAATAATTTCATATATAATTCCAAAAAATTCCAAAATTATAGGTATATTAAATATAAATTTAAAAATAATTTCAATTAAAATTGATAATTTAAAATTAAAAGATATTTACATTTTTTAAAAAAATGTAGAATCAGAAATTTCGGAAATAATTTTAAAAAATCAATTTTCGATTTTAAAATGGAATTTCATATTTTTTTTTTTTTTGCCATTTAGTTTTCCAAATTGTTTCGAATTCGGATATTATTTAGAAATAAAATTTCTTTTTTCTTTAATTTATTTACATTAGCAGTATTTATATAATTTTTTCATACATAAAAAAATTATTGTTTTTTCAAAATTCTGGAAAAAAAATTAGAATAATTATTTGCAAAAGAAAAAAATAATTCAAGTTCTTATCTAACGTCAAGGAAAACAAAAAAAAATTAATTACGAAAATATTTTACTTTTTTTTCTATTTTTATTATTCAGAAAAAAGAATATTTATTACTAGCAAAATTAAACGCGCGCAAGAGCGCCAAATGGAGTATTTAATTGCTGTTATAAAGAAATTAAAGATTAATATTATCAATAATAATTTAATTTATTAGAATAATATTACATATTAAATGATAATAATGAAAATTATATGTTTACAGGCCTCGGATTATACGACTTTTTCCGACTTTTTTCAAAAATACGACTTTTATCGACTTCTTTTAATAAAGTGCGACATTTTTTTTACATTTAAAAAAAAATGTAAATAAAATACATTTTTTTAGTATAAAATGTAGATCTTCTTCAGATCTTCTTCAATTCAATTATTTAACAAATTTTGAACTAAAATGATTCTTCACTAAATTAATTATTTTTAATAATTTTAATGAAATACATCACAAATTCAATTATATCAAAATTATTTTTCAATTAAAATTTTTATGAAATTTAACAATTGTTTATAATTTAAAAAAAAATTACAATAAAATTGAATTATTTTTTAAAAATTTCAATTCAAAAAAAACTAAAATTCAATTATTACAAGAAATTTTAATTCAAAATCAATTAAAAATCCAATAATTATCCAAAATTTTCAATTTAACATTTAATTATTTACCAAGTTTTCAATTTAAAATGTAATAAAATTCAATTATTTTCTAAAATTTCTATTCAAAACTAATTATCCAAATTTTTAATCAAAAATGAACTTAAATTAAATTATTATCCAAAATTTCAATTAAAATTCAATTATTTCCCAAAATTTTCAATTCAAAATGAACTGAAATTCAATTATTTTCCAAATTTAAAATCAAAATTAAATTTCATTATTCTCAAAAATTTGAATTCAAAATTAATTGAATTTTCAATAATTTGAATTTAAAAGCATCTAAAATTTTATTATTTCTAAAATTTTGCATTGAAAATCTTTTTTTTTGAAATTTAATAATTTCAATTATAACTCTAAGGAAATACAATTATTTTTAACTATTTTAATAATATTCTTTGAAAATTCAACTATTTGAAACCATTTTTTACTTCAAAAGTTTTTAAATTATTTTATTTTTATCTGTAATTTCTAATAATTAAATTTTTTTTGTGAAATCATCTAAAATTTTAATTACAAAACACTTAAAGTTTCAATTAATTTCAAAAATCTCAATTTTAAATCTTTGAAAATTCAATTAAATTTAAAAAATGTTTTCCAAAAATTGTTTGATAAATTATTTTTAGTTCTGTAAAATTTATTAATTGTTTGAAAATTAACAATATTTTTTGAAATTTAATTATTTCTAAAAATGTCAACTTTAACCCTTCGAAAAGGATTATTATTAAAAAAAAATGTTTAATTTAAAAATCTGTAAAATATTTTTGTTAAAATAAGAAACAAATCCACTTTTTTTTGGAATATAAATCGACTAAAACGACTTTTTTGTGTCTTTAAGATGATTCGAGGCCTGTGTTTTTATGATTAATATTTAATAGGTATTCGTTGGCCCCTGGTACCTTATAAATTAACTTTTAAAAATAAATTTTTTTCAAATTACTATCTTGTACGAAATTTCCTGGCGCATCTTTTTTCTCATCATAAATTTTTTGTATTTGTATACAATTTTTAAATGAATATACAACTTTAAACAAAAATTTCGTTGGTAAACGTTGTGTACTTCAGCTTCGTGATTTGAATTTTCGAATTTGGAATTTTAAAGAAACTTATTCCGAAATTTAGAAACACAATTATACAACTTTGGCAAAAATGAGAAAAAGAATTGTCAAAATTTGACACGTCATAAGATTACTATTCTAAAAAACACGTGAAATCAGAAAAGGCCAACTTCAAGTTGGGACAGAAGGACAGACCAAGCATTTTATTATTATATATAATTTTGATTATTATTCGATGGAAAAATTACTGGAAAAAAGAATTGAATTTAATGAAATAAATAAAAACAAATTGGAAACTTCCAATAAAATTTATTTTTATATTAATATTCTTTGAATACAATTTCTTAGACACAAAATATTTGTATTTTTATATAAAAAAAAGATTTATTTAATTATTGTTCTTGATCAATTCCATAAATAAGTTCACTTAATGATGCATCATCTATTGTTCGCATTGAATTAATAATAGGATTATTTTCAAATCTTTCGCGAATATTACCACGACTTATTCCCATTATTTCTAATCTATTTTGATTATCATTTGAAAATGTATCATTAATTTCATTTACATTTTCTTTTTCAATTGGACTCGATAATCTCAAATGTTCCATTTCAGTTGATGGTGTTGGTACATCTTTTTCATCTGGTAACATCATCATTGAAAATATATCTTGTGGCACTTCTAATTGTAATTTTTCCGTATTAACATGTTCTTTCATTGATACTTTATAATTTACATTATTTCTCTCTTGAATCCAATTATTTTCCTCTTTATCGGCAATTTGCGATTCTTTTTCTTTTGCATTATCAATCAAATCAGATTGTCGTTGTAAAATTGGTTCACCTTCTTCATTCATTAATAAAATAAATTTATTTCGTTCGCTACATTTTCCTTCAACAATTTGTGTTTCATTTTCCTTTGGTTCGGAAATTTGCAATAGACGTTGAAATAAAATTTCCGAATTTTGCGATGATAATCCCTCTGCTGTTGCTGGTGTTTGACATTTATGAGTTCTTTGACTTACCTGTGAAAAAAAAAATATTTACATATATGATTTTATTTTTCACATACAAAATTATACAAACCTCGGATCGAGTTTAACGCGCAAAAAAGTCGATTTTTTTAATTTTTAATAAAATTAGTTAATAAATATTTTACTTAAAAAAAAATAATGTTACTAGATTATTCATTATATTAATTCCTTAATAAGAATAGAAAAAAAGAAAGAAAGAAAATTTATTTCTATTTCAAAATCGAACTAAGACAAATTTCCAAAATTTTAATTAATTAATTAATAATTTGTAAGAATTTATTTCGAAAAACGTTTATAATCCGAGGTCTGAATTATATTTTATTTTTATTTACTTTATATCGAAAGCATTTGCCACAATTTGTACATTTATAAGGCATAACTCCAGTGTGAATTCGTCGATGTACCAAATATGAAACTCGTTGTCGAAAACATTTTCCTTTAACAAAAAAAAAAAAGAGAGAAAAATTATTTTTACTATTTTACTAATTTTTATTTACTATTTTAATTTGAAAAATACACTCACCGGTCAATTTGGCTCTTTTTTATGAGAGTAGAAAAAAAACATGCAACACGGAATATTATTTTATGTTAGTAAAACTGGAAAAAAAACAGAAAATATTTTTTTTTTTTTACGTAAATTTTGTTAATTAGGAAAAGAAAAACGTTTTTCAACTAACCACAAGTTTCACAAGCAAATGGCTTTTCTCCCGTATGTATCCTTTCATGATTATGTAAAGTTGAAAGTTCCTTAAATGATCTTCCACATGTATTACAAGTATGTGGCTTATCATCCTTATGATACAGCCTATGCTTATGATATGATTGTTGAAATGTAAATGTTTTATCGCAAATATTACATTTATATGGCATTTCGCCTGAATGAAGTCTTTTATGTTTTTTCAAAAAATATTTTGTTGTAAACATTTTACTACAAATATCACATTCCCATTGTTTGCCATCGTGAGTTTTTAAATGCTGTGTTACATGTTGTTCCTGAAAACAAAAAAAAAGAAAAATCCTTGCAAAAAATTAATATATAATTTTTGTACTTCATAATTAAAAAAAAAAGTTTTCTTTACGGGTATTTTAATATTTTTTTATTATATTAATTTATTAATTATAACATTATAAAATAACAATTTTTGTATAAAATTTTTTATTATTTAAAAATGAAATTTTCATATAAAAGTTTTCGATTATCAATAGTTTTTTTTAGCTTTTGTATTTTAATTTACATTTTAGCCTAAATAATATTTTCTAAAGTAATTTAATTTTTATTTAATTAATTAATTAATTTTTACTAGTTTTTATTAATTGATTTTTAAAAATAAAAGTTTTACCTTTTTAAAATTCTTTCCACAAATTGGACAATTATAACCATTTTCATTATTTGGTGATAATTCCGAATCAATTGTCAGGCAGCCTGAAAAAATTTTTTCATTAAATTCAAAAATTATATTTATTAATATTTTCAAAAAAAAACCAGGGTGTCTAACGGTCAGGAAAGTCAGGGAAAAGTCTGGGAAAAATCAGGAGAGAATTTCTTTAATTTCCTGGAATTTTTTTTAAATAAATTAAAATAACTATAAATTTCAAAAATTTTTTTACTTTTTTCCCAAAGCAAATGAAAATTAAAAAGTTGGCCTTAACACTCAATTATTAAGCATGTGATATATCTTATATTCATTAAGTAAATAATTATTTATTACTATTTATTGAATCTAATAAATGATTTTTTAAATTTGGATAACAATTTTTTTCAGTGAAATATTTGGTTTTTTAATATAAATAAAAATTATTTGATACAATTTTATTTTATCAGGTCAACTTCAAATAAATTAAATTATTCATTAATACGAATAATTTATTATTTAATTGCTAATACCCACATTAAACTTATAAAAATTTTTACGGCGTCGAATATTAAATTATCGAATTTCTATTTAGCAAAATTGTATAAAGTGGATTTTATATTTTATGCAAAATTTTCAATTTACATTTAACTAAAATTCGATTAAAAAGAATTTCTATTTAGCAGAACTCTTATAAAGCATTTTTTCTAATACTTTTTAAAAATTTTAAATTAATATAATATGAGCCAAAAGTTCTGAACGTTCAAATGAACAAAGTATTTTTTTCAATCTATAAATTAATAAAAATTATATTGTCAATGTTAAATAAAACAGTTAATTAAACAAATATTAAATTAATAACTTCTTTTAAGATATTTAAAACAATATTTTGTAATAAAATTCGTATTTAAAGAAGGTTCAAAAAAAATTTTGTTCATTTGAACATTCAAAACATTTGGCTCACAATATAATTTCAATTTAACGAAATTTATGTCTATATAAAAATTGACAAAAAAAGAACTAGGTGGAATTTTTCTTAAATGAGAATTCAGTTAAATAAGAATTAGTTCGAATTAAAATTTTCTTTAATAAAAACTTTGTTAATTAAGAATTTTGTTAAATAGAAATTAATTAAATAGACATAAATTCCGTTAAATTGAAATTGTACTAATTTGAAATTCGATGTACTACAAAATCTGCTTTATATATAATTTTACTAAATAAAAATTTGATAATTTAAAATTTGACGCCGTAAAAATTCTTTTAAATTAAATGTTGAGAATATTTATACTTCCCCAATTAGTTTATTTATTTTATTTAAATAATTTTATTTTTTACGTAACATTATTTATTTGGTTCAAATACATATGAAATTAGTGGATAATAAACAGGTAAATTGATTTAATTGTATCAAAATAAATTTTATTTGATCAAAATAAAAATTTTTTATTATAATTTCGGTCAGGGAAAAGTCAGGGAATTTTTTTCCTAACTGTTGTTAGACACCATGAAAACGAATTTTCATATTTGCTATTTTTTTCTCATTTAAACGAATATTTAAATAGAACTAAAGCAAATAAAAAAATGAAAAAAAATAAATTAATTAAATAATTTAAAAAAAAAATATTCTTAAATATTTGGAGAATTAAAAAATTGGAAATACCTGAATTATAATTAGTGTGTGCAACTCTCATGTGAACCATTAAACTACCTCTCATTTTAAATACCTTTGTACATAAATGACATGGATAATTTTTCAATAAATCCTCAGGTCGAACATTTATATCTTTTTCGGCAATCATATGAACTAATTGTTTGTGTAGAATTAAAATTTTTCTATCATCACAACGATAACCACAAATATTACAACGTTCCGTTTTTTCTTTCGATGCCAATAAACGAAATGCTTTTAAATAAGGTAAAATTGGATCATTTATTTTTTCTCTATTTTGTGTTTTTTCATTTATTTCACAATTTTGCAATTTATTTTCATTCGATTTTATTTGATAGGAATTCTTTTTATTTTCATTTACAATTGTAATTTCTTGAATTTCATCTAAATTCTCAACTGTATCTTTAACAGTAATCACTGATGAATTATTTTGTATCCATGAATTTTCTATTGTTTCCACATTGTGAATTTTTTCATTTTGATGAATTAGAGATGAATTATTTACAATTAAATTCGTTGTATCTTGAAGAAAATTTTCTTGACTTTGTTGTAAATTTTTTTCCAATTGATTTGAATTTTGAATAAAATTCGTATCATTTTGAATTGAATTCATATTATTTTGAATAAAACTATTATTTTGATCATTGGAATTTGTTTGCAATGAATTTTGAATTAAATTCTCATTTTGAATTGTATTTGAATTATTTTGTAGTAAATTAGAAGTTTCTAAATTTGAATCAGTTAAATTAACACAATTCAAATTATTTTCTATTATATTTACATTATTTTCCAATAGAGAATTATTTTGCATTGAGTTTAAATTCGAATCTGTTAATATTAAATTTTGATTATTTTCAGACGATTCGATAATTTGTTTCTTTTGTTCATTATTTTGTTGTGTTAAATTTTCATCAATTTTTGAATATTCACAATTTGTTGAATAAATTTGATCGCTTATATTTTGAAGAAATATCACTTGACCTTGTTGTTTTGATTCATTATTTGAATTATCATGTGTAATTTGTGAATTTATAATTATTTCTTTATCTTTTAAAATAAAAGAAGATTCTTGTTCATTATGTTCAAATGATGTTGTTTTCTCATGAATTTCAGGTATATTTTGTGTTTTAAGAATATTCCATGTTTGAATGGGAATTGTTTGTAAATTATGTAAAATTTGAATATTATTTTGATTAATATTTTGCGTTATATTTGAATTATTTGCATTTATTGTATGTCCAAATAAATGAATTGTTAATTTATCAATTCCCAATAAAATTTCATTGCAAACTGGACATGCGAGTGGTCGTGTTGCAACGCTAACGAGGCCATTTCGCAAAGCATCTAAAGTATGAAAACCAGGTTGAGAGCACAATGGACATGCTAAAAGTCGCGCGCACATTTTCCATAAAATATTTAAATTTGTATTTTTATTTATTTTTTTTTTTTTAACTTTCACTTTTCTTTTCTATTAAACACCAAATATGTCATTGTTAAAAAAAAACAATTTTTTTAAATCTGAAAAATGAGAAAAAAATTATTCACTTATTTTTTTTTTTAGTAATTCACTTGAATTTTTGGATTGCAAAATCACACTTTATGTCCCTGAGAAAATGATTTAAAATAATTAAAAAGGTCCTTGATTATGGAGGTTATAATTGTTATACTTTTTGTTGATAAGATTTTGGAAATAATTTCTATTGATAAATTGAAAATTATTTAGTTGGAAAATTTTTGTTTTCCTCCAAAAAAAAAGAAAAATAACACAATCACTGTATTCCTTTGAAAATTTGGAAATTCATTTTTCTGACACAGAATCTAAATATAGGTTTCAACAACTCGTAGGCATTAATCTTAGATCACGAGGTTCGGCGGCCAAAGACGAGATTTTGGTCTAATTTTAATTCAAAGCGGGCTGTTCGAATAAAAAAGAATTTAGGAAAAAAGACAGATTTTTTTTTATTGCATGCAAATAATATTATTATTATAAATAAGTTTATATATTTTTTTTTTATCGGACTTTTAATGCTTCAATTAATCTAACAGGACACTTGTAAGGATTTCCATCTTTGCAGCAAAATTCTCTCGATAGATTTGTATTGATCCATTCATCCTTACAATTTTTATAGAATAAATATGCCTGAAATTGTATTTTTTGTTAATTTTCCTTTTTCTAAAATAATGTTTCAATTTTTTTTCTAACTTACTCGTTCTTTAATACAATCACGTCCCAATGAACCGCACAGAATTTCTCCGCCATTTGAAATATATTTTAGAGCCTGTAAAAAAAAATTAACAAGTATTTAGAAAAAAAATTGTAATTCTATTACAAAAACGATAACATTCGGACAAATTGAATTTAGTTTTAACTAACTATTTAGAAATTTTATTAATATTTTTAAAAATTTAAAAATTAATTAATACCTTTAATTAATTAATTAAAAAAATAAATAAAAGAGATAAATTATATTTTTTATAAAATTAAAAAAATTTACTCACAGTATTTAAACAACTGTTTAAACAAATTCGATTTCCAATTGAATTACACGAAGTTGAGACCGTTTGTTTTTGTGATAAAATTGCCTTTTCCTTTGGTTGTTCCTTGCTTCCTTTTTTAAATTGTCCGCCCATAAATATTCCACAAAAACATCCATGCGATTTTACTTTTGTCAATAATTCACTTGTAGAATTTTTATTTAAGTTTTTTAAAGCACATGTATAATTGATGATAATAAATAATAACAACCATATTATAGAATGCATCTTTCATCAATGTTTTCTCAACTAATAATGATTTTTTCATTTATAAAAGTAAAATTTTTTTTCAATAATTGTGCAATTATAAAAACAAAATTTGCTGAGGAGTGCAAAATTCTATATATTACTTTCGCTTATAATTCTACTTTGACACATCTCTTGCATAATTGTATAAACATACAAATAAAAAAGGTCATCGAAATATATATAATTTTTTTTTTCAAAATACTTTCATATTATACAAATTTCGTTATTTTTTTTCTTTTAATTTGAACTTTGAATTTTTTGTGTTATACCTTCGTTTTTAATTAATTTAGCTTCACCTTCTAAAACAATACGATTTGTATTTGCCACACATTTATATTTGCATTTTATTATTTTTCTCACTGCAACTATTTCGACGGATATTTCCACAGTGTCACCAACAAAACATGGTTTTGGAAACCTTAATATTTGTTCAACAACAAGTGTACCGGGTCCTGGTAATTTTGTACCAAGTATTCCTGATAATAAACCATTTAAAAATGCACCATGAGCAATATTTTTCTCTGAATTCACATGTATTGGATTATAATCATTTGTTAATTGAGCAAATGCAAGAACATCTTCTTTAGTAATAACACGTAAAATTGAAACACGACTTCCTGGTTTTAAATTTGTCACAAGATTGGTTTGATTTGATGATTCAACATCGGGTATTGTGCAATATTTTTTAACCGATGTAAATAATGTGCGAAATGTTTTTGTCTTCATTGTGGAAATTAATTGTTTTTCTCTATTGAATATTAATTTATTCATTTTATTTTGTTGTGAATTTCTCTTGTTTTTTCAATTTTCTTTAAATCACAATAATCAGTGAGAAAAATTGTCGCTAAATTTCGTAATCGTGAACTTTTTACTTTTGAAAAACTAGTCATACAATTAATTATTTCTTCTGTGACAATGTCTTTTTTTGATTCGGGTGTTATGAGAAATATTAGTGTTGTAATTGCTGATAAAACAATTTCTTCGTCGGACGATGATAAAAGAGATGAAACTAATGAAATTCCCTGATTACGTAGAATATATTCTCTATTAACTGGATCTGAAAATATTTATAAATTCACATCGATTTTAAAAGGCGCAAAAAAAAGTCAATTTTTTTATTTTAATATTTAATTAGTTAATGAGTATTTTATTTTAAATAACTAATGTTTATTAGATATTAAATCTATTTTATTAATTCCTTAATAAGAATAATTCTATATAAATACAGGCCTCGGATCGACTATAAAGAACAAAAAAAAATCGATTTACATTCTAAAAAAAGTCGATTTTTTTTATTTTAATTAAATTTAATAATTAGTTAATAAATATTTTACTTTAACAATGTATCTAACAACTGCTGGGAAAAAAATTCCCTCACTTTTCCCTGACCGAAATTATGATAAAAAATTTTTATTTTGATCAAATAAAATTTATTATGATACAATTGAATCAATTTACTTGTTTATTATCCACTAATTTCATATGTAATTGAACCAAATAAATAATGTTTCGTACAAAATAAAATATTTCAGTGAAATAAATAAACTAATTGGAAACGTATAAATATCCACAACATTTAATTAAAAAGAATTTTTACGACGTCAAATCTTAAATTATAAAATTTTTTTATTTAGTAAAATTATATAAAGCAGATTTTCTAGTACATCGAATTTCAAATTAATACAATTTCAATTTAACGGAATTTATGTCTATTTAATTAATTTCTATTTAACAAAATTCTTAATTAACAAAGTTTTTATTAAAGAAAATTTTAATTCGAACTAATTCTTATTTAACTGAATTCTCATTTAAGAAAAATTCTACCTAGTTCTTTTTTTGTCAATTTTTATATAGACATAAATTTCGTTAAATTGAAATTATATTGTGAGCCAAATGTTTTGAATGTTCAAATGAACAAAATTTTTTTTGAACCTTCTTTAAATACGAATTTTATTACAAAATGTTGTTTTAAATATCTTAAAAGAAGTTATTAATTTAATATTTGATTAATTAACTGTTTTATTTAACATTGACAATATAATTTCTAATAATTTATAGATTGAAAAAAATACTTTGTTCATGTGAACGTTCAGAACTTTTGGCTCATATTATATTAATTTAAAATTTTTTAAAAAGTATTAGAAAAAATGCTTTATAAGAGTTCTGCTAAATAGAAATTCTTTTTAATCGAATTTTAGTTAAATGTAAATTGAAAATTTTGCATAAAATATAAAATCCACTTTATACAATTTTGCTAAATAGAAATTCGATAATTTAATATTCGACGCCGTAAAAATTTTTATAAGTTTAATGTGGGTATTAGCAATTAAATAATAAATTATTCGTATTAATGAATAATTTAATTTATTTGAAGTTGACCTGATAAAATAAAATTGTATCAAATAATTTTTATTTATATTAAAAAACCAAATATTTCACTGAAAAAAATTGTTATCCAAGTTTAAAAATAATCATTTTTTAGATTCAATAAATAATAGTAAATAATTATTTACTTAATGAATATAAGATATATATCACATGCTTCATAATTGAGTGTGAAGGGCAAATTTTTAATTTGCATTTGCTTTGGGAAAAAAGAAAAATTTTTTTTGAAACTAATAGTTACTTTAATTTATTCATAAAAAAATTACAGAAAATTAAAGAAATTCCCTGACTTTTCCCTGACCGTTAGACACCACGAAGCTGAATTACGCAACGTTTATGATAAACGATTTATAAAGAAATAATTTTTTAAAATGAAAAATTCTATAATTATTTGCCTAAAAAATATTTTTTTTATAATTTATTGATTACTGAAAACTACAAGAAATATTTTTTAGGCGAAAAATTATAGAATTTTTCATTTATAAAAATTATTTCTTTAAAAATCGTTTATCATATACGTTGCGTACTTCAGCTTCGTTTAGATACTTTGAATTTTGGAAGAGTTAAAGTTGAAATTTTTAGAATTAATTGAATTTCAAAAGATTTTGTTAATTTTCAGACAATAATTAAATTTTACAGAACTAAAAATAATTTATTAAATAATTTTAGATAACATTTTTTAAACGTAATTAAATTTTCAAAAATTTGCAATTTCAATTTTTGAAATTAATTCAACGAGTGATTTTTAATTTAAAATTTTTGATGATTTCACAAAAAAATTTAATTATTAGAAATTACAGATAAAAATAAAATAATTTAAAAACTTTTGAAGTAAAAAATGGTTTCATATAGTTGAATTTTCGAAGAATATTATAAAAATCATTTTAAAAAAATTGAATTTCGGAAGGATTCTAATTGAAATTATTAAATTTAAAAAAATTTTATATGAAAAATTTTAGAAATATTTAAATTTCAGAAGCTTTTAAATTAAAATTTTTGAAAATAATTGAATTTCAAAAGATTGTGTTAAATTTCAGACAACAATTATAATAAGAGAAATTTCTAGTGATTTCTGTTGATGAAGAATTTATTAGAAATCAGATAAAAAAAAAATTGAATACAAAAAATTTTTAATTGAAAAATGCTTTCAGATAATTGAACTTTCGAAAAATATTACAAGAATCATTAAAAATAATTTAAATTTTTGCAAATAATTAAATTTCAAGTGATTTTGAATTAAAATTTTTTGATAATTTTATTTGCTAATTTTTTTAAAATTATAAACAATTGTTAAATTTCATAAAAAATTTAATTGAAAAATATTTTATGATAATTCAATTGCTGAAGAATTTCATTAAAATTATTAACAAAAATTAATTTAGAGAAAATATTTAGTTAAAAATTTGTTAAATAATTAAAATAAAGAAGATCTTAAGAAGATTTGCATTTGTATACTTAAAAAGACGAATTTTTGTTTAAAAATTTTGTAAAATTTAAAAAAAAATGTCGCATTTTATTTAAATAAGTCGAAAAAAGTTGTATTTTCGAAAAAAAAATGATAAAAAAATCGTCTAATCCGAGACCTAAATTCATTTTTGTTTAATTGAAAAGAAAATTTAAAATAAACTCACCAGAGCATAAATTGCATAATCCACCAATTGCAAATCGTACGAGATTTTTGTTTTTCTCAGAAAGAACCTCGAGAAATAAATCTGTTATTCTTAATGTTCTTAAATAATCATAATTAATAGGATCATAGGCAAAATTTGCGAGATTTGCCAAAACTTGTTCCTTTGCGTCTGTAAATTGTTTGTTTAATTTTTTATTTTAAAGATCAATATAGGTTATGTTGTTATATTTTTAAGTTTCCATTAATGTTTTATATATATCTAAAAACCATGCAAATCAATACATATGAATTACCTCGAGATTTGGTGTTACGGAATTCTTCAATTAAGAGTTTTAAAAATGAAAAACGTCCAACTCCACTTTTACCGGTGCGTTGAATCAGCTGTTCCTTTCTTGAAAACATTGAAATATTTAAAATATGTCAAGTATTTGATAAAATAACATTGTTTGTTTTTCTTCTCGTAAAAAAAACTGTGTCAGATTTTTGTTTATTTATTATGCGAATTGAAATAAAAAGAAAGATAAAATTCACTACGCAGGTCACGGAGATGGAGAACACGAAAAATGTGTCAGAAGCAGAAGAAAATACAGAACAATTTTGAAGGTTATGTTTATATTGTCAATTGCGCCCCCAACGGATATTTCAATAACTATAGAATCGCGTTCATTGGCTGGTTTTAAATTTATGCGGGGAATTATTGTAATAGCGGACAAATTTAAAAAGTTCTAGGTGAAAATTATTTTGCTAATTATAAAATTTTAAATGAATAAATTCATTTACCTGTATTTTTAAAATCAATAATTAATATAATGACGTTTCATTTATTTTTATTGATAATAGAATAATAAAAAGAAATAATAAATTATAAATAATTTTTTTTTTACTTTTTAAATTATAATTTAATTTCTGTTAAATTTAATTATTTAATTGGTTTGTAAATTTAAAAAATTTTGGGGTTTAGAAATAATCTACTTTTTTTGGGTAAGGAAGCAACGAATAAAATAATTGTTAGGTCTAGTTGACTTCATTTGATCTCTTGAACTTAAAAGGAACGACTCTCCATTTAGAAATTATAATTATACAGACCTTGTCTTAGACTTAGATAGGAAACTGTAATTTTATCGTTTTTTTTTCCCAATAAATAATACAAAATTTTAATTAATAATTTTTAAAAAATTAAAAAAAATTTGAATTTAAATTATTATTAATTAATTAATTATTAATATCTAAATAAATTATTTTATGATTATTTAAATATTTGAATAATTATTATTCAAATAATTATTTAATTATTTATCTAATAATAATTAAATTAACAAAAAAAAATTATTTATGTGTATACAAAATAAGTTATTAAAATATTTAATAATTTATTTTAAGTTCCTAATTAAATTTTTATTATTTCGTTTTCCAATAAATAATTGTATTGGATTAAAATTTTAATTAATTACTACATTTTAAATAAATTTCAATATTTTTGGATTTAAAATTATTGTTAATTAATTAATTGTATAATGATTTAATTAATTTAATTATTATTATTTAATTAATTCAATTATGGTTTACTATTATTTAATAATTTATTTATTTATCTAATAATAATCAAATTAACAAACAAATTATTTCTATTATATAAAATTAGTTATTAAAAAATATAATCATTTTTTCTAAAGCTGCTAATTTTATCATTTATGTTGTTTCAATAAATAATACAAAATTTCAATCAATTATTACATTTTAAATAAATTTTAATATTTACGACTTTAAATTATTATTAATTAATTAATTTTATTATTATTATTATTTAATTATTTATTTATTTATCTAATAATAATCAAATTAACAAAAAAAATTATAATATTTGATAATTTTTTTTAAAGTTGCTAATTAAAATTTTGTTTACAGATTGTGCGATGAAAAATGGAAACAGGAAAATTCCCAAAGGAAAACAAAAACGAACAATTTTTTTCGTAAGTTCCGAAATTATTATAAAATTTTTTTTTTTTATTAATTAAATACTAAATTCAAATTTTGGATTTTAATTATAATTTTCCAATAATGAGTGTTAATTTGAATAATAATTTTCATTTCAAATTTGCAGGAAATGAAAAATAATGAAAAAGCAACGAAATAATTATTATCAAACTTTGCTTATGAAATTAAGCGTTAATTAAAGATCCGGAAATAATTTTATTAATTATAATGTTGTTCACCCTATAGGAACGCAAGAATAATATGTTTTGTACATTTAAAAAGTGACATAAGGTCATAAATAAGATTGAAGGGACATCAATTAAAAAAATGAAAAAATTTTCTCAATCCAGAGAAGAAGAAGAAGAAGAAGAAGAAGGAGCGCGTGCTATTACTGAATCATCATTATCATCATCATCATCATCGTCTCTTTTTAAATAAACACATATTTAAGAATGTGTTGTAGGAGTAGGGAAATGAGTGAGAAAACAATATCATCATCGCAAAGAGATGGGGGTCCGTAAGACTCTTTAATCACGTATTTTCTTCATTTACTCTAATCGTCTGGGTTTGTATGTCTACTCCCACCTTCGCTCCCCCTTTTATTTCATTCATGAAGATGAAGATTCCCCTTTTAAAAATCGTGGGCCGACTATATAAATGCATTTTGCCCTTAAGAAATTTCTCAGTATTTCTCAGTCGTGTTCTGACCTTGTCAGAATCGAAAAAAAATTATATTTTCAAAAAATTCCAAATTTTCAACAAAAAGAAAAGTATTTCAAAGAAGAAGGAACAATTTTACAATAAATTTTTAGGGAGAAAAATTAAGTGTTATTAATGATAAGTTTTGTTTAATTGTGTTAACGTGAAAAAAAAAAATGGTTAATTTGTTTATTAGGACGTGTCTCGTGCTATTAATTAAAGGATTTTTTATTGAAAATGCTTTCAGTCAATTTCAAACGTCGCCACATATTATCGTTATTATGGCCGATGATTTGGTAAGCTTTTTTATATTTATAATTTATTGTTAAATTGCAAAAAAAAATTTTAGTGTTAAATGAAAATTATTAAAAACGTTTTCTTCAATTTAACAGAAAAATAATTGAGAAATTAATTTTTTCTTATAAAAACGAAAAAATTCCAGAACAAAAATATTTCAATTATTTATTTATGGATTTTTAAATCATTTAAAAAAGAAATTAATTCACTTTACGAAATTTTGCTTCCAGAATTCTAAAGTACAAAAAAAAAATTGTAAATAATATCTGAACGTTCTTAAAAACAAAAATTATTAAAATTCTTTTTTTTATCCTTTTAGAGTGAAAATTTATTTATTTTAACCGATTTCTATATTTAAAAAAAAAATTATTATTCAGGGTAAAGAAAAAGCCAAGAAGTTAATTGCTTTCTTTAATTAATGATGAGTAAAGATTCAAAGAATGTTTCTTTCCCCTATACATCATCATCATCAAATTCCATATATATTATAAAAGCGAGGGAGTCATAATTATAATTTTGATATAATTATGGAATTGTAACGAATTAAATTTTTCTTATTATTAAATTTAAATTAGATCATTGAAAAAAAAAATTTATTTGATTCAAATTGTAACGAATTAAATTTTTATTATTATTAAATTTAAATTAGATCATTGAAAAAAAAATTTAATTGATTCAAATAATCGGTTACTTTATTATCAAATAAATATTTACTTGAACAAAATAATTTTTGATTTGAGTCAATTAAATAATATTTGTTTTAAATAGAGAAATATTATTGGTTCAAATAAAAATTATTTCGTTCAAGTAAATATTTATTTGTTTATAAAGTAACCGATTATTTGAATCAAATAAATTTTTTTTCCAGTTGGCAAATTAAATTTTAAAAAGGAATAAAAAAAATATCTTTTTCATCAATTTAAGGAATTTTTTTTTTTTTTTTTAATGAGATTCTAAAATTGTAACCTTCTTTACATAGGAGCATCTTTTATGATCTTGAATTATATAAAACAGTCTCTCAAATTATTGCAGACCTTAATATAGTTAAGACAATTATATATTGTCTACGCCCCCGTGTAGTAAATGAAGACATCCTTAAGATGACTCATTTTATTCTCTCTTTTTCTCTCTCTCTCTAAACAAATAAAAATTCCTTCCGAATGGACAAACCGGAGATCATCTTGCTCATATTGCATAATTTTTCTTTATTATAAACTTCTTTTTTAACACTTATTTTTTATTTCTTATTTCATCTCATTTATTCCTCTCTCGTCTCAAATAACCACAGTGATCTTATTTTTTTCAAATTATCACACTAATTGCTGATTTACATTTCCTTATAACGCAATTCTGAATAATTTTCATTTATTTTTTATTAATGTAGTATATAAAAAAATTAATTAATGGTTTAATTTTAATAGGGATGGAACGACGTGGGATTTCACGGCTCGAATCAAATTCCAACACCAAATATCGATGCACTTGCATATAATGGAATAATTTTAAATAGACACTATGTACTTCCATCGTGCACACCTTCGAGATCGTCTTTTTTCACTGGAAAATATCCTCTAAGAATGGGTTAGTTTTTATTTTTTAAAATTAATCTTTATTTTGCAAAAAAAAAACACCTTAGATAATAATAAAGTGAAATTAAAGTTAAAATAAAGAAGAAAACAAAAATCTAAATAATAAAATCATAATTAAATAATTCTTTGAAATTTTTTTTTAATTTTTATCGAATTAAAAAAATTAATTTAAAGAAAAAGTAATTTAAAAAAGATTAAAAAAAAAGAAAATGAAATGAAAAAAAGAATAAACGAATTACAAAAAGAATTTTAATTTTTTACAGATGAAATAATTGGTATTTTTAATATAAATAAAAATTATTTGATACAATTTTATTTTATAAATTCTTCGAAAATTCAACTATCTGAAACCATTTTTTACTTAAAAAGTTTTTAAATTATTGTATTTTTATCTGTAATTTCTAATAAATTTTTTGGTGAAATCATCATAAATTTTAAATTAAAAATCACTTGTTGAATTAATTTCAAAAATTGAAATTGCAAATTTTTGAAAATTTAATTACTTTTAAAAAATGTTATCTAAAATTATTTTAAATAAATTATTTTTAGTTCTGTGAAATTTAATTATTATTGTCTGGAAATTAACAAAATCTTTTGAAATTCAATTAATTCTAAAAATTTCAACTTTAACTCTTCCAAAATTCAAAGTATCTAAACGAAGCTGAAGTACGCAACGTATATGATAAACGATTTTTAAAGAAATAATTTTTATAAATGAAAAATTCTATAATTTTTCGCCTAAAAAATATTTCTTGTAGTTTTCAGTAATCAATAAATTATAAAAAAAATATTTTTTAGGCAAATAATTATAGAATTTTTCATTTTAAAAAATTATTTCTTTATAAATCGTTTATCATAAACGTTGCGTAATTCAGCTTCGTGGTGTCTAACGGTCAGGGAAAAGTCAGGGAATTTCTTTAATTTTCTGTAATTTTTTTATGAATAAATTAAAGTAACTATTAGTTTCAAAAAAAATTTTTCTTTTTTCCCAAAGCAAATGCAAATTAAAAATTTGCCCTTCACACTCAATTATGAAGCATGTGATATATATCTTATATTCATTAAGTAAATAATTATTTACTATTATTTATTGAATCTAATAAATGATTTTTTAAACTTGGATAACAATTTTTTTCAGTGAAATATTTGGTTTTTTAATATAAATAAAAATTATTTGATACAATTTTATTTTATCAGGTCAACTTCAAATAAATTAAATTATTCATTAATACGAATAATTTATTATTTAATTGCTAATACCCACATTAAACTTATAAAAATTTTTACGGCGTCGAATATTAAATTATCGAATTTCTATTTAGCAAAATTGTATAAAGTGGATTTTATATTTTATGCAAAATTTTCAATTTACATTTAACTAAAATTCGATTAAAAAGAATTTCTATTTAGCAGAACTCTTATAAAGCATTTTTTCTAATACTTTTTAAAAAATTTTAAATTAATATAATATGAGCCAAAAGTTCTGAACGTTTAAATGAACAAAGTATTTTTTTCAATCTATAAATTATTAGAAATTATATTGTCAATGTTAAATAAAACAGTTAATTAAACAAATATTAAATTAATAACTTCTTTTAAGATATTTAAAACAACATTTTGTAATAAAATTCGTATTTAAAGAAGGTTCAAAAAAAATTTTGTTCATTTGAACATTCAAAACATTTGGCTTACAATATAATTTCAATTTAACGAAATTTATGTCTATATAAAAATTGACAAAAAAAGAACTAGGTAGAATTTTTCTTAAATGAGAATTCAGTTAAATAAGAATTAGTTCGAATTAAAATTTTCTTAAAATAAAAACTTTGTTAATTAAGAGTTTTGTTAAATAAAAATTAATTAAATAGACATAAATTCCGTTAAATTGAAATTGTATTAATTTGAAATTCGATGTACTAAAAAATCTGCTTTATATAATTTTACTAAATAAAAAAATTTTATAATTTAAGATTTGACGTCGTAAAAATTCTTTTAAATTAAATGTTGAGAATATTTATACGTCCCTAATTAGTTTATTTATTTTATTTAAATAATTTTATTTTTTACGTAACATTATTTATTTGGTTGAAATACATATGAAATTTTATTTTATTTATTTTCTTTTATTTAGTAGATAGAAATTAGTAGATAATAGACAGGTAAATGATTTAATTGTATTAAAATAAATTTTATTTGATCAAAAAATAAAAATTTTTTATTATAATTTCGGTTAGGGAAAAGTCAGGGAATTTTTTTCCTAACTGTTGTTAGACACCCTGTTATAAAATTTCACACAATAATTAAATTTTACAGTATTGAAAATAATTTGTCAAATAATTTCAGAAATTTTTTTTTTTTTTTTTTTTTGAATAATTGAATCTCCGGTAGATTTAAAATTCATATTTTTTGAAATTTAATTCAACTTGAAGTGATTTTTTATTGAACTTTTCAGTGATTTCTGTTACTGATGAAAATTACAGAAAAAAAATTGAAAAATTTTTGAATTTAAAAAATCTTTTAGTTAATTGAATTTGAATATTATAAAAATCATTCAAAATAATGTTAGAGTTATAATTATATTTTTATTATTATTATATTTAATATTAAAATGTGTTATATAATAATTTCAGGTATGCAAGGTGGAGGAATTAAAGGCGGTGAACCACGTGGTATTCCATTGGATACGCCAATTTTACCTGAACATTTAAAAGGATTGGGATATGTAACGAGACTTATTGGAAAATGGCACGTTGGCTATCATACACCTCAACATACTCCACTTCATCGGGGTTTTGATTCTTTTCTTGGATTTTATAATAGCTATATTAGTTATTTTGATTACAGATATTCACAAGGGGTTAGTAAAATTATAATTTTCCATCGACTTTTTCAAAATATGTTAACGAAAAAAAAAAAATTTTGAATTTGTTTAGAAAAAAATAACGATTTTTTATAAAGAAATAAAATTTTTTTAAATTTTGGCTTTTTTAAAAAATAAATTTAAATAAATAAAGTAAATAAATAATTTTTTTAATTTTAGAATATGAGTGGTTTTGATTTGCATCAAGGAGACATACCAAGTTACGGTGTACAAGGCGAATATGCAACTGATCTTTTCACTGAAGAAGCACTTCGAATAATAGATCATCACGATCCACAACGACCTTTATATCTTCAAATTTCACATTTAGCTGTTCATGCACCACTCGAAGTGCCTTTAGATCATTTTAATAATAAGGAATTTGCTCACATTCGCGAATCGAATCGAAGAAAATATGCAAGTTAGTCATACGTTATCAAATATTTTTATATTTTTAATTAGAAAATTTATTTTACTATTTTAATTTTCAATGTTATCAATAATTAATAATAATAGTAAAATATTTTTTTTATTTTCCAGTGATGGTTTCGAGATTGGACGATTCAATTGGAAGAGTTGTTTCCTCATTGGGCGATAAGGGAATGTTACAAGATACAATTATTTTATTTCTCACTGATAATGGCGCAGCTTCAATTGGCGAATTTCGTAATTGGGGATCAAATTATCCTCTAAGAGGGGTAAAAGAAAAATTCTCTCTTTAAATCAAATTTAATATTTTTTAAACGATTTTTAAAAAAAATAATTATTTTTATTCTATTTATTATTTATTATTTTATTTTTATTCCTTAATTATCTTTATTTCCTTCATGTTATCATTTATTTTATTCCTTTTTTGTTTTTTTTTTTTCACTTACAGACAAAATATACATTATACGAAGGTGGAGTGAGAGGAACAGCGGTTCTTTGGTCGCCAAGATTGCAAAAAATGGCCGTTGTCTCAGAGCAACTTGTTCATATAACTGATTGGCTTCCAACACTTTATTCGGCAGCTGGTGGAAATTTAAAAGATTTGGGAAATATTGATGGCGTTGATCAATGGCCAGTTCTCAGTGAGGGTCGAGGATATGCACGTGATTCGATTGTATTGAATATCGATGAAATCACAAAAACCGAAGGAGCAATTCACAATCGATTTAAACTCGTTCGTGGTAAATTTTTTTTCAATATTGATTTCAATTAATTTAAATATCACAGAATTGATGATTTTTTTTATGGGAAATTCATTCACCCTAGAAAATGGTCAATTATTTGTTTGAATATTTGTAATTTTGTATTAATAAAAATTCGGCGTCACAAAAATTCGTATAAATAAAAACTCGGAAAAATTAAAATTTGTCGTCTTAAAAATTCGAATAAATTTGAAATTCGACGAATTGAAATTTCTGTAATTTTTAAAAATTCGAATCACATAAAATTTAATTGAATGAGAATTTTTTTTGTTAATAATTTTAATTTACTAAAAAAATTTAATTTTTTTAGTAAGTTTGAAGATTAAATTTTTTTGTTTATGAAAAAGGTTCCGTGAAGAGGGGATATTACGATGGATATCATGGTGAATCGGGTAGAAATCGTGAAGTTCCACTTTACAATACAACGAGAATTTTAAAAAGTGCAGTCTCAGGAAGTATTTCCGCACATCTTGGTGGACCAGTTACACAACCAAGTGCAATGATAAGTTTACGTTTACAAGCGACTGTTCAATGTTTTGCAAACACAACTTATTATTCGTATCCAATTCGTAACACTTTTGTCACATGCAATGAGACAGAATGTCTTTTTGACATTGTTAATGATCCCTGCGAAACAAGAAACATCGCTAAACAATATCCAAACGTAATTATTTTTTTTCACTTTTTTAAAAAAAATATTTAATATTTAAAATTATTAATAATAAATAAAAAAATTTGCAGAGAGTACAAAATTTGGATAAACTATTGGAAAAATATGGTCAACTTTTGCAAAAACAAATGCGACTTCCAATTCAATGGTTGGCAGATCCAAGAAGAAAAAATAACACCTGGGAACCATGGTTAACGCCAAATCATATGCTTTATGCGTACGCAAGTGCTGCATCAAAAATAAGCATTTTGGCTTATATTGCACACATTGGATTAGTTTTGATAATTAGTATTTTTAGGAATTTTATCTGATTAAAATAATTAACGGCACGTGTTTTCTTATCTCAAAAAAAAAAGAAATAATTTATCTGCTTATTGTAAAAAGCGATTTTGATTTTTTTTTTTTAATTTGTTCCTAAGAAAATTCATAATTTTTCTAATTTTTAAATCTGTTTTTTTTTATAAATTAGATCTCGATATATTTGGGGAAAAAAAATAATAGTTTATTTTTAGACACGTAGAGATAATTTATAATTTTTTTTTTTTATTTTATTTTAAGACTTTTCTAATTGTATTTTTATATTAAGTTTTAGAATTTTAAAATTAAAATTAGTACAAAGAAATTTTAGAGTATTAAAAATTTTTATATTCCTCGAGTACAATAACTAGATAAAAAAAAAAAATAATATTTTTACGAGGCCTTATATTGATTATAAATTCGTTTCGTTTTATATTTGAAAAATAAAATTATCTTTAAATAATATAAAATTTGTTGTCAATTGCACATTGAATTATGAAATCTAAATTTTCCATAAGGTAATGATAACAATTTATTAGAGTTAAAAATTAATTTACAATTTAAATGTTTATTTTCAAATATAATTGAAAATTTCAGGAAAAAGGAACAATGCAGTTTGAAAACCTCAAAGAATATTTAGAAAGAGAAAGTTCCAGAAATTTTTTTTTTTGGTGAGCATTGAAAAAAAAATTACAAATTTACTTTCGAAATTTTAATTTTAAAATTGACATTTTAAATTAAATTTTGATATAATAAAATTTCACGGTCACTTTCATTATAATTTTAAATATTTAAATTTGATTACCAAAAAAAAAAATGGAAGAAAAATTAATAACTTTTGTTTTAAAATAAATTTTAATTATCGATAAGTTGAGAATCGTATATATTTCCTGAAAGTGAAAAGATGAAAAAAAATTTTAAAGGTGAATATATGTTATTTTAAGTTCGCGTCTTTCAGTTGGAAAATCTCAATGAAATTTATTATCTCTTTTATATATGCCAAATAATCTTGAATAAACTTATAGGAATTACGTTTTGCATTTAAAGGCAAGCGTTGTAACGTTATTATATTCATTCGTGAAAGAAATGTCAAACCGAATGTTTAGCTCCAAAGTTTTCAAAAATTAAATTTATTACGGAAAATTCGTGATTAAAAAAAAAGTGAAAATTGTGTGAAAAACTAAATTTTTCTTTTTAAATTTTTTAAAAAACTAATAAATAATAAACAAATAATAAAATATTAATAAATAATATATAAATAATAAATAAATAGTAAAATATTAATAAATAATAAATAAATACTAAATATTTAATAAAAAAAATCCAAATTTAATTTACGCATTAAATTTAGTAATTTTAATTAATTCGAATTGAAGTGAAATTAAATTGTTTTTAAAAAAGTTAATAAAGTTAGAAGGAAAATTAAAAAAAAAAGTGCAAGGTCAAAAAAAACGCGAAACGTTGCGCAATTCGTTGGAAGTTATTTATTTTTTTTAAAAAATATATTAATGGATATTTGAATGATTGTGACAAAATGGAATATTTTAAATATGGAATATCACTTGTTATAATAACAATTTTCTGTATAACTGGAATTACATTAGCATTCATTTGGAATAATGAAGAGAAACCAAAAAAGCCACATATTATTTTTATAATGGCTGATGATCTTGTAAGATTTATCATATTTTTTTTTTTTTTTTTTTTTATAATAAAACATTTGTGTTATACAACATGCGGTAAAGTCTAAGAAAGTTTTCTCTCTAGGCAAATAATAATGTTCATTATTTTTAGAAACCGGATTTTCATATGAAACTTGAAAAAAAAAGAAAATTTGCAATTTTACGATTTGAGAAAGTCTCTTCCGTATAAAGAAGAATTATTTTCCTATCTAAAAACTTGATTTACATTATTTGTAAATATTTTTATTTTAATTGCCGGGATTTTATTTAATAAAATGAGAATTTTCTTTCTTACTGATTTATGCGGATAGTTTTATTGTTATTATGTCATTGACAATTTCGTAATCATGGGATTTGTGAGAGGAAAAATTCTTTATTTTAATTATTTTTAATTATTTAATTAAATTATTTTTAATTTTGTATTTTAATTTTATTATTTTATATTACCATTTTTATTCATTTTTTTTTTAAGTTTACGGGGAAAAAAAAAATTGTAAAACTTTATTATAAGTACACAATGGAAAAAAAATCTAATCTAATCTAAATTAAATTATTCTGCGATATATTATTTTACAAATTTAATTAGAAAAATTTATATTTATTATATTTTTTTTTGATTTTATTAAAAAATCGTTTTTCTCTTATTTTTCGGATATTTTTAAAATTTATTTTCTATAAAATTAACAATATTGTCAAATAAACAAAATTAATAATTAGATTTTGTAATTATTTGTTTCTTAATTTTTCTAAAATTTATAATCGCTTTGTTTAAATTAATTTGTTTTTCTTTTTGTTAATTTTCTAATAAATACTAAAGAAGAAAAATCCTTGATCTCAATTCTGAACGATACCTTGATCTTATAAGCGTTTGATATGTAAAAATTTTTAAAAAAAATCTGTGTTCTTTAAAAATAATTTAAAAAAAGTAAATAGAAAAAAAATCCAAATCGATTTTTTTGTCTTAAAAATTAATTATTAATATTAATTTATCTATCAATGAAATAATTTCTTTTATTTTAATTTTATATATAGTTCAATTTTTAATATAATTTTTATTCACTGTTATTTTGATTTTTAAGTTGGGGGAAAAAAATATTTGTAAAAAAAAATATTATTAAAAAATTAGAAATTAAAAAATACTATTTTCTTTTAGGGTTGGAATGATTTGAGTTTTCATGGAGCTAATCAAATACCAACGCCAAATATTGATGCACTTGCATATAATGGAGTAATTTTAAATAGATATTATACACTTCCAACTTGTACACCATCGAGAACAGCTTTTCTCTCTGGTCGTTATCCTATAAAAACAGGTATTTATTTTCAAAATTTATTTAAAAAAAAAAAAAAATTTTTAATAATTTTTCCAGAACGAAATAGAAAAAGGAGAATTAATTTTGTTAATTAAAATTTTATTAATTTCAATTTATAATTAATTTTATTAATTAAATAAATTAAAAAAATATTGATTCAAAATTAAAATTTTTTTTTTATTTAAATAAAGATATTATTAATAAACTAGCAAAATTAAACGCGCGCCAAATTGAGTATTTAATTGTTTGTTATAAAGAAATTAAAGATTAATATTATCAATAATAATTTAATTTATTAGAATATTATTACATATTAAATGATAATAATGAAAATTATATGTTTACAGGTCTCGAATTATACGACTTTTTCCGACTTTTTTCAAAAATACGACTTTTATCTACTTATTTTAATAAAATGCGACATTTTTTTACATTTGAAAAAAATGTAAATAAAATACATTTTTTTTAGTATAAAATGTAGATCTTCTTCAGATCTTCTTCAATTCAATTATTTAACAAATTTTGAACTAAAATGAACTAAAATTAAATTATTATCCAAAATTTCAATTAAAATTCAATTATTTCCCAAAATTTTCAATTCAAAATGAACTGAAATTCAATTATTTTTCAAATTTAAAATCAAATTAAATTTCATTATTCTCAAAAATTTGAATTCAAAATTAATTGAATTTTCAATAATTTGAATTTAAAAGCATCTAAAATTTAATTATTTCTAAAATTTTCCATCGAAAATTTTTTTTTTGAAATTTTATAATTTCAATTATAACTCTAGGAAATTCAATTATTTTTAACTATTTTAATAATATTCTTTGAAATTTCAACTATATGAAACCAGACCTCGGATTATACGACTTTTTCGACTATTTCCTACTTTTTTTTAAAAATACGACTTTTTTTGACTTATTTTAATAAAATGCGACTATTTCGACTTTTTTTTACATTTTTAAAAAAGTTTTTTAAATAAAATATATTTTTTTTAGTATAAAATGCAGAGCTTCTTCAGATCTTATTTATTTCAATTATTTAACAAATTTTTAACTAAAATTCTTTACTAAATTAATTATTTTTTAATTTTAATGAAATTCATCACAAATTCAATTATTTCAAATTATTTTTCAATTAAAATTTTTAAAAATTTAACAATTATTTATAATTTAAAAAAAATATCAAATAAAATTACCAAAAATTTTTAATTCAAAATCATAAATCAATTCAAAATCAAATAAAATTGAATTATTTTCAAAAATATCAATTAAAAATCAGCTAAAATTCAATTATTAACCAAAATTTAAATTCAAAATTAATTATTATCAAAATTTTCAATCAAAATTTCAATTAAAATTCAATTATTTCCCAAAATTTCAATTCCAAATTAAAGAAAAATCAATTATTTTCAAAATTTTCAATTAAAAATCAACTAGAATTCAATTATTCTCAAAATTTTCAACTCAAAATTATTTATTATTAAAATTTTCAATCAAAAATCAATTAAAATTGAATTATTATCGAAAATTTCAATTATAATTCAATTATTTTCAAAAATTTGAATTTGAAAGCTTCTAAAATTTAATTATTTCTAAAATTTTTTGAAATTTAATAATTTCAATTATAACTCTAAGGAAATTCAATTATTTTTAACTATTTTCATAATATTCTTTGAAAATTTAACTATCTGAAACTATTTTTCAATTAAAAATGATTTTCAAATTAGTGTATTTTGTCCGCATTTTCTAATAAATTTTTAGTGAAATTATCTAAAATTTTAATTACAAAACACTTAAAGTTTCAAATTAATTTCAAAAATCTCAATTTTAAATCTTTGAAAATTTAATTAAATTTAAAAAAAGTTTTCCAAAAATTGTTTCATAAATTATTTTTAGTTCTGTAAAATTTAATAATTGTTTGAAAATTAACAATATCTTTTGAAATTTAATTATTTCTTAATATTTCAACTTTAACCCTTCGAAAAGGATTATTATTTTAAAAAAAAATTTTATTTAAAAATTTGTAAAATATTTTTATTAAAATAAAAAACAAATCCACTTTTTTTGGAATATAAATCGACTAAAACGACTTTTTGTGTCGATTCGAGGCCTGTGTTTTTATAATTAATATTTAATAGGTATTCGTTGGCCCCTGGTACCTTAAAAATTAATTTTTAAAAATTAATTTTTTTCAAATTACTATCTTGTACGAAATTTCCTGTCGCATCTTTTTTCTCATCATAAATTTTTTGCGTTTGTATACAATTTTTGAATGAATATACAACTTTAAAAAAAATTTCGTTGGTAAACGTTGTGTACTTCAGCTTCGTGAATTGAATTTTCGAATTTGTAATTTTAAAGAAACTTATTCCGAAATTTGGAAACACAATTTTACAACTTTGGCAAAAATGAGAAAAAGAATTGTCAAAATTTGACACGTCATAAGATTACTATTCAAAAATACACGTGAAATCAGAAAAGGCCAACTTCAACTTAGGACAGAAGGACAGACCAAGCATGTTTATTATTATATATATAATAATTTTGTTTATCTGTTTATTTAATTAGGAATGCAAGGATATCCCCTAAAAGCGGCGGAACCACGTGGAATTCCATTGAATGTGACTCTATTGCCGAAATATTTGAAAAATTTAGGATATGTCACGCGGCTCATTGGAAAATGGCACACGGGATATTATACAAAATTGCACACGCCTGCAAATCGAGGATTTGATTCATTTTATGGTTATTATAATGGAATGATAGAATATTATAATTATACCTATACTCAGGTATTTATATGAATAATAAATATAAAAATTATAAAAATAAAAATAGAAATATAAATAAATAATAATTAATTAAATTTCTAAATAAATATAAATCAGGATAAAAAATACGTTGGATACGATTTACATGATGATTTGCCAAATAAATTGAAAATTGCCGCCAATAAACAAGGATATTTCACTGATTTATTGTCAAAAAAAGCTGAGGAAATAATAAATAATCATAATTCTGAAATTCCTTTATTTTTGGAAATTTCACATCTTGCACCACATTGTAGTAATGCTGTGGATCCATTAGAAGTTCGTGATTTAAATCAACTTAATTTGACATTTGATTATATTCAAAATTTTAATAGAAGAAAATATGCTGGTTTGTTTGTAAAATATAAAAAAAATTTTTTTTTTCATTATTTGCAAAATATTTTTTTTCTTACTAATTAATTTTTGTTTCAGGAATGATGGAAGCTTTAGACGATTCAGTGGGTCGTACAGTTGCAGCTTTAGAAAAAGCGAAAATGTTGGAAAATTCAATAATTATTTTTGTCTCCGACAATGGAGCACAAACTGAAGGATTTTTAGAAAATTATGGATCAAATTATCCATTAAGAGGAGTAATGGAAAATTATTAAATTATTTTAATATTAAAAATTAAAATTTTACTTTTTACAACTTTTTAAATAAAAATAAATATTAATTAATTGAAATTAATTTAATTTTTAATTAGAAAAAAAACTTGCTTTGTCTTTTTAAATAATAAATAAATTTAAAAAAAAATAATAATAAATTATTTATGATTTTAGCTCAAGTTCACAGTTTACGAAGGTGGAATTAGAGTACCAGCATGCATATATTCACCATTGATAAAAATGCAATCGAGAGTATCAAATATTTTAATGCACGTAACCGATTGGCTTCCAACATTTTATTCAGCAGCCGGTGGCAATGTTAGAGATTTGGGAAATATTGATGGTGTCGATCAATGGTTAAATATTCAAAAAAATTATGAAAGTTCGAGAAAATTTTTACTTGTCAATATTGATGAAAAGGAAAATACTGAAAGTGCAATTTTTCAAAAATTCAAAATTGTCAAAGGTAAATTAGAAGCAGAGAAAATTAAATATTTTTATCAAATAAATATTATTAAACTTATACTTCAAAAATGTTTCAATTAAAATTTAATTATTCTTAAAAAATATCCAACTATAATTATTGAAAAATTTTAATTATTTTCAAAAATGTCAATTTAACAACATTGAGATTTCAATTATTTTCAAAGAATTGCAAAATTAAACGCACTTTAATAATTTTGAATTGAAATACTCCAAAAAATACTCAAATCCAATTTTTTTTTCAAAAATGTTAATTAATGGCACGCATACCATTAAAATTATTAATTAGAATTTTCCTTTTAAAGAATTTTATCAGAAATAATTATTTTTTAGACGAATTTTCAATTTTCTTATTAGAATTTGACAGAATTTATTTTTATACAAATTTTTACTTAAACACAATTTTATGTGATTCGAATGACAAATTTCAATTCACCGAATTTTAATTTGAAATTTTTATTTGTACAAATTTTTAAGACGCCGAACAAAAAATCGACAGAAATCACGATTTTTTTAAAATAAATTTTAATTGGTCAATATTTAAAAAATTGCGTCTAAATCTTTCTGTCGCTTTTTTATTTGGATATTTGTAATTTCGGACAAATGAAAATTCGGTGTCTTAAAAATTTGTACAAATTAAAATTCGGTGAATTGAAATTTCTGTCAATTAAAAATTGCGAATCATATAAAATTTGATTGAATAAGAATTTTGCCAAATTAAAATTCGATTAATTTAAAATTCTTTAAATTAAAATTCTTTTAATTAAAATTCTTTAAATTAAAATTCTTTTAATTAAAATTCTTTTAATTAAAATTCATGTGCAGAAAATGATTGTAAAATAAAAATTCTATCAAATTAAAATTCGATTAAATTAAAATTCCTTTAAATAAAAAGTCATGTATAGAAAATTAAACGTGTAAAATAAAAATTCTTCCAAACAAAAATTCGGTAGATAAAAATTTTCTTATATAAAAATTCATATTGTATCTGTCAAATTTTAATTCAAAAATTGAAAATTCGTTGGAAAAATAAATATTTTTAATAAAAATAAGTAAATAATAGAAGTACATAATTTTAAAAAAAAATTTCAGGCGCTTCTAATCAGTATAGTAAATATTATGGTGATACTGGAAATAATGAATCATATCCAGAATATAATATCACAAGAGTTCTCAATTCAGAGACAAATTTAGCAATTAATAATATTCAAGATGTACAAATTACGCCGAAAATAGTGAGAAATTTACGAAATTTAAGTAGAATTCAATGTGAGGAATTTTCTCATTTTCCAAATTGTTCAAATTTATGTTTATTTAATATTTATAATGATCCATGTGAAACTGTCGACATATCAACAACAAATCCATTGGTTAGTTTATAAAAATTAATTTTTTTTGTTTGTTGAAAACTTATAAATATGATTTTTTAAAAATTGTATTTTTGATTTTTAATCAAATTAATTTAATTACATTTTTTACTTTAATTTAATTTCTTTTTATTGCAATCGTATATAATTTTGAAAAATCTCTTTTTTTCTCACATAGATTGTCAACTACATGGAAAAAAGACTCAATGATTATAGAAAAATTCTAATGAATCAAACAAATGCTCCTGTTGATCCTGAAGGATTACCATCAGAATATTTCAATTACACCTGGATGCCATGGAAATTGGAGGAATTTGCAAAAAACGTCAAGTAATTTTTTTTTAAATTTAATTTAGAAAAAAGCGATTAAAATTATCAAATTTCGTTTGGTTAGAATTTCTTTCGTTTCTTTCTTATTTTAATAAAAAAAAAATTAATTAATTAATAATAGAAAAATTTTAAACTACGATGATAATTATTTTTAAAAAAAATTTACAAGGGCCAATTATATATGAGAATGAAAAAAATTTTTATTAAAAAAAAAAATTAATTAATTAATAATAGAAAAATTTTAAAATAAAAAAAATTTTACGAGGGCCAATTATATGAGAATGAAAAAGTTGGTTAAAAGTGATTTAATTTTAATCTTATTGAAAAGATTCTACGTTATTCGTTAAAAAATCGTCCAAGAATATAAGCTTCTTGTCTTTCGCGATTAATTATTTTTTGTAACTCAGGGGAATTCGTGCAGGGAGAAAAAAATGGGGAAAAGAAGAAAAAAAAAATTTGCCCGTCACTCTCTTGTTCGGCATTTTTTTTTCTTCTTTTTTTACTCCTCTCTCTCTCTCTCTCTCTCTCTCTCTCTCTGCAACGCTATTGTATAAAGATTATGCGCGATCATAACGAAATTGTGTGCGAAAGATCTTGATATCACTTTAATGTCTGTCTCTCATACATTTTTCCCTTATCAAAATAAATATTACATCTCGTAATTTAAAACTCATTTTTCATAACAAAAAAAAAAAAAAAAAAAAAAAAAGAAATTTTCCCTTGATCGACAAATTCTAAATTTCTCTTTTTTAAAATATTGCGATTTATTTATATTATTAATAATATTATTTAAATAAATTTATTATTAATAAATACTATTTGCTAATAATAAATTGTGTAAAAATAAATTAAGAATTAGAAATAAAATCTCTTTGTTTGTAGTAAAAAAAAAAAATTTTTGCCGAGATTTGTAACGCTTTTCTGAAGGAAACTTGGTTCTCAACTAAAGGGTCTATAAAACATAATTGCATCTTATGCGTCGTATAATTAAATTTTTTTTTTGCTACCTAAGTATTTTCAGGCCAATCAGAAGTCATTATGTTTATACAATCGTCGTCGTGTGCCAGCTGTTGAAATTTTCTAATTTCACGAAACAAGGTCAGAAATATTGTTACCAGATTTTTTCTTTCATTTTTAAAATTTATTTTGAAGTTAAAAAATAAAAAATAAATTATAATTATATTAATTTTAAATAAACAAAATTCAAAATTATTACTATTATTAATTTTTCATTTATTATATCAGATTTATTTTCTCCATTTTTAGAGAAAAACGTCAAAAATTGACGAAGATAAGAATTGAAGAAAAAACTCTGTTTCTTGGATAATAAAAATTTATCTCGTTTCACGAAAATTATTTATCGACGCATTTTCAAAAAGGTAAATTCTCAAATTTTTCTTTGTAAAAAATTTTTATTAATGAATTTAATTTAATTTAATTTTTTTTGAAGTTTATTTAGAAAAAATAGTTTTCTCTCTCTAGAAAAATTTGTGATTTTTATGGTTTTTTTTTCTGTATTTGGAAAAATGAATTTTTTTTTTTATATATATGGGAAAAAAGGATAAAATTTTCTTCGATTTCCTGTCATAATTTTGCACAGGCACGCAGGACTTGTGTGTGCCATCAAGCTTCGAATCAAGCAGAGTATGATATAGAGACAAAAGCGCGGCAGCAGCTGTGAGTTGCTCGGCTATTAAAAGCGACTTACCCCCAAACTCCTGTTCTATCCCTTGATTCGCTTCCACAACCCCATGATGCATCGCTCGTCATGAAACGTGAAGAGTAACAATTTACCTTTGTGTGAAATCTCACTCTCTCTCTCTCTATATATATATATACATTTCATTTCACAACCATTTTGACCAAGATTGCTAAATGGCCTGTGAGAGACGTCTGTTTTTCTCCAAAAAAAAAAGAAAAAAAAGGGCCCATGATTATTCCATAAAAAACATTAATAGAATTTGATTTTAAAGAATTTTTATTAAAATTAATTACTTTTTCCACGAATTTTCAATTTCCGATTTAGAATTTGATTTTAAAAAATTCTATTAAAATTAATTATTTTTTCAACAAATTTTCAATTTCCGAATTAGAATTTCACAGAATTTCTTTTTACACGAATTTTTACTTTAAACAAATTTTTAGCTACCGAATTTTTGTTTGGCAGAATTTTTATTTGATATTATTTTTTTTTATTTAAGATTTTATTTAAAGAGTTTTTATTTAAGAGAATTTTAATTTAACAGAATTCTCATTCAATAGAATTTTATGTGATTCGAAATTTTTGACAGAAATTCCAATTCACTGAATTTTACTTTGTCTGAATTTTTATTTATACGGATTTTTAATTAATAGAATTTTTGCGATGTCGAAATTTTATTTGTCCGAATTTTTAAGACGCCGAATTTTTAATATTGTTGGATTTTTTATGACGCCGAATTTTCATTTGTTTGAAACTACAAATGATCGAATATAAATCATCAGAAAAATTTCATTGCAATTTTTCAAATTGACCAATTTTGAAATTTCTTTTTTTTTTTAATTTAGAAATAATTGGTAAATTTTGAAAACAGCGCCGAATTCTCTCTGTCGATTATTTATTTGGCTTTTTTGTAATTTCGTATAAATGAAAATTCGACGTTTTAACAATTGGGTTAATTAAAAATTCATAAAAAATTAAAAATTTGAACAAATTAAGATTCGGTGAATTTAAGCGAATTTTAATTTTAATTTTTATTCAATTGAATTTTATGTGATTTGAATTTTTAAATTACTGAAATTCCAATTTACCGAATTTTAAATTTTATGAATTTTTTTTTTTTGTCCCAATTTTTTTAAGGCGCCGAACTTTTATTTGTCCGAAATTACTAATGACCAAACAAACAATCGACAGAAAGATTTTGGCGCAATTTTCAAAAATTGACCAATCACGATTTTCTTGATAATTTCTAATTGGTAAATTTTAAAAAATTGCGCCTAAACCTTTCTGTCCACTGTTTTTTTTTCGGTCATTTGTAATTTCGGACAAATTAAAATTCGGCGCCTTAAAAATTCGTATAAATTAAAATTTTTTTAAATTGAAAGTTACGTTAAAAAATGACTGTAAAATAAATATTCTGCCAAAGAAAAATTTGGTAGTTAAAAATTTTGTACAAATTCGTATAAAAAGAAAATTTGTCAAATTTTAAATCGAAAATTCATCTAAAAAATAATTAATTCATGTGCCTCAGAAAAAAAAAATTAAAAAGTAGCGCAAAATTTTTAATCGCCTTGGAAAATAATTCCCTCTTCATTGTTTATTTAATTTTGAATGCTAAAATAAGTTTTTGCTATAAAAATTATTGACGATTTTGAATTTTACATAACGAAAAAAAAAGAAAATTAAAATATTTTGTAAATAATTTAGTATAGAATGTAAAAGAAAAAATAATAAACCAATTTTTTTACCGATTAAAAATTCACGAAATAGAAAAGAGGGGCACAACTGGTCCATATCCTTCGTCTCCTCCTTCTGCAATGGAACTTTGAGAGAGAGAAATTTCTTCACCTCTTTTTATTTTTTTTGTTTTAATGAAATATACAATACTAGAATTCTTTCGTTCTCTCTTTTTCTCTTGTTGAAATTTCTTCTTTTTCTCCCCCAAAAAAAAAAAATTCTCAATTTATTTTCTCTTGTCCACGCGCCGACTCCAGCCTCCTCTGATTCCTATATACACCGGTTACCCACCACTAGAATTACCACCACCTCTTCTGTGTAACACAATCTTCAGTCTTCACCATCACCATAACATATCATCCTGCTAGTTTTCAATGTTTCGCATATACTCGAACACCACCTGTATTATCCTCTTCTTTAACGCGGCGCACCGCATTCATTGCCAAAAAAAATATAATTCATTCGTTAAATAATAATAAAAAATTTTTATTCTAAATATTCTATAAAAGTGCAAAATTTATTTTCTATACAAATTTTTTTTTTTTTCAATTAAAATTATATAAATTATTATTTATCATTTTACATTATTTTTTTATATTACTCTATTATTTTATTATTATATATTATATTATTCTATTATTGTACTATTTATTTTTCTATTTTGCAAAATTGAAAATTAATTTTCAATACGCGTAAATTAAAATTATTATTAAAATTTTTTTTTCTAAATTAATTTGAAATTCCCAGAAAAAATAGACTAATTTTTCTTTTCGACAAAAATAATATCAGTGAGGTTTTTTTTTTTGGGGTGTAAACGTTTTTTTTTTTGAAATTATCGAAACGAATTTTAATTTAAAATAAATTCTTATATTTCTAATTATTATTTATCAATTATTTTTAAATAAACAAATAAATAAGATAATAGAGAATGAATAATTAATATATAAATAATAATAATAGAAATAAATCTACAATCTAATATAAAAATCAAATTGTAAAATATTTAAAAAGAGAAAATTTACATAAAAAATAATAATAATAAATAATAATAAAAATAAATAGTTAATTATTAAAATTTAATTTTTATTAATAAATTTAATACCTAATTCTTTCTATTAATTTAGTGAAGTGAATATTTAAGAATAAAAAAAATAAATCGAAGAAGAAAAAATAATTTTCAAAACGAAAAGAAGAAGAGAAATGTTTTTTCGAAAAAATAAAGGACTGTGGAGGAATCTCCTTCATAAAACTATGACTATCAATAATGAAAAACTACTGATCTAATACAATATTTAAAAAAAATGGATTTTCAATATACTTACCAATTTTCGAGCCGAGAAACAAGAAATAATGTGATTTAAAGATGACAACTCGTGCAACTAGGAAAATATGTCTTCTTTTACTCTTTTTCCTCGTTAATAATGGCGCGTGCATCAAGTGGTTGTAAGTTGTTTTTTCCTCTTTTTCTTCTATTTTTCCAACTTAACCACTTTTTTTTTATCATCTACAATCAAACACAAAACCTTTTATTTTTTGCAATTAAAAAAAAAATTAACAATTATTATTAAAAAAAAAGGAAATTTCTATAAAAATAATGAAAATACTATGATCGAATTAAAATAATTTCTGTATTTGAAACAAATATCTCAAATAATAATAATAATTTGATAAAAATAAATATTTATTTGATAATAGTCAAAATAATCGAGTATTTGAATTAAATAAATTTTTTTTCCGTGTAATATTAGTTGGGGAGCCAACTAATTTTTTTCTAATTAATGAATCTCTTAATTAGTACATTAAATTTTGCCTATATATTTTAAATAAATAATTATAATAAAAAATTAAATTTTTTAAAATTTTAATACTTTATTAAAAAAAATTATTTTAATTTCCATATTGAAATGATTCCGAAAAAAATGAGTAGCTACATAAAGATTGATGTGAAATATATAAATCTACATAAACAGAGAGAGAAACATCTTAATTATTATATTGTGAATTTAAAAAAAAAAAAAAAAAAAACTTCTTTTCCTACTTAGGGGGATTTAAATATAAAATGAATCATCCCATCACTATAACGGGTTTTTGATTCTTTGTTATTATATAGATAACGAGTTTTCTCAATGTATTATATATATATATATATATATATATATATATATATATATATATATATATATATATATATATATATAAGCGCAAATACATTGAAAGAAGAGAGAAATGATTAATGTAGGCTCGTTAATGAGAGACAAATAGTTTCTTCAACACACACACACAAGAATTTTGCAGGAGGGGGAACGCCAAATTAAATACAACATAAAAGAAAAAAGAAAAAAATTTGAAAATTAAAGATACTTTCTTCGATCATAATTCTATGTATATAATATACTTCTCTTATCTTCGTGTGAGGCCAAAATGACGATTTCATTCAATGTTGCGCCCGCGGTTGTAATTAATTCACTCCACTCGGCAAATAATTTTCTTTGGTCTGCAAAAATAATTTTCAATTAGAATATTTTTTTAATTATTACCTAATTATTTTAAATAATAATAATAGTACGCTAATAATAATAATAATAATAATAATAATAATAATAATAATAATAATAATAATAATAATAATAATAATAATAATAATAATAATAATAATAATAATAATAATAATAAAAATAATTTATCGACTAAAATAATCATTCATTCGCATAACAATTTGTAAAAAAAAAATTGAAAATTGTATTAAATAATAATCAAAATAATAATAATAATAATTCACTCTGTAAATAATTATCTCCGATTTGCAAAAATAATTTTCAATTAGAAAATTTTCTAATTATTTAACTATTGTAAATAATAATAATATAATAATAATTATTATTATTATATTTATTATTATATTATTATACTATTATTATTATTTACAATAATTAATTAATAATTTAAATATTTTCTAATTGAAAATTATTTTTTCAGATCGGAGAAAATTATTTACCAAGTGGATTATTATTATTATTATTATTATTATTTAATACAATTTTCACAATGTTTTATACAAATTGCAATTTGTAAAAGTTTACTTTAGTAAATTTACTTTAATAATTTACTTTAGTTGGTAAATTTTCGTTTTCTTTTTGGAATTTATTTTTTCTTTTTAATAAGAAAAAAAAAAGAATTTATTTTCACAAATCGTGCGGGTATATCTGAAATGTATTATTACGTTATGTGTTTTTAAAAAACCTACTTATATAAACGACTTTAAAAAAAAATAAATAAATAAATAAAAGTTCAAAAAGAGAGGAGCATTTTTAAAACGAAAAGTGTAGCATCATAAAATCACGAATGAAGACCCAAGTTCTCCAAAAATTCATTTCATTCATGGCAGTCATTTTATTCACTATATATATAATGTAAAATACCTTTTGGAAATCGTAAAACGCGATATTTACGAATCCAATAATGATATGATAATAGCTCGTAAAAACTAAGAGAAGAAAAATGCCAATCTATAATATACCTCTATCCTTTTTTTTCATTCTTTTTTTTGATTTTGTCTCCTATTTTTTTTACCACTTTATTATTATATTTAAAAATAAAGGCAATTAATTAATTACAATACAATTTATTTCTTTTTATACCAAACAGGGTTTTTACAAACTTTTCACTTCGTCAATTACAAACAAAAATTTTTAAATTAATTAATTAATTACTTATAATTTGTCGAAAAAAATTTAATTTTTTATCATTGTTTTTTAAATTAAATTTCTTTTTCTAATTTTTCCATTTTATGAAATGAAAAAAAAGCGTTTTTTTTTTAATGGAGACAAAAATTATCAGTTATGAAAGAGATGGTAATATACATATGCATTTTAGCTTTTGTATATAAATGAGAATAAGATAAGAAACGTGTAGGCGTTGAAGGCCCTCACTTAAGGTAATGAGGAAGATTGTGGTTTTGAGGTTTCCTGAAAGATCGTAATTCAAGCCTTTTTTTAAAAAAAGAAAAAAACCTCATTCACAAGAATTCATAATTCACTCATAATAATTGTAACTAATTATAAATTCTAATAATTCTAATTAATAACGCACATTACAAAAAAAAAAAATTTGTTCGTGTTTTTTTAATTTCGATTCTGATATATTTATTAAATTCTAATTTAAATATAATGAAATAATTATTAGAATAGTATTTTTAAACTGATTAATCGTATTTCCTTATTTGAAAATTTATTTTTGGGTTTCATTTTAATCACTATTTTCATAAAATCGAATTTTCTTTACAAATGTTTCAATATTTTATTTTATATCAAATTTTCAATTATTATTATATTTTTATTTCGTTCTTGAAAACAAAAATTAATAAAATTACAAATTCGAAAAGAATTTAATAGAATAATTATTAATAAAAAAAATTAAAAAAAACTAGTGGGAAAGAAAAAATTGTAAAGCTTTGTAAAAAGTACACAATTATATAATAATAAAAAGCTTCGTCTGTCCTTTTGTCCTAACTTGAAGTTGGCCTTTTCTGATTTTACGTGTTTTTTTGAATAGCAATCTTATGACGTGTCAAATTTTGACAATTCTTTTTCTCATTTTTGCCAAAGTTGTAAAATTGTGTTTCCAAATTTCGAAATAAGTTTCTTTAAAATTCCAAATTCGAGAATTCAAATTCACGAAGCTGAAGTACACAACGTTTAACAACGAAATTTTTTTTAAAGTTGTATATTGATTCAAAAATTGTATACAAATACAAAAAATTTATGATGAGAAAAAAGATGCGCCAGGAAATTTCGTACAAGATAGTAATTTGAAAAAAATTTATTTTTCAAAATTAATTTTCAAGGTACCAGAGGCCAACGAATACTTATTAAATATTAATTATAAAAACACAGGCCTCGAATCAACTTAAAGACGCAAAAAAGTCGTTTTAGTCGATTTATATTCCAAAAAAAAGTGGATTTGTTTTTTATTTTAACAAAAATAGGTATTTTACAGATTTTTAAATAAATTTTTTTTTTTAATAATAATCCTTTTCGAAAAGTTAATTTTGAAATTTTGAGAAATAATTAAATTTCAAAAAATATTGTTAATTTTCAAACAATTATTAAATTTTACAGAACTAAAAATAATTTATCAAACAATTTTTGGAAAACATTTTTCAAATTTAATTAAATTTTCAAAGATTTAAAATTGAGATTTTTGAAATTAATTGAAACTTTAAGTGTTTTGTAATTAAAATTTTAGATAATTTCACTAAAAATTTATTAGAAAATGCGGACAAAATACAATAATTTGAAAATCATTTTTAATTGAAAAATGGTTTCAGATAGTTGAATTTTCAAAGACTATTATTAAAATAGTTAAAAATAATTGAATTTCCTTAGAGTTATAATTGAAATAGTTAAATTTCAAAAAATTTTAGAAATAATTAAATTTTAAAAGCTTTTAAATTCAAATTTTTAAAAATAATTGAATTATAATTGAAATTTTTGATAATACTTCAATTTTAGTTGATTTTTGATTGAAAATTTTAATAATAAATAATTTTGAGTTGAAATTTTTGAGCATAATTGAATTTTAGTTGATTTTTAATTGAAAATTTTGAAAATAATTGAATTTTCTTTGATTTTGAATTAAAATTTTGGGTAATAATTGAATTTTATTTGATTTTAAATTGAAAATTTGGAAAATAATTGAATTTTAAAATATTTTAAATTCAAATTTTGGAAAATAATTAAATTTCAATTGAAATGTTGGATAATAATTTAATATTAGTTGATTTTTTTTGAAAATTTGGATAATAATTAATTTTGAATTTAAATTTTGGTTAATAATTGAATTTTAGCTGATTTTTAATTGATATTTTTGAAAGTAATTCAATTTTATTTGATTTTGAATTGATTTATGATTTTGAATTAAAAATTTTTGGTAATTTTATTTGATATTTTTTTTAAATATAAATAATTGTTAAATTTTATAAAAATTTTAATTGAAAAATAATTTGAAATAATTGAATTTGTGATGAATTTCATTAAAATTATTAAAAATAATTAATTTAGTGAAGTATCATTTTAGTTCAAAATTTGTTAAATAATTGAAGTAAATAAGATCTGAAGAAGAACTGCATTTTATACTAAAAAAAAGTAAAGACCTAAAAAGGTGTACAATGAAAATAAATTTATTATTACTAAAAAAAATATATTTTATTTAAAAAACTTTTTTAAAAATGTAAAAAAAAGTCGAAATAGTCGCATTTTATTAAAATAAGTCAAAAAAAGTCGGAAATAGTCGAAAAAGTCGTATAATCCGAGGCCTGCTTTCAGATAGATGAATTTTCAAAGAATATTATTAAAATAGTTAAAAATAATTGAATTTCCTTAGAGTTATAATTGAAATTATTAAATTTCAAAAAAAAAAAATTTTTGATGGAAAATTTTAGAAATAATTAAATTTTAGATGCTTTTAAATTGAAATTATTGAAAATTCAATTAATTTTGAATTCAAATTTTTGAGAATAATGAAATTTTATTTGATTTTAAATTTGGAAAATTATTTGAATTTCATTTCATATTGAATTGAAAATTTTGGGAAATAATTGAATTTTAATTGAAATTTTGGATAATAATTTAATTTAAGTTCATTTTTGATTGAAAATTTGGATAATTAGTTTTGAATAGAAATTTTTGAAAATAATTGAATTTTATTTCATTTTAAATTGAAAACTTGGTAAATAATTAAATTTTAAATTGAAAATTTTTGATAATTATTGGATTTTGAATTGATTTTGAATTAAAATTTCGGGTAATAATTGAATTTTGGTTTATTTTGAATTGAAATTTTTAAAAAATAATTCAATTTTATTGTGATATTTTTTCTTTAAATTATAAACAATTGTTAAATTTCATAAAATTTTTAATTGAAAAATAATTTTGATGTAATTGAATTTGTGAATTTCGAAAAGGGCTCAACTCTAAAAACCGTAAAAGTCGTTTTTCTTAACAATTGATAGTGAAAATGACTCTTACGATTTTCAGAGTTGAGCCCTATTCGAAATTCGCAATTCAATTGAATTTGTGATGTATTCCATTAAAATTATTAAAAATAATTAATTTAGTGAAGAATCATTTTAGTTCAAAATTTGTTAAATAATTGAATTGAAGAAGATCTGAAGAAGATCTACATTTTATACTAAAAAAAATGTATTTTATTTACATTTTTTTTCAAATGTAAAAAAAAATGTCGCATTTTATTAAAATAAGTCGATAAAAGTCGTATTTTTGAAAAAAGCCGGAAAAAGTCGTATAATCCGAGGCCTGTAAACATAATTTTCATTATTATCATTTAATATGTTATAATATTCTAATAAATTAAATTATTATTGATAATATTAATCTTTAATTTATTTATAACAAACAAGTAAATATCCAATTTGGCGCGCTTGCGCGCGTTTAATTTTGCTAGTGGAGAAATAAAATCTATCTATCTAATAAAAAAAATGAAAAATTTGAAAACAAATTTGAAAAAGAAGAATATTTTTTTGTCTGGTTAATCAGGTTTTTCTCATTAATTTTTTTTTTTTTTTTGTTCACACACAAAACTGAGTGAAAGAGATATAGAAGGTTGAAAGGTTGAATCGAGAGAAGAAAAAATAAAAATAAAAAATAAAGTGTTGGAGAGAACTCGGTCCGTAAATCAAGGGTAAATTTTGAAAATTATAGGGCATTGAAATAGGCACTTTAAATATTGCGTTGGGTTTTTGCTGTTGGTATAATATTATGTTGTGTTTGTGTATGTGTATTATGAGGAAATGGGGAAGGCGTTTGGAAGGTAATTACCAACACCTGAAAGTCCAAAATGGTTGTTGCTTTATATATTCGCCAGGGATACGTCTAGACAAACTCCTGTGTGTGTGAGAGAGAAAGAGTGAATATTGCCATATCGCCAACCCCATCAGGGATATCAATTCGAAATTACCCTATCAAAAAACACTTCAGGTTCAGGTTTATTGTCATCCAAAACTCATGTCATTAAATCCTTTCCATTTTCATTAATAATTTTCATAAATATTTCATCAATATTTTTTATTTTCATTTTATTTATTTATTCAAAAAATTTTAATTAATCATTTATTTATGTTTTCTATTTTTTTAAATAACAAATATTTCATAAATATTTTTTCGGTTGTCACTTTTTTTTAAAAAATATTTTCTAATCCTTTTTTTCAAAAAAAAACAAAAAAATGTCTTTTCTAATGATATCACATTTTTCTAATAATTTTTGATTTCTAAAATATATTTTTCTAATAAATTTAAATTTCTAAAACACATTTTTTTCAAATGGTACATTTAATAGGATCTTTCTTTTCCTTTTTTTCTCCCCAACTATTTTCTTTTTTATATTTATTAAAATTTTGAATTTTCGATTTTTACTAGATAATTTTGACCTAGATACAAAAATAATTAAGACTTCTTTAAAATTCTTTGCGAATAACAAAAAAAAAAAAAACGATTTCAAATTGAATTTCCATAGAAAAATTCCTTAGCAGAAATTCAAATTTATTAGAAAACAAAATTTTAGAAATTGAACTTTATTAGAAAGAAAATTTTTTAGAAAACAAAATTTTAGAAATTGAACTTTATTAGAAAGAAAATTTTTTAGAAAAATAAAAATTAGAAAATATTTTTTAAAAAAGGGTACCTTTTTTTTGAAAAAACTAAAAATTAATTATAAATTTTATTTTGTCAATCAAATGGATTTTTGGTAGATTAAAAATTCTATAAGTAAAAATTCGAGAATTCAAATTTAATTTTTGTAAATAAAAGTTTAAAATTAAAACTTCTTTTTTTTTTAGAAAACTGCAATTTTTGATGACTGTCATTATAATAATTCGAATCTAGAATTTTTATTTAAAATTTTCAGAATTAAGGTAATTAGTTTTTTACGATTCCAAAAAATGAGAAGATTTTGCGTCTATTATCGAAAATAATTTTTTGCGCTAAAATATAAAAAAAAAATCATACTTTCCTAGAAGTTTTGAGGCAAGAACGAATCCTTTTCTTATATTTATCGATTTAATGGAATGTGTCGATGGACCTATCAGTAAAATAAAGTAGCTTCTTTTTTTTTCTTCTTCTTTGATAATTTTTATTTTTCACATTTCGTTCCTTTCACTTTAGAGCTCCCTAAAAAAATAGTATAAAAAAAACAATTAACATTATTTATAATTTTTTCCTTTGTTAAATATTTGAATCAAAAAATTTTTTTTTTTCACCATTTTTGAAAAAGAGCTCTGGGTCGTTCCTGGGATGAAAATGCATGGACAAAAGAAGCTTGTATTGAGGCTAAAAATTTGGGCCTTTTGGAGCGAAAACAGGCGAAACTTTGTAGAACAACATTGGATGTGATGCCAAGTTTTGTACAGGCGGCAAAAGATACATCGGCAACTTGTCAGCAGGCATTTCGTAATCGTCGATGGAATTGCAGTAGCATTGATGCGGCACCCGATTATTCACCTGAATTAATAACAGGTAAATTAGAATTTTTTCATAAACAAAAAAGAAATGAAAATTATTTTTTATAATTTTAATCGAATTTGTCATAAATTCAATTATCTTAAATTATTTATCAATTAATTATGAAATTCAACAATTGTTTACAATTAAAAAAAAAAGTCACATAAAATTATCAAAAAAATTTAAATTAATAATTGATTAATAAATGATGAAAAAAAAAATAGATTTTTGAATTTATATTAGGAACGAGAGAACAGGCCTTTGTCTATGCAATGTCAGCGGCAGCTGCTGTTTGGCGTTTGGCAAGGGGTTGCGCCCTTGGAAGTTTAACTGTATGTTCCTGTGCAACGCCACCAAGAAGAGAACCATCATCATCATCATCAGCTTTAATATCATCATCATATTCGCCGGCTTCATTTTCATTCGCAATTTCAGCGAGAAATTCCTTTAAATGGGGTGGATGCGGAGATGATGTTCGATCAGCATCCCGAATGGCAAAAAGATTTCTTCAAGGACAATCGAATTCTAAATTTTTACAAGCAATTAATATACACAATAATCGTGCCGGCCGACGAGTAAGAAAAAGAAAAATTTAATTCTCAATTAGTTATAAAAAAAAATTTAATTCTCAATTAGTTAGAAAAAAAATTTAATTCTTAATTAGTTAGAAAAAAAAATCTAATTCTCAATTAGTTACAAATAAATTTAATTCTCAATTAGTTATAAAAAAAAATTTAATTCTCAATTAGTTGTAAAAAAAATTGTCTAATTTTATCAATTTTTCTTTTCTATTTATTTTTTGTTTTTTCAATAGGCTGTGGATCAGAGTTTAATTTTAGAATGCAAATGTCATGGTGTTTCGGGTTCATGTAGTATTCGTACATGTTGGCGAGGATTGGGATCAACGGGACCATCAGTTGCAGGAGCGCGATTACTTCGTAGATATGCGACTGCCGCGGAAGTTCGACCAAGATCAGGTGGTAGATTACCGCCTCTTTATCATCATGATAATTTGTTATTCACCACAAAAAGTTCAGATTATTGTTTACCTGATAGAAAGAGAGGAAGTCTTGGCACATCAGGCAGGTGAGATCGAGATTTTCTTTTGTTTTTAATTTTTTTTTTTTTTCAATTCCAATAACAGGCTTCGAAGTGTAGCTAAAAAAGAAAGTATCAAAAATTATTCACAAAATTAAAGAAGTTTCAATAAAAAAAAAAAATTTAGTACTTAAGATAAAGTAAAATTCTATTAAAAATTTGGACAAATTAAAATTCTAATGAATTGGAAATTTTGTTATTTAAAAATTCAAATAACATAAAATTCAATTGAATGAGAATTTTTGCTAAATTAAAATTCGTTTAAATTAAAATTCTTTTAAATAAAAAAGTCATGTAAATTAAATGATTATAAAATAAAAATTCTGTCAAACAAAAATTCCGTAGCTAAAAATATTTTTTTTTAAGTAAAAATTTTTATAAAAAGACATGCTTTTATATTCGAAAAATGAAAATTCGTCAAAAAAAATTATTTCTAATAAAATTCTTAAAAATAAAAATTCTAATTAATGATTTTTATAAAATAATCATGCGGCCCACATTAATTGAAATATTTGAAAATAATTAAATTTTTCAAGAATTATAATTGAATTTTTTTAAAATAATTAACATTTTCAAGAGATTTAATTGAAATTATTTTAAATAATTGAATCATCAAAAAAAAACTTTTAATTGGAACTTTGGAAAAAATAATTAATTTTTTGTTGAGTTGAACTTGAAATTTTTGAAAATAATAATTGAATTTTTTTAATTTTTATTCATCAATTTTTAAAAATAATTAAATAATCAAAGACCTTTAATTAAAAATTTTTAACCTTCTAAGAATTACAGATGAAATTTTTGTTTTTTTAAAAAGATTTTTGAAAATTATTGATTTTTCAAGGATTTTAATGGAAATTTTTGAAAATAATTGAATTTTTAAAGACTGATTGAAATTTTTTTTTTAAATTGAATTTTTAAAGAATTTAAATTGAAAGTTTTTAAAGGAATTGAGTTTTCAAAGAATTGTGTGAATAAGAATTTTTTAAATAATTGAATCATTAATATTTAGTTTTTAAAATAATGTAATTTTCAAAGAATTTTAGAGTTTTCAAAATTATTGTATTTTTCAAGAATTTTAATGGAAATCTTTTTGAAGATAATTGAATTTATAATGAAAATGTTGGAACTAATTGAATTTTGAAAGAATTTGAATTACAATTTTTGAAACAAATTAAGTTTTTGAATTAGAATTATTAATTGCAATTTTTTTTTGGAATTAATTAAATTTCCAAGAAGTTTAATTTGAAATATTTAAAATAATTGAACTATTAAAATATTATTAATATTTAAAAAAAATAGTTAAATTTTTGGATCATAGAGATTAATAATCAATAAAATTGATAATGTTTTCACGATTTTAAAACTCGATAATTAGAAATGTCCAATTAAATAAAGGCTAATGAAATCTTTTAAGAGATTGAGAAAAAGAGAAAGAGGGAAGCAATTTAAAATTGAATTAAAAAAAAAAAAAGAAATTGCAAAAGAAGCAGGTGATAAATATTTGTGTGCAGTCATTTGTAAGCATCTTGCAGAACATATAGAAATGGTAATAAACGCGTTCGTCCGGTTAGTGGACTTATAATCTTCATTAATAGAGAACTCACGTTATATTTCGTTATTTGTCCTCCGGGATGAATAATAATAATTTAAAAAAAAAATAATATTTCTCTTGGAAATAAAAGAAATTAAATAAATCGAAAAGTCACTCGGCAATTATTTGCAATAATTTTTTTTTTCAAAACAAATTGGATAAAAAATTATTTTTTGCAAATTTTTGAATAAGAATTATTATTATTATTTGTATAGAGAGTATTTATAAAAAAAGAAATTGTTTCATATTCAAATTAGATCTATAAAATTATGCGGATAATGAGAACAGAGAAGAATAAATTGAAACTTGAGACGAAAAAAAAACAAAATTTAGACATGATTTACTATTGATGCAAGTGCAATTCATTATTATAAAATAAAATCAAATATATTATCTTACTTGGAACATGTGTCATAAGCGGAATAAGAAAATTGAAGAGAATAAAACGAGATTTCTTCTTTCCCTTTTTGAATTTGTCTCATAAAGTAAATATATATGTTTCTGTTAATGGTTTACATTTCAGGTTTTCGTTATTATCCCTCTTATTACATTGAATGGTGACCATAACGGAAAGTCATATTATTATAATTCTCACGAAATGAAAAAATTCAAATCTACTTTCCGGGTGTTCATTCATTTTCCTTCACTAGAAAAAAAAAGAAACAAAATTAGAACTATTTTTTAATAATAGAAATTGTATTAAAATGTATAAAATTGTTATTATTTTAGAAAAAAAAAAAATTCTCGATTATGTCGAAATTCAATGCAAATGAAAATGAATGAAAATTCGAAAAAAAAAATATACGAAATATAGTTGGAGAATTTTGAAATTAAAATTATGCATAAATTAAGAAGATTCAAACTTGGGTGGTAAGGAATATTTTAGAGAGGAAAAGAAAAAGAAGAGAATGTAGAAGGAGGAGGATTAAATATTAGAGTGATTTCATTCACATATATACGATGAATGAGTCTTTCGAAAAAAGGGCGTTACTTATCTATCAAGAAGGCTATCATTAACAGAGATTTTTCATTTCCAACCGCGATTCCTTTCCATTGTCTCATTTTTCAAAACAATGGACCAGAAAAAAAATTCCCCTTTTTTTCACTATTCAATGAATTTTAATTGTTTGCAAATATGACAAAAAAATAAAATCAATTTCTAAAATTTAATTTTGAATATCATTAAATTTTCCAAAAAAAACTGTTTTAAATTTCCATTTCTAATTGAATTTCAAAATAAAAAATTGTTTGAATTTACATTTTAAATTTATATATGAATTAAAGTAGTAAAAAATGTAAAATTAGCATTCGAATCAAGAGTAAATTTTTTTTTTTTACAGACAATGTAATGGAAGTAGTGCCGGATACGATGGATGTGAATACCTTTGCTGTGGTAGAGGCCACATGAAAAAATCTCGAGATACTGTTGAAAGATGTCAATGCAAATACGTAAGCTGTTGCTATGTCAAATGCAAATCCTGTCGGAGAATCACAACCACTTATGAGTGCATCTGAAATAGAAAAAACAAAACAGAAATACATTCTTAAAACAAAAAAAAAATAAATAAAATTACCTACAAAAAAAACAAAAAAATATATCAATAAAAATTAATTTATTCATACGCATAATTATTAATACGTGTCTGTGTATATTATTAATCAATATTATTATTAATAATTTCAAATATTCATATAATGGTAAAATTTAAAAAAAAATTAAATATTTAAAAATAGGTTAATATATGAAAAATATTAAAAAATTTTAATTAATATAAATAATTAAAATATGGATTTTAGAAAAAAAAAGAGAAAAAAAAATCGAACAATCTTTGCTTGATATTATCAAAAATTTTCTGAGGCGAAAAATTTTTGCTTACTCAACTGTTGAACTGGAAATCCTCTTGAACTCGATTTCAAACTAAAAATAATTTGAAAAAAAATTCGAATTCTTTTTTTTTGATTTTACACACTAAAAAAAATGTATTCATTAACTCATGAAAATTTGTTTTAAAAAAATAATTATATCTAGAAATATTCTTTAAATTGAAAATTCTAATTATTTTTATTTTATCTTACGCTCTAAAATTAAATAGAAAAAAAAGTATCAAATATAATAGAAAAAAAATATATAGGAACAATTTGTATTTATATTAATTTAAATGTATTTCATATTTATTCAACTCTGTGTATTTTTTTTTTAGTTTGATTTTTTAAATACATGAGAGTTATGTATTTAATTATTATCGATATAAAAATTTTGTAAATATTTAGTATAATTATAATATTAAATTTCGATGTACACGATATATAATGGAATTAGAAGTAAAACTGTAATAAATTGCGAATTATTAAACTCGAAATCAATAGTGAAAAATTACTAATTTGAAAAATTGTAAAATAATTCATGAATTCACAAATTTTCAATGATTTAATTTTTATTATTTTAATTTTTAAATTTCAAATTTTTAAATAATAATTAAAAATTAATTATTAAATTAATAATTTATGAATTCACAAATTTTCATTATTTTAATTTTTAAATTTCCATTTTTAAATAATAATTAGAAAATTAATTATTAAATTAATAATTCATGAATTCACAAATTTTTATTATTTTAATTTTTAAATTTTAATTTTAGAATTGGATGAAAAAAAATTTTTTTTTTTCCCCCTGTAACATTTTTCTAATCTTTTATTATCTCTGTCTGAAAATTTGTTTTAAATTTATTAAATTTTTTTTTCAATATATAATTGTTAATAATTTATATCTGTTTTTTTTTAATTAAAAAATTCTCTTTTTTTTTGAAGTTTTCGATTTTTAAATCTCAACTTTTCTAACTATAAAAATTACATAACTTTTTCCTGATTTTCGAGTACTTTGTTTTATTTATTTTGTTTTATTATTTAGTTTTATTTAATTATTATTTAATTTGCAGATAAATCATTATACTTATCATCAGACATAGGATTTTCTTTTTCATCTAAATTTAAATCTTCAATAAAGGCTGGAAATTCTATTTTTGCTCCACATTCAATTTCTTTTTCTGATGTCCACCAAAGTGCCGTCTATTAAAAAAAATTAATAATTATTAATAATTTAATAATTATTGAATTATTAAAATCAAAGGTTTGATTTTGTTATAAATATTAATATAATTTAAATAAAATGATAAAAAAAATTAATATAATAATAATAATAATTTACCTTTATATTCACAGGAGCCACTGGAGTCATTGGATTTATTTTGACATTCAAAAATTTAAGTAAGTCACAATAATTAATTGTTCCCTGTTTATTGTCATCGAAACTATTTAAAAAAAAGTAAATTTAATTTGTTTTCTGAATTTTAATTCTCTGTATTTTTATAACATTTTTTACTTACACATCAAGCATTGTATTTAATAATTCAACATTAAGGGGAATTCGACATCCTCGCAAAATTCGATAAAGTTCATTTCGCGATAAATAACCGGTTCTAGTTCTATCCAAATGAAGAATATCTTCTTCGAGACGATCAAGTTCCGTCCAAAGAAAACGATTAATTTCGGTATGAACCAAAGCCCTGAAAAAGTAAGTCAATTTTTTTTTTTTTTTCGACAAATAAACCTAATTTTAATTATTATACCTGATATAATCTCGAGAATTAAATTCTCTTTTTTCACGTGAAGAATAATGACGTGCAATAGTTATAATTTCATGTTCTGTTATATTTTCTCCCAAATATCTCAAGAGAGTTTTTCTAAAATGTTCAAATTCCAATATTAAAGTTCCATCTTCGTTTAATGTTGCAATTAAATCTTTTTTAAATTCTTTATAAATTGGTTTCAATAATTCACGAAGTTTATCCATAATTAGTCTTGAATTTGCTTTCGGGAACTGTTTAAAAAAAAAAAAAAAAAAAAAAAATTGATAAAAAATTTATTTGCAAATTTTAGCAAATTTTCAAGAGAGAAAATAATTACGACCTCGTCGGAATGTTGTTCCATATATCGAAGAGTATAAGAATCGGCGAATGTTAATTGAAATAAAAATCCATTGAGTGTTAAATTAGCGCCAATGTAAAAATCATTTGGTTTATAATAATTCGGTGGCTCATTGGAGAATATTTCCTGTCCAGGTAGCATTACTCGCATTCTTTTTTGAAAAAGACAACTCATAAAGCCTGAAATTTTTTTTTTTTTTTAAACAATTAAATTTTATAATTAATTTGATATTTAAAATGTTACTCTTTTTTTTACCAGAATTTCTTTTAGAAAGCTCAAAAATGGCAATTGTATTATCCATAAGAAAAATTCGAATTATAAAACATCTCTCAGCGTTCTCGGGAATTTTCGATATCATTTTTGCCTGGAATCTCAGTATTTGACTGTCAAATCCTTGTCTGTAAAAAAAATTAATTAAATAAATTTAACGAGAATTTAAATGAAAAGTTAACAAAGTTATAAATAAAGATATAAAGATAAAATAAGAAGCAAAAAAAAATGAAGATAATAAATTATTGAGTAATAAAAAATATATCGACTCTCGAGAATAAAGTATTTGGAAAGAAATTATTACTTTAAAAGTGTATTTAATTAAAATCTACCTATCTACATTTAAACGTAAGTAGGAAATAAAAATATTAAAAAAAAGAAATTTATCTTTCCATTTAGATATCAACATACTTATCGTGATAGTAAAACTTGGTGAAATCTACATTTGGCGCCTTAGGTGTTACTGAAAAGCAATTTCCAAGAGAGTCTTCATATGATCCATAACCGTTGTATGGAGGTATAAATTTCTCAATTTTATTATCGTAATCACACTTTTCCAATGGTCCTTTCAAAGGTGTAAAATTGTCAATTCCATATTTCATTCTTAAAAAAAAAAAAACAGTATTAGTTAACATTTTTTCATTACAATTAAAAATTAAATTTTATCTTTAATTAGACTTTCTAAAATAGAAATAAATTAAATAACTTAAAAAATACATTTAATAATATAATTAAGTGTTGAAATAATTAAATAAATAATTCTAAAATTATATTTTAACTTATTAAGGAAAAATATAAGTTTAATAATAAATTTAAATAAATTATCAATAATTTCAATATTTAATTTAATATTTAAATAAAAATAATTTAATTTTGAGTAAATTTTTTATACCTATAATAATCTTTGGTAAAAGAATCGAGATCGGTAATTACAACTTTTCTTCCAAAAACATCAATAACACTTCCAATTGTGAGATCATGATCTTTAAAATAATCCTGTAGATAAGTTCCCGTATTTAATGAATCTGCCATATAGTAACTTTTTGCTCCATTATCGCCAAGAACATTTAAAATTGTAAATGTATCTCCCGATCCAATTGGATCAATTTTTTCAAAATTCTAAGACAAATCGTTTTATTAGAATCGGAAAATTAAATTAATTTTCGATAATTATTTTTCTATATTAAATTGATTTTGAAAAAACTCTTTAAAAATACCTACAATAAACCAAATACTTTTTTTTAAATTTAATTTTTTTCAATAAATTTTATTTAAAAAAAAAAATTAAATTTATTTAATAAATTGAAATAATAAATAAATTTTAAAATTAAAAAATTTACCTTGGGAATTTTTGATCTTTTCAGAAAAAGTGGTCCAACATCACGTCCAGAATTTTCAGGTAAAATCTCTTTTACTTCAATTGTATCGTCGGCAAGATAATAATGAATTTCTAAATTATGAATTTCACCATAAAGATTGTCCCTATCATCCCAATAGCCATAGAATCTCAAAACTTTTTTATCATATTTCAAAAAATTTCCCCTAGTATCGGGTATTCGATTTGGTTTTTTTTGAAAAATATCCTGCAAAACAAAAATATTAAATATTTGAAAAGTATTTTATTATAATTAATTTTCTTTTTTTCTTTAAATAATTTTACTTTTTTCTCGGCATACGAATCCGAAGATAATTCAATAGGCTGCGGAACTGGAATTCCATTTCGATTGAGAAAATTTCTTGTAAATTTATCACAATCAATAATATTGTAAATTCTTCCATAAATTTTTATTTGTTTCCCAATATTTAAATCCAAAATATCGTAATAACGAAAAGTAACTGGATCTGGTATTGGAATTCTCTGTCTTCTAACAATAAGACCTTGAAAAAAAAATTAAATAAACTACAAATAGAATGAAATTTATTTTAAAAAAAAAGAGAAATTAACCTTGCTCTAAACCACTATTTCCTGTAATTGGCTCAGAAACTTTCATTGTTCCATCTTCCAAAAAAAAACTTATCGTACAATTTCGAATTGAAAATGAAGAATTATCTCGAGTATTTAATTGAAAGTAGGCTTTGAACATTAGTCGCTGTATTAAAAAAAAGGAGTAAAATTATTAAATTAAATTATTTAATTTATAATTATTTAATTATATTAAATTTATTTAATTAATTATTTATTAAATTAAAATATTTAATTAATTATTTATTAGATTAAAATATTTAAAAAATATTATATTTTATTAAATTCATTAGGTACCTATATTTAATTATTTTATTCAATTTAAAAAAGAAAAAATAATTAAAAATTAAAAACCTGTCCATCAAAAGCGAGCCATGTTGGTTTTTCTCCTTCATCATGAAACGATAAATAACGACTGTGTCGCGAAAAATGTGGCTTCTCCGCAAGATAATAAACACCATTATGAATTTTATCAAAAATCTGACTCTTGTGAAATTTTGTTTTACCAATCTGAAAAATGCGATTTTAAAAAATAATAATTATTATTTATTTTACACATTAATTTAATTACCAAATTTTTAAATTAATTACTAAATATTGAAGATGATTGTCAAATTTTTAAATTAATTACTAAATATTTAATTCGATTACAAAATTTTTTATTTAATTACTACAAATTTCATTTAATTACAAAATTTTTAAATTAATTACCAAAATTTGTAAATTAATTACTAAATTTTTAATTCAATTACCAAATTTTTAAATTAATTACCAAAATTTGTAAATTAATTACTAAATTTTTAATTCAATTACCAAATTTTTAAATTAATTACCAACATTTGTAAATTAATTACTAAATTTTTAATTCAATTAGGTACCAAATTTTTAAATTAATTACCAACATTTGTAAATTAATTACTAAATTTTTAATTCAATTACCAAATTTTTAAATTAATTACCAAATTTGTAAATTAATTACTAAATTTTTAATTCAATTACCAAATTTTTAAATTAATTACCAAATTTGTAAATTAATTACTAAATTTTTAATTTAATAACCAAATTTTTAATTTAATTACTAAATTTTTTTAAATTAGTTATTAAATTTTGTATTTTATTACCAAATTTTTAATTAAATTAATAAAATATTTAATTTAAAAATATGTACTTCTAAACCATTATTATTCTAATAAATACAAAAGAGAAAAAAATAGTACCTTCGAATCAAAATTAAAACCGGGCAAAAATGGCAAAGCTGGAACAGGATTCATGTTTCACCTTGAAAAAAAAAAAAAAGAATAAAAAAAAACCTTCGTCCCTTCCTTGTAAAAAAAAAAATTCCAAAAATTAACCTTCTAGTAAATACCTGTACAATATCATTGTAAATAATAAAAGCAAAATAAAAGAAAATTGCAAGTAAATTAAATCTATTTATATTGACGTTTCCATGGAGAAATTCTCTTGAATTAAATTCTGTACAGTATAAATTAGCCCCTTTCAAAACATTTATTCGTTCACTTTTCAATTAAATTTCAATTCAATTCAATTATTAATTATTATTTTTTCTTTTTGTAAATCATTTGTAAATTATTTTAATAAAATAAAATTTAATTTAATTACTAAATTTTTAATGTAATTACAAAATATTTAATTCAATGATTATCCCATAAAAATCATAATTGCCATTTTAAAAAATTCTATTAGATATTTTTTAAATAAATAAATATATAAATAAATTGCAATTAAAAAAAAATTATATTAATTTATATGCAACAGTTTTTGTTTTTTTTTGTAATTTATTTCTAATTTTCTTTTTGAAATTAATTAACAGGTAAATTATGCAAATATATTTTGAACAATCGTAGTGTAAATATGAGTATAAATATAACAACGCACTTTTTAAATCACTTTTATCAACTTATATATAAATATATATAAATTTTTTTTATTTTTAACAAGCTAGAGACGCTTTTTTGATTAAAAATTATTATATCTCTAATTATTATTTTGTGTATATAACATATTTTAAAAAATGTTTAGTAAAGATTATGAATAGACAATAGATTTTTTTTTGTTTTGGACTTCATATTGTAATATTAATTAATATTATATATTAATACTTTTTAAGTACTCGGAAAGTTCTGTTCCCTTTTATATCAGGCTTTGAAGAAATATATTAATTTGCGTAGAGAGTGAGATTCGAGATAAAAATTATAATCTATAATATTCACTTACAAAATCTAGATTAAAAAAAAAAAAAAAATTATGCAATATTTCTATATTAGTATCGCGGTGCTTAGTGCCTTAAGTAAATCCGGTTTTTTTTTTTTTTTGGTTAAAATTTACTAAAAGCGTTTGAAAAAAAAAAACTTTCCGGTATTATCACACTGTTTTTAATTGCCGTTTATAAATACAAATATCTGGCAAAGCGTATATTTTTTTTTTCTATTTGAAAAACTAATTTATTTTTACGGGAAAAAAAACTATTTCTTTTATATATTTTTAGAAAATACTTTAACAAAAAAATAATCAGAAAAATAATTTTTTTGACAATAAATTAAGAAATAGAAAATATTTCAAGAGTAAATAAATATGAAATATTTTTTTCATAACATTTTTAAAATGCCCAAGTATTTAAAAAAAAGGTTTTTTTTTTTGCCTTAACACGCTAAATAGAAAAAAAAATGAGATTCATAATCTTTGATATAAAAAAAAAAAGAATTATTTTTTGCGTTTGCAAAAAAATTGATAAAAGAGAAAAAATCTCCCTCTTCTACGCCTCCAAATCTAGTCTTTAATTTCTGGTTGTAAATCAAACCATGATGTGACTGATTGTGAAAAATCAATTTGCGACAAATCAATATGAATTTGTCCCATTATATTATTGCCCGTTGATAGCCATGCTTTTTGTGTGCATACAGAAATTTCAAGTGTTTTACTATTAATATCGCCCTGCGATACAATATATTCAAATTTCTCATCGAATATTGGATTACAATTATCCTTTATCACAATTGTTTTTCGTTTTGTTTCCTTATGCTTGTCTGGTAGAAGATAAAGTTTTACGTATGGATCCGGAATGTTGTGCGGATCATTTTGTGGTAAAGGCAAATGCCTAGAAATCATTATCTTTTATTAAATTTAAAATTCTTTTTTTTTAAATAGAATCAATTAATAAAAATTAAATTAAATTATTAATTTAATTTTCTTATTAAAAAGCCTCGGATCGACTCGTTTTAGTCGATTTATATTTAAAAAAAAAAAAATCGTATAATCCGAGGCCTGTATTAAATAAAATTTTTAATATTTAAAAAAAAAAACTTACGCTACTTTGTGGACGTGAATAAAAAGTTTTTGACGTGGTTCACTGTATTGTAATGTGAGTTGAATTCTTCCGAGTTTTGATTCGCCGGTTGATGATGTAAAACTTGGATGTCTATGAACTAAATTTGGATTAACGGAAGATGTTTGTGATGTTATTGTTTCACGAATTATTGGTTCCTCGGAAATTGGCGTTGGAACTTCAGGAACAGTTGAAATATTTGTTCCACCTCCTCCTCCTACTCCTGTTACCGATGCATTACTTCCGGCACTTTGTAATGATTCTTTGGACGATTGTTTTTTCAATGGACTGGGCGGAACTGTGGGGAAAAAAGAAAATAAATAAACGCAAATTTAAAAATAATTAGAGTTTGAAATTTCAAAAAATAAACTTGCCACTGCTGGAAAGATTACTGATTGTTGATCCTTGACGTTCGATTTTTGGTTGGGATTCAAAATTATCAGGATCATCCTCATCATCCGAGGAAACTTTTGGCTGTTCGTATTTTAAAATCTAAGTAAATAAAAAGTATTTTAAAATTCCAAATATCTAAATTGTAAATTTGAAAAAATTATAAAACTTAATTCTAATTTATCAAAACCTTTAAAATCATTGACATTATTAATTTGCTCTCCCTTCCCGATTGCTCCAAATCGAATGGTGATTGTTTCAATTCAAAATTCGCTTTCTCGAGTAAAGTGGAAATATTGAAATTCATTGTACCAACAATCATTCCCGATTTTTCATCAGTTATCTGAAAGAAAAAAGAAAATATTTTTATTATTCCTTTCCAAAAAAAGAAAAAAAAAGGAAAATTTTAAATATATACCTTAAATGACATGGTCCCAGTTTCTGGATTAGCAACGAGAAAAGTGAATCCCTGCTCCCAAACTGGATCACATGATCGTAAAATTGTTATTGTTCTCTCTGTTTTTCCGCCAAGGCTTGCTTCAAGATAAACATCTGGTTGCTTACTTCCACGAATACACTGAAAATTCATTCGCTTATAAATAAATTACAATAAAGGGGACATTAAATATTTGAAAATCAATTTGAAATTTTAAATTTGTTCTCGAAAAAAAAAACAAATGTAAATTTTCCATCGCATTTAAATTTTATTGCCATAATTTGAAATTCACTCACTGGTAAATTTTTTGCTGAATCAATGTACAAAATAAGAATTGCTGTACTCATAGACGTCACGCGTAGCTGTTGAGTTTCCTTTAGAGCCTACAAAAAAAATAATAATTTCTATTTATTACATCAGAAGACAAAAATTTATTTATTACAACAATTTTCTTTTCGTAATTTATTTTTATTTTAATAATACTTTGAAAAATACTTTGAAAAATTAAAAAAAAAAATTCCCAAAAATTAAAAACATACTCACTGCAGGAAGATCGGAAATTTTATTTGAAAGTTGAAGCCAACTGAGTCGCAAATGTACCATTCCATGCTTTGCCAGCTCCAATGAAATCCACTGATAAAATAGAATAATATTTTTTTACAAAAACCATTTTTATTAATCTAAACTTTTATTAAATTTTTTTATTATAATTTTTAAAACTCACAGTATCAATGGTTCCTTTTTTCTTGACTCGACTAACTTCGATGGTAGCTCTATTTTAATTAAAAAGAGAAAAAAAAATGTATTAATTATCAAAACAGAATTAAAAATAAAAATTATAAATTTATAATAAATCGTGTAGGAATTACACTTTGAAATTGAAAATTATTTTTGCAATTAAAAAAAGCATATTACAAGACGTGCATTCTAATTACAAGTACTTTTTTAAAATTATAAATTAATAATATTTACACATGCGAATAACAAAATTATAGACGAAATAAAATTCCAGCAAAGCTCTCAAAAATAGCGAATTTTAATAAAATTAATTCTGGCATTGAAATAATATTTTAATGGCAAAAATATAAAAATAAAAATAAAAATAAAATAATTAAAATATTTTCATTGTGTGGCAAATTTATAGAAATGAAGAAGGATGTGGAATTTTCAGGGATATTTTTTCTAAATACTTACAGGAATTTTTTTTCACAAAAAAAATCGCTGAACATTTTTTCTAATTGAATTTATAAAAAATTCATCGTGCATATATAAAAAATTATAGATTATCTAAATTTGAGTAAAAAGAAAATAATTTCTAGAATTGATTTTTTTAATTTTCTTCTGGGTTTTCTTTTTTTTTTTTTATAAATTTTGTATTTGCAATACCTGCCAAGTTGATCATCTTGACCATGGTTGTCTTTGTCAAAGAGATGAATCTTGCAGTTGGGTCCAAAGCCCTCATCAATTATAAACTGCCATCACATATATATATTATAAGCTTTAAATTTTTTTTTATTTGCCAAAAAAATCAAAAAACTGTTATCAAAAAATAATATACTTTTCCATAAGCTTCTTCAAGTCTCAAACACTTGAAAAGCCACTTGTATGTTTTTGATAATATTCGAGAGATAAAAATAATTAAATTAAATTTAATCTGCGATTAGATTTTAAGAGCAATTACATTCTTAATACGAGATTTGGATCTTTTTATTTAAATTTTTAATTTAAGACTAGAAGAAACCGTTTAGAAATTGATCCTTAAAAAAAAATAAAAAAATAAATCATTTTCAACAGTTGGATTAATTTTTAATTTATCAAAATCAATTTAGTGGTATTGATCACTTTTTTTTCTAAACAAACACTTTTTTCTCTACTTCAAACAAAATCACAAACTAAGAATCATGCAAACTATACTATAAAGAGTTAATTAATTAGAGCACAATTCTTTTCTACAAATTATTTCTACTACCTTCCTAGGAAGTCATCAAATTGAATACCAGGAACATTTGGATCCCAATCCCAAAGCGATAATTCAATCTCTTGCAAATTGATTGAATAGATAACAGCCTAAATATCAAAATATTTATTTTTTTTTCTTCAAAAAGAAAAAAAAAGTTTTATTCATTGAAATTTAATTTCATTAACTTCCATTTTTTTGCCCCTCTTTTTTTTGTATTTTAACTTTCATGCAAAAAACAATCTAAACATTTAAAATTATACTTACCAAAAATTTTCTAAAGCGAGGAAAATTTTACGAAAGTAAAAAAAAAGGTTTGATAGGGATAAAAAAAATTAATTTTTAATTTTTATTTAATTGAAATAATAATTTGAAATTGAGACTTTATCTAATAATGGACGAAAAGAAAAATTTGTTAACTGTGCAAAAGAAGAAAAGCTGACAAAGCATGCTTACATTTGAAAATAATTAAACACCAAAAGATTTTTTAAAAAAATACATATCGCAATATAAACCCAAAAAGCACAAAAAAAACCATTAAGAGACACAACACCGCTAAAGACAATAAATAGAATTTTTGTATAAATGATATAAAGTGTAACACCTACAAAATTTCAATATTTATATAAATATTTCTTAAAATTAGCAATTTTTAATAAATTTAATTTTGACGCGAATTATAAAATAAAAATTCAATACGAAAATTTAAAAATATAAACTAATTGTATAATTGTGTTCTAAAGAAAAAAAAATTTATTAAACAAATTATAAATTTTAAATTATAAAATTATAAATTCTATTTTAAATTACGAAATTGTAATTCTATTCTAAATTAATAAAATTCAAACCCGTAAATTATAGAAATAAAATAAAAATAAAATAAAAAATTAATTAAATAAATTATTTTATAAATTATAAAAAAAAATATTAAAAAAAATTATAATTATAGAAAACAAATGTAAATTATTTTTTTTTTTTTGGTAAACGATAATGGCGCAACCCGTAAGTTATAGAAATAAAATAACAATAAAATAAAAAATTAATTAAATAAATTATTTAATAAATTATTTAATAAATTATAAAAAAAAAATTATAATTATAGAAAACAAAAGTAAATTTTTTTTTTTTGGCAAACGATAATGGCGCAAAATAAAATTTAATCCGATTGAAAAAGAATTTTCAAAAAAAAAGATATTTTTTTTACAATACCTTCCGAGATTTTCATCGTTCTTTGTGTCGTCGAGATCCCATACGTGAATTGTCAATTGCTGAGCGATGGCCGACGTCACGACACACTAATTCAAGTAACATATCACACGTAACATTTGCACATATCACACATTCCAAGAAATAAATGGTAGTATTTAAATGAGGCCTATTTTCTATAGCTTCACAATCCTTATCTCTCTCTATATATATATTGAATGCATTTTGTGTGCGATTGTAAATTTTCCCCTCTGCTTTAAACTCGTCAAAAATATAAATTTTTTTAATTTAAAAAAAATTTTATATCAAAATTTATTTTCTTTTTTTTTTTAGTAAAAGTAAAAAGATATAGAGAGAAAGAGAAAAACATCATTAAAATATAACAGGCTTCGAAGTATAGTGGATTACTAAAAAAAAAAGTATGTAAATTATTCGCCGAAAATAAAAAAAAAAAGTTTCAAAAAAGTATCGTTCTTAAAGTAAAAGTAAAATTCGATTATATTTTTTAACTACGAATTACTAATACGAAAATATAATTATAACAACTGTTGAAGAAAGTATAATAAAAATTTTTAAAAAATAATTGAATCCTTAATATTTAGTTTTCAAAATAATCTAAATTTTAAGAAGAAATTTCTAAATTCTAAATTTTAAAGAATTTTAGTTAAAGATTTGAAAATATTGAATTTTAATGGAAATTTTCGAAGTTAATTGAATTTTTGATAATTTAAATGAAAATATTTAAAATAATTGAATTTACGAATTATTTGAAATGCAATTTTTGAAACGAATTGAGTTTTTGAATTGAAATTATTGAAGAGCGTTTAAATTGCAATTTTTTTTGGAATTAATTGAATTTCCAATAATTTTAATTTGAATTTGTATTTAAAATAATTCAACTATTTAGAAATTTTATTAATATTTTTAAAAAATAATTTAATTTTTGAATTAATATTTTAAAAAATAATTTCGTTTTTGAATTAATATTTTTAAAAAATAATTTAATTTTTCAAGAATTTTAATGAAGATTTTTCAAAAAATTGAAGAGAATTTGTCTGAATAAATCTTTAGTTTTATTTTAATTAATTAATTATCAATTAATAGACTTAAAAATTTCATAATTCTGGCAATTTTTTTTTTTTTTACATTTATTTAGAAAAACCAGCATTTTGTATCTTCTGGTCAAAATTAGTATTAAAAAATTAGCCCTGTTCAAAAAAATATCAAGAACGTAAAAAAAGTCCGGTACTTCGAAGCCTGATATAGATAAAAAAAAATGCGTGTATTATGAATAATGAAGAATCGTGAAGTTTTCATGCAAAACGATTGTTTTTTTTTTTTGTAACATTTTTTTACTTTCTGAAAAATAATTTTCTATAATTTATAATAGAACTGAATTTAATATAAAATTTTAATTTAAATTTTATTTAATTTAATAATTATTTTTTTTTTTCAAATCATTATAATTAGAAAAAGAAATAAATTTTGATTATCAGAAAGAAAGAAATGTAATTTAAGAAATTAATATTTAAATATATTAATTAACTATAATTTGAAAAAAGTTTTTAAACTGTTTTTATCCTTTTTTGTTTTCTTTAAATTAAAATAATTTAAAATCTTACCATATAGTAAAAGCTCGCATAAGAAATTGAAAGGTTTTTTTTTTGTAAATTAATTCAAGGAAGGAAAGAAAACATGCATTTTGAGCGTCAATCGAAAAAATAGAAAAAAAAAGTTTACACACCTCACACCAATAATCCCATTTTGGATCAACTGTATTGTCAATTGTTTTTGTACGAAATTCTTGTGCTCCAACGCTTATTATTGCATAGGGATCAGATTTTCCTTTTCCCAAGACGCCAATATCTTTTTTCATTAAATGCTTCGCTTGTACCACATGAATTCTCAAAACACCCTGAAATAAATTTTTTATTTAAGAAAATTTTTTTATTTAATAATAGAGAAATTTTTTTTAAACATAGAGAAAAATTTGTTTTCTATTTACTTCAGGTTCTGGCATTTTTAAAACTTCGGAAGGAATATCTTCTGATAATGGAACTATTATTTTATTCGGCAAAACTAAACGTGCCGCTACTTGTTGCGTTATTATTTTCCTTAAAATATCACTGAAATCAAAATATAATAATTATTAAATTAATAAATTTAATTTAATTATTAAAAATCAATTAATTATTAAATCGTACTTAAATCCTGGAAAATCGAGAATATCCGCAGCTCCAACCAAATTGAAATCAATAGCTGGATTATTTAGAAAAAATGCTTGAACACCGCCAACTAAGGGCATAACAGGAATCAATGGTTTCAAAACAATTCTCATAAGTCCACGAAGCTAAAGAAAAAGAAATTTTTTTTTGTCACTTTTTAAAAATTTTTTTCCTCAATTAGAATTTCTTTTTCCCTACCTGAAAATCTTTTATTCCACCTTTTAAATTTCCCACTGAAAATGAAATATCACAATCACCGGCATATCTGTATAAAAAAAAGAAAGTATTTCATTAATTAAATTCCAACAAAAAGAAAGACAAAAAATGAAATAAAAATACTAACAATATATCCACATCGAAAATAATTTCATGTCTCGATGTATTTTTATCGTAAGTTTTAATACCATAAATCTTTGGTGGCTATAAAAAAGAAACTGATTTTTAATATCAATTTTTCCGATTAAAAATTAGAATTAAAAAAAAAAACTTACAATGCGTCCTAATACTAATCTTTCAAATTGAAATCCCTTCATTTTATATTCAGATAAACTCTGAATAATCGCCGGTTGAATTGTACTTTTAAATAAATCACGAACAAAATGATTTATACTTGGCCAAACTTTACACAAAATCTGCAAAAGAAAATAAATTTTCATGAAATAAAATTGAAAATTGAAAAATGAATTAAATTAATTTAAAAAATAAATTTATTACTTTATTAAGCCATTCGGCACGATCAAAATCGGGGAAATAAACCCACGATGGTAATTCATCCATTCGGCTTGCAATAACATCTTTTTCTTTACTAAGAGCAGTTGCTTGTGCCATAAGTCTTTTTAATTCATGATCTTTTTTTCTCTCCGTTCTCCAAACAGTTAAAACAACTGGAGCAATTAGCCAAGCGAGACTAAAATTCATATAACCCCATCCCCAAATAATTCCAACTGTTGTTAATTTAGCAACAAATGAAGTTGAAAGCGATGCTAAACTCATGTAAGGCCAATTACTAAGTTCATTTTCTTTTTCTTCCGGACGATCCATTTTATTTCACTTCTTCTTTTTTTTTTATGGCAAAATTTTAATTTTTTCCTATCCTAGAATTTTTCATCACTCAATGTGAATTCTGTAAATTGAAATAATTTTTTAATTAAAGTTAAAAACTTTAACAAAGTACGAAGTAAAATTGCAGATTGTGTATTTTTGAATTTAAAAATGAAAAACAAAATTTTCGTTTAAATTTACATTTAAAAAATAATAATCAAATATTTTTCACGATTTTAAAATTGTTAATCAATCAAAATTTATTTATTAACGGTATAATTATTATTAATTAAATATAATTTATATTTTATTTATTTTATTATTAATTAAGTATATTTTATATTTTATTATTAATTAAATTGATAAAAAAATAATCTTTATTATAAATAATTAACTATTAAAATTACTAAAAATAAAATTTTTTACAAAGAACAAGGTAAAATTGTAAAAAAATATTATTTCAAATTTAAAAACGAAAAACAAACTTTTCGTTTAAATTTAAAATGTAAAAAATTTAAGAATTTAACAAAACAATAATCAAATATTTTTCACAATGTTAAAATTGTTAATTAAAATTATTCAATAATTGCAATTAATTACAATGAATTTTTAATTACTTATAAATTTATTAAATCAAAGTTACTTTAAATTCATAAAAAATATAAAATGTTTATTATAAATAAATAAATATTAAAATTAATAAACATAAAAAATTTTACAAAGAAAAAAGTAAAATTGCAAATAAGGATTTATAAATTTAAAAACGAATAACAAACTATTTTGTTTATTTATAATTTAAAAAATTTTTTTAATTAAAAAAAAACAATAATCATGTATTTTCCACGATGTTTAAATTATTAGAAAAAAAATATTTAATAATTGCAAAATTAATAACATAAAATTTTTTTAATTAATAATAAATTTGTTAAATTAAAGGTACTTTAAATTTGATAATATAAAATTTTTTTTATAAATAAATAACTATAAAAATTACTAAATGAAAAAATGTTACAAAAAAAAATTACAGATTTTCAAAAAATGCAAAAAGAAATTTTAATTTAAAAAGTGAAAGATTTAAAAATCAATAATCAAATATTTTTCACGATGTTAAAATATTGTTTATCAAGGTTATTCAAAAATTGTAATTACTTAATTAAATAAATTACAAGGAATTTTTAATTAATAATAAAATAAAATAATAAATGTATGTTAACTTAAAGCTTAATTTAAAAAAAAATATTAAATATTAATTATTTCTATAATAAGAAAAAATATTATTAACCACCTTTTTTCCCCCTTTGTTAATAAAAAAAAAAAAAAAAAAAACTATCACAAGATAAATTTCTATCTCCGCAAAAAAAAAAAGAAAAGAAAAATAGATTAAATTGCGCATAAAAAGTTATTTATTAAACCTAAATATAACAAAACTATATCAAAAAGAGAAAAATGTAAATAATGTGTTATAATAAAAAAATACTAATTTCTGACAGCTGGAAAATAAAAATTACACGTTTCTATATTCGGAGATGATGAAAAATTTACTTCTAACCTCTCTCTCTTTCTTATGGGATGTAATATGAATTTTTTTTTATTAACTTCACCTTGGAATCAAATCACACAAGTTTTATACTTTTAAATGATTAAATTACCCGTCGGAGAGAATATTTATTACTTACTTATCTCTTTGAACAGTGAAAATCGACTGAACTATCAAGACACGTTGAAGAACGACTTGTTTCCGCACACCGCGTTTTGTCGATAATATACACTAGATCATCAAAATTTATTTTAGTCCCTTACCAGTCTGTCACATCTTCAATACGTTTATTACATTTTTTCTGTCATCAATAACATTTTACGTAATATTTCTTTACATTCAAATTATCGGTCTTTTTTACCCTATAGTATATATATATTAAACTATATAATGATAATCTTGTTTTTTTTTACAATGTAAAGGGTAATCAATTATTCAATAATATTTTAACATATATAGTAAATAAGATTATTGAATCACAAAAGAAAAAAAAAACATAGATTTCATCATTTCTATAAATAGTTTAAAAGAAATTATTATACGGATCTTAATAGAAAAAAATTAAACGTGCGTCTTAATTTGAGGTTAGGTTAGAAGAAAATTGAAAGATTTCTATATATAGTTACCTGTAATTATTTCACATTTTTGTTAAATGATGTCTATTAAATGAAATTCAATTGTCAAATTGTGTAATTTTTACATTGAAAAATATTTAACGAAAATAAATATACAGAATGTACTCTTTAAATTTATAAATTTTCCGCTTTTTTTTGACAGTTTAATGTTGGTATCACGTGTTTATAAACAGAAATGCGCATGTCCAATTCTTCTTATCTGATTGGTTTAAAAAAGCGCGGTTATTTAACACATTTTATTTGAAAAATAAGTTTAAATTAGTTATTATTAAATCTATTTTTATATATTATAGTTATTATTATATTTATTATTGTAGTTATTATTATACTTTTATCATAGTTAACAATATAGACAGCAAATTTTTACCAAATTTAATTTAATTTAAATGTTATTGCTATTTTGACTACCGCAGTAAATGTGCGCGCGCACTACCCTTCATATTGGCAGCACTGTTATCAGCTGATTCATTATCATCAATTATCATTGTTGTGTGTAGTTTAGGTCAGTTCATCTTTCGATTAAATCATTAAAATCATTGGAAATTTTTTGCTAAAAACGAGGAGTAATTTCACTTTAGTGATTTTCTAAACAAAGTTACAGTGAAATACTTATACGTGGATAGTAATCAAGAAAAATGGGTCTCGTTTGCTCCACCGCACAGGTAAGGAAGTTCTTTTTCTATTATATTTCGTATACGATATTGCGTCTCATGTTCCGAGAAAGTATTCCCAGATTGATCAATAATGTTTATCTCTCTGTCATATTATATTTTTGTCTACAAAAAATAATTATGTTTTACATTTTTACAAATATTTTTTTGTCAAATTTACCAATTTTGAAAATTAGGTTATGTTTCTTTTGTTGTATGTGTATTTTTAGACTTATTACATTAAAAGTCGATAAAAGGTCTTTTTTTTATAGATTTTTTAATCATGTTTATAACGGTTTAAAAATAAGAATTATAATATTATTTCCAATTTGTATATTTGATTAAAAAAAAATAGAAAAAATTTAAACGATAGAAATTTTAGGTTCAAAACAAAGAATCCTTTGTTAAAGGAAATATTTTCTTTTTAATATTATTTGTTTCTAATCATTTAATTAATTATTTTTAATAATTTTAATGAAATTCTCCACAAATTCAATTATCTTAAACTATTTGTCAAATTAAAGAATTTATGAAATTTAATAATTGTTTAAAATTAAAAAAAAATCAACGGAAATTATCAAAAATATCAATTCAAAATCACTTGGAATTCAATTATTTTCAAATATTTTAATTTAACAGCTTCTAAAATTTAATTATTTCTAAAATTTTCCATCTAAATCTTTTGGAAATTAAATAATTTTAATTATAACTCTTCTGAAATATAATTATTTTTTAAAATGATTTTTATATAGTATTTTTCGAAAATTTAATTATTTCTAAAAATTTCAATTGTAACTCTTCCCAAAATTCAATTATTTTCAATAATTTTAATAAAATTTGTCGAATTAAAAAATTTATGAAATTCAATACCAATTGTTTAAAATTAATAAAAAACAATTAGCAAATAACATCAAAAGTTTTCAATTCAAAATCACGTCTAAAATTTTATGAAATTTAACAATTGTTTATAATTTAAAAAAAAAATCAAATAAAATTAGCAAAAATTTAAATTTAAGAATCTTTTAAAATTTAATTATTTTCAAAATTTTTTATCTACAATTTTTTTGGAAATTTAATAATTTCAATAATTATAATTCTTTTGAAATTCAATTATTTTTAATGATTTTATTTCAAATATGCAATAAATTAAATTATTTCTATAAAAAATTTTTTATTATAGGTCAAAAATTAAATTAATTTTCAAAATTATAATTATAATTGATCAAAAAACATTTGGAATCTATTAAAATTTAATTATTTTTAAAATTTTCCATCTAAAACTTTTTCGAAATTTAATAATTTTAATTATAATTTTCAAAATTCAATTATTTTTCAATATATTTTATAATATTTTTTAAAAATTCAATTATCTGAAAGCATTTTTCAATTTTTTTTATTAAAAAAATAAGAATTTTTGAAATTCAATTTTTACCTATAATTTCTAATTAATTCTTCAGTAACAGAAATAACAGAAATAATTAAAAAATTTGAAACAAAAATTTCTCTTAAAGTTCATTTACTTTCAAAAATCTGAATTGTAAATTTTCGAAAAATCAATTATTTGCAAAATTTGAATTATAATTTGTCGAAAACTTTTTTTTTCAAATATCAATGAAAATTAAGCAAAAATTCAATTATAATTTCAATTTAAATCCATCAAAAAATTTAATTATGTGTTTTAGAAGATAGGCAAAATAAGAAAAATAGATTATTTCGCCCGTTCAAGATAAAATCGAGTATCTGGAAGACGGGCGAGTATATTATTTCGTCCGTGAAATGTTTAAACAAAAACGGGCGAAATAATCAAAATACAATATTTAGCTATATTAATATTTTTAAATCGATGACGATCAATTTTAATTGTTTTCGACTTCAACATCGTAATTTTAATTAGTTAAATTTAATAATTATAATTTATAATTTTAATATTAGATTAATTTTTTTATAATTTTAATTATATTTATTTACCATTACTATAAAATATTAAATTTTTTTAATTATTTAATAAGAGTAATTAATACCTCTATAAATATATTAATTTTTTTTCCAATACAATTTCTTAGATAAAATAATTATTATTCTTTAAAGTCACGTCTCAAAAACGTGTAAAATAAATATTTGAAAAATCTTCAAGTTAATAATTACAAACAAATTTTATGTTACAAATATTCTCAAAACTTTAATTAATAAAATTTTTTGAAAAAAAATAGAAAATAATTAAGTATTAATTTTAAGAATTTAAAGAATTTTTAAGAACTTTTTTTTAATTTAAATTTCTTCTATTTTATTAAACCAAATACTCCAAAAGATATAAATAAATAATATTAGACCTATACTCAAACGTCTTTTTTCTATCCATCTTATTTGTTATATTTAAAAAAAGTAAAATTATTTTTTCTCATTATCTAAAAAACAGCTGTCTATACTTAACGAACGAAATAATATACTCGCCCGTCTTCCAGATACTCGATTTTATCTTGAACGAGCGAAATAATCTATTTTTCTTATTTTGCCCGTCTTCTAAAACACATTCATTTCGACGAGCGAAATAGCCACTCCGTTTAATTATTTACCAAAAAATTTAGTTCAATTTAGCCAAAAATTTAATTTTTAAATATTTTAATGCGAATTAGTAAAAAAACGGACAAAAATTAAATTTTCAAAGATTTTGGTTCTAATCTGCGATAAATTAAATTATTTCTAAAAAAAATTTTTATTATCGGTTAAAAATTTCATTATTTTACAAAAAATCAATTATTTTTCAAAATTATAATTATAAATTGCTCAAAAAGTTTGTGAAAAAAATTTCAATGAATATCAGGCAAAAATTTGAATATTTTCCAAATTTTCAATAAAAATACCAAAAAAAAAAAAAAATTCAATTTAAAATACTTTAAAATTTAATTATTTTCAAAATTTTCCATCTAAAACTTTTTCGAAATTTAATAATTTTAATATGAATTTCCAAAATTCAATTATTTTTCAAAATATTTTATAATATTCTTCGAAAATTCAATTATCTGAAAGCAATTTTTAATATTAGAAAATTTTTAAGTTCCATTTTTGTCTGTAATTTCTAATAAATTCTTCATTATATTAAAAATTTCAATTAAAAATCACTTGAATTTCAATTAATTTCGAAAATCTGAATTCTAAATCATTTAATATTCAATTACTTTAAAAAATTTTATCTAAAATTATTTGATAAATTATTTTCAGTTCTGAAAAATTTAATTACTGTCTGAAATTTAACAAAATTTTTTAAAATTTAATTATTTTTAAAAAATTTCAACATTAACTCTTTCAAAATTCAATTATTTAAAAAATTTTAAATAAAAACTCAAAGATTTAATTATTGTCATCAAAAATTAAAAAAAAAAAAAAAAAAAAAAAAACTACAGTTGTTGAAATTTGCAAAAAATTTATTTCAAATTTAATCAGACTTGAAAAAATTATATTGTGAAATAGAATTAAATTTTCTTGATAATATTCTTGTAGAATTATTCTCATTACAGAATTAATAAAATGAATTTAATATCTAATTAGTTATTTAAAGAAAAATATTCATTAACCAATTAAAATTTTTTAAAAATAAAATAAATCGACTTTTTTTGGAATATAAATCGACTGAAACGACTTTTTTTGTGCCTTAAAGGCAATCCGAGAGGCCTGTTATTGTTTTTTTTTTATTAATTATTTCTTTAATTTTAGCTCGCGTGCTTGTGTGGAAGCACTGCGTGCAGCTTTTGTTGCTCGCAATGTCCAACATGTCGAAATAGTACGAGTACAAGAATAATGTACGCATTAATGCTAATGCTTGGAACAATTGCAGCTTGTATTACATTGGCCCCGAGTCTTCAAGATTTACTTAAAAAGGTAATTAAGAATTAGAAATAAAAATTAGAAGTTTTTTTTTATTATTATCATACAGATAAATGAGTCAATGAAAACTTTTAATATGTATATATTTTTTTAATCCTTAATTTTTATTCTTCAGGTGCCATTCTGTGCAAACAGTACTAATTACGTTCCTTCTTCATTTACCTTCGATTGTCAATCAGCTATTGGATATTTAGCAGTCTATCGAATATGTTTTGTTCTCACACTTTTCTTCTTTCTTATGTCAGTGATGATGCTTCGAGTTCGAACCTCAAAAGATCCTCGAGCTCCTATTCAAAATGGGTTATTATTCTCTCTAATTATTTTTAAAAAAAATTTATTAATTTGAAATCCATTAAATAAATATATATTATTTAATTGAATTTATATTAGTTAAATTAAAATTTTATTTTTTACAATTAGATTTTGGTTTTAAATTTTATGGTAAATTATTTTTTAAAATTATTACAAAATTATTGCAAATTATTAAAAACAAAATTATATTAAAAAAACTTAAGTACCATTGTATTTTAAAAAAAGAATAATTTTTCTAGTTTTTGGGCGATTAAATATTTATTGGTGATTGGCGGAATAATTGGAGCGTTCTTTATTCGTGAGGGTTCATTCGGTCCAACATGGATGTATTTTGGAATGATAGGAGGATTTCTATTCATTATGATACAATTAATTTTAATTGTCGATTTTGCACACACTTGGGCAGACGCTTGGGTGGGAAATTATGAAGAAACTGAATCCAAAGGCTGGTAAGTAAAAAAAAAGAACAAATTAATAATAACAAAAAATAATACAAAAAAAAATTAATACTTGTCCCAAAATTAGTTGCCTTTTCATTTTTTCTTTTTTTTTTGTTATATCTAAAAATTATTTTTAGGTACGCTGCCTTGCTTGGTGCTACTTTCTTGAATTATGCACTTTCAATCACGGGAATTGTTTTACTTTACGTCTACTTCACCTTGGTAAGATTTTGATAATTTAATTAAGATAAAATTCTTCACAGTTTTTCAGATCAATTCTTCCTATTCAATTATTTGAAAACCCGTAATTAAAATTCTTTAAAAACTATTAAATTAATTTTCAAAATATTAATAAAATTTTTAAATAATTCAATAATTTTAAATACATAAAAATTAAAATTATTGGAAATTCAATTTGTCAAAAAAAAATTGCGAAATTAAACGCTCTTCAATAATTTTAATTTCGTTTCAAAAATTGCAATTCAAATTCTTGGAAAATTCAATTATTTTCATTTAAACAATCATAAATTCAATTATCTTCAAAATTTTCCATTAAAATCCTTGAAAAATCTGATAACTTTTAAATCTTCAATTAAAATTCTTTGACAATTACATTTTTTTAAAAACTAAATACTAAGTTTCATTTTTTTTTTAAATTCCTCATCAATTTCAGCGACATAATTTCAAAAATACCTGTAAAAATTGTTCAAAAATCAAATTACTTAAATTCTAAATCACAATTCTTTAAAAAGTCAATTGCTTCAAAAATTTTTATTTAAGATTCTTTAAAATTCAGTTATTTTAAAAAAATCTCAATTATAATTCTTAGATTGTGAAATTAATTTGTAAACAATCTCAACTGTAATTCTTACACGGAAAAAAAAAATTTTTTATCTGGAACAGCGATATTTTTCTCTAGAATTTAAAAAACTTTCACTGTTTTAGTGAAACATATCGCTGTTCAAGGTGAAGATTTTTTTTCGTGTAAAATGTTAAATTAATTTGACAATTTTCAATTAAAAGGTGTTTGATTACTCAATTATTTTCAAACTGACGAATTGAAATTAAAAAAAATTCAATTATTATTTTCAAAAATTTTAAGTTCAGCTCATTAAAAAATTAATTATTTTCAAAAATTCCAATTAAAAGTTTTTGATGATTTATTTATTTATTATCAGGGAAAATTCGAGGAATTTCTTTAATTTTCTGAAATTTTTTATAAATAAATTTTAAGTAACTATTAATTTCAAAAATTTTTGTTACTTTTTTCCTAAAGCAAATGCAAATTAAAACGTTGACCTTCACACTCAATTATTAAGCATCTGATATATCTTATGTAAATAATTATTTACTACTATTTATTGAATTTAATAAATGATTTTTTAAACTTGGATAACAATTTTTTTCAGTGAAATATTTGGTTTGCTAATATAAATAAAAATTATTTGATACAATTTTATTTTATCGGTTCAACTTCAAATAAAGTAAATTATTCATTAATACGAATAATTTATTATTTAATTCAAAATCAATTAAAAATCCAATAATTATCCAAAATTTTCAATTTAAAATTTAATTATTTACCAAGTTTTCAGTTTAAAATGAAATAAAATTCAATTATTTTCAAAAATTTCTATTCAAAACTAATTATCCAAATTTTCAATCAAAAATGAACTTAAATTAAATTATTATCCAAAATTTCAATTAAAATTCAATTATTTCCCAAAATTTTCAATTCAATATGAAATGAAATTCAAATAATTTTCCAAATTTAAAATCAAATAAAATTTCATTATTCTCAAAAATTTGAATTCAAAATTAATTGAATTTTCAATAATTTAAATTTAAAAGCATCTAAAATTTAATTATTTCTAAAATTTTCCATCGAAAATTCTTTTTTTGAAATTTAATAATTTCAATTAAAACTCTAAGGAAATTCAATTATTTTTAACTATTTTAATAATATTCTTTGAAAATTCAACTATATGCAACCATTTTTCAATTAAAAATGATTTTCAAATTATTGTTTTTTTAAATTAATATAATTTCAATTCAACAAAATTTATGTCTATAAAAATTGACAAAAGTAACTAGGTAAAATTTTTCTTAAATGAGAAATCTGTTAAATAAGAATTAGTTCGAATTAAAATTTTCTTTAATAAAAACTTTGTTAATTAAGAATTTTGTTAAATAGAAATTCTATTAATTGTGGATTTATTCAATGACAATTCTGTTAAGTAAATATTTTGATAAAACGAAATTTACTAAAATAACAATTCTGTTAAAAAAAATTGTTCTTTATGCAATTTTTCTTGACATAAATTCCGTTAAATTGAAATTGTATTAATTTAAAATTCGACGTAATAGAAAATCTGCTTCATATAAATTTTACTAAATAAAAATTTGATAATTTAAGATTTGACGCCGTAAAAATTCTTTTAAATTAAATGTTGAGAATATTTATACGTCCCCAATTAATTTATTTATTTCACTTAAATATTTTATTTTTTACGAAACATTATTTATTTGGTTCAAATACATATGAAATTAGTGGATAATAGACGCAGGTAAATGATTTAATTGTATCAAAATAAATTTTATTTGATCAAAATAAAAATTTTTTAGTGTAATTTAGATTAGGGAAAAGTCGGGGAACTTTTTTCCTATCTGTTCTTAGACACCCTGATATTATTATTAATAGAAAATTTTATTTTTCAGCCACATGATTGCGCTCTGAATAAATTCTTCATTTCCTTCAATTTGATTCTCTGCGTTATTTCAAGCGCCATTTCGATTTTACCAAGTGTTCAGGAAAATCAACCTCGTTCTGGCCTTTTGCAATCGTCAATTGTCACTTTATACGTCATCTACTTGACCTGGAGCGGTGTTTCAAATAGTCCAGGTAAATTGTTCATTAATAAAAAAAAAGTCGAAAAAAATAATATAAATAATTTGGTTATTAATTTAAATTTATATTTAGAACACAATTTTTTGTATATTTAAATTCCAAAGTTGTAATTTTAATGAAATTATAGATGTTATATTTTTCCATTGATCGAAAATTTAAAAAAAAAAATCAAAAGGTGTAAATTAATAGATTTTCTTTTTTTAAATTTATTTATTTTCTCTTTCTAGTTTTTTTATAATTTAATTCTGGAGTTTAAAATCAGATTCTAATAATTGTAATGTTTTTTCTTTTTTTTTTTGCTAGATCATGTCTGCAATCCAGGAATGCTTGGAATTATAAGTGACAAAGATATTTCCGCTCAAAATAAAATTGCATTCGATAAAGAAAGTGTAATTGGTCTTATAATTTGGTTCAGTTGCGTTCTCTACAGTTCATTGCGCACTGCTTCGAAATCATCAAAAATAACAATGTCCGACACTGTACTCGCCAAGGATACTGGGGCTGGTAAATATCAATTATTATTATTATTATTATTCTTTGTATGTAAATAAGCTTGATTTTTTCCCCTCCCTCTGAATTATTACTTTACTTTTTCTGTTTAAAGTGTTTTCTATATTTACTAAATCTTGTTTCAAATAGTTTTTTTTTAATGGACAAATGTGTATTTTAAATAATTTGTCCTTTCTTTTATCGACTAAACATGAATTTTTCCATACAGTTCAAAACAAGGATTCATCGCTTATTGACAATGAAGGTACGCACACATATAAATCATTAAAATCATGATTCACGATTCTATTCCAATATTTTATACCAATCCTGTGATATTTTTTTTTTTATTATTTTTTCCCTGGTTTAGAATTAGTGTGCCTGCTTTCATTGTTTTCTTTAGTATTTGGATGTGGAATCGTTAATCATTAATAAAATTTTATTCATTAACTTCTTTTTTGTTGTTATATATATTTTTTTTGTCTATAAATTCTATATTTATTTGTTTATCTTTATATCTTGTTTATTTCTATATTTTTTTGTTGCTTTATTTTGTTATTTTCTCCCTTTTTTTTCCAATGTATTTAGATTATGTTTCAGTAGAAGGTCGCAATGGAGACGTCGAGGGTAATGAGGCCAAAGTCTGGGACAATGAAGAAAACACAGTCGCTTACAATTGGAGTTTTTTCCATTTGATGTTTGCCCTGGCAACTTTGTACGTGATGATGACTCTCACAAATTGGTACAAGTACGTATCTTTATCATTTTTTTTTTTTTCAGAAAAAAAATCATTGATGTTAATTCGAATTAATAAACAAAATATAGGCTTCGCATTTACTAAAAGCTAAATAATATTGTTTTTTTTCAAAAATAGTTTTTATTCTATTTTTCAATTTTTTTAAAGGCCAAATTCATCACTGGAAACATTGAATTCAAACACAGCATCCATGTGGGTGAAAATAATATCATCATGGCTGTGTCTCGCACTTTACAATTGGTCACTCGTTGCTCCAGCACTTCTGCCGAATCGTGATTTTTCTTAAAGTGATGAAAAATATAATTAATTTTTAAAATTTTTGTTTTACAAAAAAGGTATGAGATTTTCTTTCTACTGCGCGCGTATTTTATATTTGCAAAACAGAAACAAACAAAATTCTAACTGCGAAATAATTAAGACGACAAATAATATTAGCGTATATATATATATATAATCAACAGCAGTTGATAACGTCGAATTGAATAGTATAATATATTTTTACTGTTAGTAACTAGTCAATTGACAAATTCAAAAAAAAAATTTACGTTTATTTGTAACGTCCATTTTGCAGGTAAGATTTAATGCATCGCTGCGCGCTTTGAATGTACAATTAAACTTTAATAACACGAATCACCAAAAAAGGCAAAAAATTAATTAAATTTGTAATTATTTTAATAATCTATTTATTAAAATAATCTCTGTTAAATAATTTAATTTTGTTAGCCTACAATTATTTAGATAATAAATAATAAAATATTTATAATTAGAGAAATTGAAGTTTCAAATTCGCGAGTTATCAAAGTTTAATTGTACATTTAAAAATTCAATTAAAGAATCCTTAATAATTAGTAAAAATTATATATATATATATAATTATATATGATAGTATTTAAAAAACTGGAGATTAATATCGTTCAATCTTCAAATGCATTTTAAGATACGATAAATTTTATTTTACATATATATATGAAAATATTTTAATTTGAATTATTCATGTTTTTGAAATTGTAAACATTTTTATTTTTCAAATAAATTTAATTAAAAACGGAAAATAATTTTCAACTTCAAAATATAATTATTGTAAAATATTTTAGTTACAAATTTTTATTTTTCGATAAAAATTAAAAACCGAAAATAAGTTATTATAGAGTTAAAAAAAATAAAGTAAAAAACCGAATATAAAAATATACAAATTATTATTTGCAATAAAAGAAATTTTAGTTTACAATTTCAAAGGCATTAATTATTCCATAATAGAATAATATTAAGTAGTTTTAAAATAATCTCTGAATTTTCATAGAAAGAAAAACAATTTTCTTTCAAAGTTACCTTAAATATTTATCCGATCTTCTATTATATATAAATAATAATAATTGGAAATAATTTTCCATAAAATTATCATTTTTCTTCAATTTAATCTGAAAATTGAAACTTATTTGGATTTAGAAAAAAAAAAATACATAAAAGACTAATTTAAATATTATTTTAAGGGGTAAAAAATAATTTTCTTTGCTAACTTGAATGTTTTTCAATTTTACATATATAAGTAAATCGAAAAAATTCATTTTAAGTTCTACGTGTAAACTTAATAAAAAATATTCAGAGAATGTATTTTCTCTTGTGATAAACGAATTCAGTCGAATAAGTTTGTGTATTTAAATTAAAAAACTCTGTATTGTCGAATTTTCCTACAATAAAGAAATTAAAGAACAAATGGAACTATTTGGGAAAATTTTTAATTTCACAAAATTTTAATTTCAAAATAGATAAAAGAAAATTTTAATTTATTCATTAATTTAATTAAAAAAAATTTTTTTCACATTTTCGTTTTATTGTTTTATTATTTATTTTTGAAAACTGAAATTTGTACAAATGGATTTTTTTTTAAGCGAATATGTTATTTCGCTTTTAAAGTACACAAGTTTTTTACAAAATACAAAGTAATTTTTTTTTTGTTTTCTTAGAAATAATGTACTACTTATTATAATATTATTTACAGGATTCATAAAAAAAAATTGAGCGATTACAAAGAATATAAATAATTTCTTAGCTATCATATACATTGTATATGAAGGCAAGCATTTGCACTTCCCTAAATCCGGACTTCTAAAGTCATGGATACTATTTACAAAAGTCATGAAACTGGAATTCAAAAAGAAAACCAGAATTTTTAATTCTTATTTAACTAAAAAGACTAAACATTCTATTTATTATATAAAAAGTAATAAAAATGCACAGCTTAAGCGTCAGTTTTAAAATACAGAAAATCACTCTTCTTTTTTTTGGAATTCTTTTTTTTAAATTCTAAAAAATAGATTTTTGTTTAAAACTGAATTTTTCCAGAAATATTTCAAATCAAAAACTAAAATTCAAGCATATTCTAGAATTATAATTTTATTCTATTTTTGATGATTTTTCAGCTTTTGATGATTTCGATTTCTTCAAAAGAATTGTTTTTATATTTTGAAATGGTAAATCAAAGAATAGAGTTAAAATAGCTGCCGTAAAAATAATCCACAATAATTCCTTGAAACTTAACTGTAAAAAGAAAAATTAAATTAATTTATTAATTTCAAAAAAATTAAAAAATTTTTATAATTTAAAAATACTGACAATCATTCTAAAGAAACCATAATTTTCGGCAGTTCTTGTTTGACCGACATTATAAAAGAAAACTGGAAATTGCGTCAAATAAATTGCATAACTTAATCGTGTTGTTATTAAAAATCCTTTCCAGGCAAATAATTTACTGATCCAACCTGTGAAAGTGAAAAAGAAAAATTAATTTTGTTTTTTTTTTGATTTAATTATTAATTTATTTTTATCGTTTCGTAATTATTTTATCCTTGATTTTATTAACTTACTATTTGTATTTCCAGTGTGTGATACAAAGGCCAACCATCCAAAGAGAGCACACCATCCAATTGGAGCAAATGCATTATAAGTCGCAGCATGCACAGGATTGTAAATATAATCAATGGCCCCCATAGGTGCCGGACCAATGAAAGCTGCCAGGCATAATAAACTACTCAAAGTCCATCCTACGTAAGTAAATTTCTAAAAAAAAAAAATTGATTGATTAAAAATTATTACAAATATTTTCAAATTTAAACCGCGAAAAAATATAAAATTTTGCTTATTATACTTTTAATTGAATTATTATTTAATTATTAATTTAATTACTATTTAACTATTAATTAATAACTATTTAGTTATTAATTAATTACTATTTAATTATTAATTAATTAAATTAATAATTATATAACAAAAACTGTTAAATAATTTATTTTTTGAACCTGATTTAATTTGAAGCCTTTGGGATAATTTCTGAGCAAATAACCCAAGAAAATTCCAATAATATAAACCGTAAGTCGGTGAGATGGGAGAATATAGGACAAATTTGCAGTGTCAAACAATTGTCGAATTCTGAAATTAAAATCAATTTTTTTTTTTTTTGTAAATTAAATATCAATATTTTTAATTTCAATGCAAAGAAATTAATTAATCGTCTATTTTAAATTATTACTATTGAAAAAAATTACTCACGATGTTCCAAAAAAGACATAATTATTTAATCTTCTAAAATACGTTACGTAATAACGTAAAAATGTTGAAAATACAGCAATTATTGTTAAAATTATTGCTCCAATTTTTGGTTTTTTATAAAGTAAAATAATAAATAATGGCGATATTGCAAATAATTGTGTGTCAATTCCCAAATGATGTGTGTGCGTTAGACACTGTAATAGAAAAATAATATTATTAAATATTAATGATAATAATTTTTTTTTTTAGAAAACAATTTCAAAATTGGAAAAAAATAATTTTTCTATATTATACAAAAATAAAAATCAAATAATTACCATATTCTCAAAGCCAAAATAATTGTGAATAAAAAGAAAATTTCTCCACCAGGTTTTTTTGCAAATATCTGCATGATGGGTTACAACTAAATTCCATTGTGGTCCTGATCCAATGAATGGCATTATATACGTGCAGAATAATATAAGAGCACCAAGAGTTGGAACCAATCTAAAGGTAAAAGAAATTTTTTTAATATACAATTTTTAATAAATAATTCCATAAGTTAATTCATTAATTTTTAATTTACAATTAAATTTATATTTTAATTTAAATTCTGTTTTAATAAAAATTATAAAAATCTTACAATTTTTATTATTAATTTAATTATTAACTAGGTAGAATTATTAATTATTATTAATTCAGTATTTAATTATTAATTAGGCATTTAATTATAATTCAGTATTTAATTAATAATTAGGCATTTAATTATAATTCAGTATTTAATTAATTATTTCCACCTCATTAATCTTGATATATATTCATTAGAAATATTGAGTTTTCCATTTCGATTTAATCGTCCAATAAATGAATAACTCGTCAATAATCCAGATATCATTATAAATGGATCTGTATAAAGACTTGCGGCACGTCCCAAAACAGTCCACGGTTTTCCTAAAAACTAATTAATTTAATTAGATTTCAATTATTTAATTAGATAAAATTATCTTTTATAAAGAAAAATTAATTTAAACGCAAAAAAAAAAAAATACTTTTCCACACCTCTGACATTTCTGTTCTATTTGCATAGGGATTGAAAAAGAGTGCCATACTTTTGTGAGCGACAATCAACATTAATGCATTTAACGCTCGAATTCCATGAAGTGTTCCTATATCACCATCCGATCGATTCGTTGAAAAAAGTTTTTCCAAATTTTGTTTCAATGAAAATGCTTGTACAATATTATTCGTTGGAATATCATAATGATCACAAATTCCTGCCATCATTGAAAATGCCAGTATTCCAAGGAAAAAAAGCCTGTGAGTTTTTAAGAATTTATTTATTTTCTTTATTTTAATTATTTAATTTATTATTGTTATTTGAAAACAAAAATGTTTAGTAATTACTTTTTTTTTTGAAAATTTAAAACAAAATTTTAAATTATTAGATTTAATTTTTTGTTTGGTTTTGTTTATAAGTGAAATTTTTTTTTCTAATTTTGATAATAAATTAAAAATTGAGAAAATCACCCCACGATAATTGTTTCCTTTGTATATGATTCGGTTCGTTGAATTTGACACATTTCACGATCGACTTTAACAGAAATCTTAAAGCCAGTTTGCGATGCATAATTTGTTATTGCATGTCGTAAAGATGATTCAACATCATGAGGTGAACACGCAGCTGGCGTACATATCGCCCAATTTATTGTACTAAAACGTGGTACCCGATGTCCTGGCTGCAATTGTGAAACAATTATTATTTTCTTTTTATTTTACATTCAAAAAAAAAAAACCTTTTGATTTTCAATTTATTTACAAAATTTCCATATTTAGAATGTTATTTAAAACATTGTTTTTAAAAAAAATTTACATTTACATAATTTACATCTTCGAAAATTGAATTATTAAATGAATATTAACTAGAATATATCTCAAAATTAATTATATTCAATAATTTAAATTCGCTTTAAAAATTCTATTATTTAAAATATTTTTGAAATAAAAGTTCTTTTAATTAAAAAAAAAATTTTAATCTTCTGAAATTCGGGAAAAATTTAACTTTAAATAATTTTAAAAAAAAAATTAAATGAAAAAAAAGTTTAATTATTTCAAAAATTGAAATCGTAATAGAAACGTTGGATTCAAAAAGTGCGTGTTAAATGAGAGAAATTATATCTGACACTTTTATTTTCCTCTTAGATTATAATAAACTTTATAATTTTCTTTATTTTTAGTTTCTTTTTCTTTTTTTTTCTTGTTTATTTGAATTCACTTTTATTTTTTGCATACTTCTGGAATCTTGTTATTAAAAGCGTTTTTCCTTTATTCCTGATGGCATAAATAGTGACTATTTAATTTTATATTCTAGTTGCATTCCTCTGCGACACGGTTACAAACGCAAAAAGAATCTTTTGTCTCTTCATTGAAAATTCATTTGCGTACTTACATTTGTTCTTGAAAACTTTTTAACTTGTTATGCTACCGATTATGGAATCTTTATTTTCAAATCTCGACTGAATGAAAACTTAAATTATTGCATTCATTTTTCCAGTCTTTTGTTTTGCATTTTCTTTTTACTTTATAAAAACGTTTTATAAAAAAAAAAGTTTTTTTTATACAGAAAGTAATAGAAAATCCTTTTTTTTATTTCATATTCTATTTTGTATTTATTATTAATTATTGAATAATTAATTAATGTAATTTATGTTAATATAATTTAAATCTATTACAATTATAATTTATTAATTATTAATAATATTAATTAATAAATAATTAAAAAGTAAAAAATATAAATAATAAATTATCAATTAATTGTAATTTATTTACTATTATAATAATTAAAAATTTGCTGATTTTATTTCAACTTACGTCGGAAAAATTACTTCTGAAAGCATAATGCGAATGAAGAAGTCGATGAAGATATTTGAGATCAGGACGTGATTGATCGAAATCCAATTGTAAATAGGCTAGGCAATATTGTCCTCGGATTCCCTCGCTTCCCTCAATTCCAATACATTCGTCAAAATCGCCAAATTGATTAACGTTTCCATTTAAAAGTCCCGATGGCATTTTTGCCGTTGCATCGTACACTTGAAAATTAAACAAATACAACATTTAAAAAATCTCACAATTAATGATAAAATAATAATGATTTTTTTTAAATGTATTTTTAATAAAGAAAAGAAAATTTGTAAACATTTTTATTTAGGAAAATTGAATAAAAAAATTTACATACCCCATTAATTTTAGAATCAAAGAATTATAGTTGAAATTTTTTGAAAGTAATTGAAATTTTAAAAACATTGATTGAAAATTTTGTAAGTAATTGGATTTTTTGAAAATTAAATTTCGAAAAAATTATAGATGGAATTCTTTAAAACTAATTAAATTTTTCAAGACAGATTTAATTGAAATTATTTTAAAGAATTGAATCATCAAAAACTTTAAATTGAAATATTTTTGAAAATAATTAATTTTTTAATGAGCTCAACATGAAATGTTGGAAAATAATAATTGGATTTTTAAATTTTAATTCATTGGTTTGAAAATAATTGAAAGATCTTAAAGATCTTAATTTTTGAAAATAATTGAATTTTGAAAGGCAATGATTGAAAATATTTTTAAATAATTAAATTTTTAAGGAATTTTAATTGAAAACTTTTAAAGCAATTGAGTATTCGAAGAATTGTATTTTTGAAGTATTTCAATTCAAAATTATTAATGTGCTTTTAATTTTGCAATTCTTTGAAAGTAATTGAAATCTCGAAGATTTTAAACTAACATTTTTGAAAATATATAAAAAAATATTAAAAATAAAATATTTTTTAAGATTAATTACATTTTTCAAGAGAATTAATTGAAATTATTTTAATAATTCTTTAAATAATTGAATTTTCAAAGAATTTTAATTGCAATTTTTTGAAATTTATTGAATTTCCATAAATTTTAATTTAAAATGTTTAAAATATTTGAATCATTTGGAAATTTTATTAATATTTAAAAAAAATAATAATTTTTAAATGATTTTACGGAAAGTTTTTCAAATAATTGAATTAAGATAATTTGTCTGAACAACCGTGAAGACTTTTATCTTAATTAATTAATTATCAATTAATAGACTTAAAATCTGCATAATTCTGGCAATTTTTTTTTACATTTATTTAAAAAAAAAGTTGCATTTAGTAGCTTCTGATGAAAATTATTATTAAAAAAGTTGCTCTGCGCAAAAAATATTAAAAAACTAAAAAAAGTATACTTCGAAGCCTGAAGTATTAAAAAAAAAAAAAATTCTCTTATAATCTTGTTAAATATTTGTTTTTTCACATTGCAGAATGTTTTTTTTTTTCTCTCTCAATTCCGAAATAATTTCCAACTTGAGTAGAGAAATCGTCGAAAGAAGAGAATTTGAATCTGAATTCTTTTGTTGCCAAATACTGAATGGAATATTGAAGGATATGACGTTTCTTCAAACATTAACGACATTTTCTCAACTTGTGTACAATAACACAAATTTCATGCAAGGTAATAATTATTTATTATTATAATGTAATTAGCTCGATTCAAAATTTTTGCCAAGTGTTTTTTTTTTTGTCAAGGTCAATTTTTTTTACTAGTCATTAGCGTTTCTCTATAATATTCATTATGGTCTAATAATTACAATTTGCATCTAATAATTAATCTTTAATTTCGCGAAGAATGATATTTGAAAAAAAAAAACATTCATCAAAAGTCGTTTTACAATTTTTTTTTTTTGCTTCTTTTAAAACACGAGTAAAAAATGTTTCATTTCCGCAAGAGAAAAAAAGGGGATATAAAAATTAATTTAAATATTTAGTTTTTTTTTCTTCTACTCACTCTTAAGAGCCCATAAACTGAATTTGTTTAATTCCCGGTGAAAAATATTCGATTGTCTTTTACATTCAGGACTAACGTCTCCAGCGCCGGGATCAAAGGCTGGAACAATTTGCAATAGTCTTCGCGCCTCTTGATCAATCTCCTCGCTAAAATCATCTGCAAAAAAAAGGAAATTTGCATATATTTAATTGCAACGCTTTTTTAATAAAAAAAAAAAACGCCGTTTCTCTTAAATTCGTAATATTTCTCTCTTTTTTCTCAATTTAAAAAAAATTGTACCAAAATTTTTTTTTTTAATTCGTTTAATAATTTTTTTTTGTTTTTTTCTTACGCGAAAAAAAGAATTGCTTCATAAAAACAAATTGTCGCTGTTTTTATTTAAATCAATGAAATATTTATTAATTTCACAATTTCTCTTACAATATTATTATTTCAATGTTCTTTTTTTTTTGCTTTTTTTGCACTTTTTAAAATGAGGTAAATGAGTTATAATAAACTTCATTACGTGATTTATTTGCTTTTACGGTGCTAACAAAGTATTTAAAAAAAAGTTTATTGGTATTTTTATTATACAGATATATATTGATGTCATGCAACTAAAAAAAAATAATATATAAAAAATTCTTCGACACTTTTTACATTAAATAATATTTTGAAAATTAACTACATTTTTTTTTTTTTTTTTTTAAAGAATCACTGAAATGAAAAAGTAAATAATGAGTGAAAAGTTCAGTTCAAATGTCAATTGCTCTTGCAATCTCGTTTAAATGGACATATGTGTCGTTTGCGAAATTATAATTGAATTCCAATTTCGTTTCTCTTTATCGACTTGGAAATAATAGAAACTTTATGAAACAGTTTCGAAATTTTTTAAGTAGTCACCACAAATTCGCGGTAAAGAGAGAATTTTAATAAAAAAATTTCGATTTTCAGTGACAAAATTTAATTTTTTGAAATTCTTTTCTCTCTTTCAAAAAAAAAATTCTTTTTTTTTCTTAAATCTCGCGTCAAGGTTAAAATCAGTTGCAGTCCAGAATATTCGAAATTTGCATAATCAGAAAAAAAAAAGTTCTAAACATGATTCTGGTTTCCCCGCTTTTTTTTATATAGATTTGCATCTCTGTCGGTTCACAAGATTTAATTACAAAAGTTACTTTGTAGAAATGAAAAAAGAAAAATATTACAATGATTCGAAAATTATATAAAAAGATTAAAATACTTTTTTTTGGGGGTGCGGGTATAATTTATTATTATAAAAAAATTTTTTATCTAGTTGAAAAGTATTATGTCGCAAGATATAAATTTATTAGTGTAATTTTGAATTAATTGAAAGTTAAGAAATTGAAAGTAAACTCATTTTCGAATATGAAATTTCCAAGGTTATAATTTTCTTCTTTCTCTGAGTAAAAAACTAAAAAAAAGAAAAGAAAATACGAACGATAAAATTACAAAATTTGTTTTAAATTAATTCCAATTTTTGAAAAAAACGATTTTTTCTTCAATAAATTATTTTAATTTATTTTTTTTTAAGTAATTATTACTAAATCTGTTAATTTTGTTAATAAATCTTTATTAAAGTTGTCAACCTTCAGTTCTTTTTTCCCTAATAAAGATGAATAATTTTTAACTCATCCAATTTCATATATAGCGTTGACCTTATGACGTAAAAATAATTTCAATTCACTTATATTTTTTGGCTATTAAATATAAATATACGAAAGGGCTTGTCCCGTTTATTACGAAATAAATTAAAATATATAGAAAGTTTTAAAAACCTAATTGGGATTATTTTGAAACACAATGAAAAATTAACTTTAGTTTTATTTATACAAAAAAGTTTGTTTTTTTTTAAATTCAAATTTCTTTTCGATTAAAAAAGTTTTTAATTTTTCAAAAGAATTGGTTTTTTCTAATCATAAAATAATGGAAAATAAATTATTTTACGTTTTAGTTTCTGTTAATTGAAGCGTCAATGAAATTGTTCAGGAAATTGCATTAGAAAATAATAATAATAATAATAATAATAATAATAATAATAATAATAATAATAATAATAATAATAATAATAATAGATTCTGCAGCTTCCTATATTTGAAAAAGGTGCGAATTGTGGACTTAACTAATATAAATGTCAATATGTTCAACTGATTAAATTGAAGGTCAATGTCACTCTTAAAGATGATGCAAATTTATGAATTCGATTATAAAATCAAAAAAAAATTTTTTATGAAAAATATTTCATATTACACAAGTGATAGTTTTATAAATAAATAAACGATTTTCGAAAATTTTAAATGAAAAATTATTTTCAAAAATTTTTTAATTAAAAATTATTTTAATAAATAAATAAATTAATAAACAATGCAATAAAAATAAAATTCAAAATATATTCAACTATTTTTGTTCTTGTGCAAAATGAAGCAACAAAAACAAAAAAAAAAAAATATTTGAAATGTTACGCTTGACAGAGTAACTACTTGTAATGTTAAATAAGTTTTGAACTCTTTAAATGTAAGTTGCGTTTATTCGTGACAAATTGTCGTGCATGACATCATCAAAAAGAGGAAAAAAAAAAATTTTTTTTTTGCAAATTTTGTGCACGAACAAATTTTTCAGTTCTAGTAAAACGAATCTTGAATTCCAATTCAGATTTACAAACTAAAATTATACATTTTTTCAAATTAAAAAATTGAAATTAAAATAAAAATTAAAATTAAAAAAAAATAATGAATGAAAATTATTATACAAAATTTTGTTTTAGGAATAAATTTTTCTAACTCATTGATATTTAAATGTAAAATAATAACCTTCGCAGAATCTAAATAGAAAAGGTGAACGACTTTCAAATTCTTATTTTCGCGAAAATGATTAGAATTTAAATTGGCAGTAAATAACTATCAAAAAATTGAGAAATTTTTGTAGAATTAAAAAAAAATTAATTAATAAAAATGAGAGTAAAAAAAAAGTGAAAAGAAAAGTCCAACTAGTTTTATATCAACTTTGAAAGCATTGAACTCACCGTAATAAGGATTCGTTTTGTAAATATCATTATTTGTTGTCCATAAATTATCCTCAATTATTTCCGTATAATTTCTCAAATTATCAACAAGTTCAACAAATGTGAAATTTTCCGAAAATCCTTGCGATTTATTTTGTCCAATTATACGAAGAATTTCTTCATCTTCAATTGATGATGGTAAACCGGCCGATGTCAATAAATCGACAGTTTTTCCTTCAGTAAAAATAAGACTTTTTGAAATTACTAATAATAATAATATTTTCCCGAACGTCTCCATTTTTTAGACGTTCGGGTTTTTTTTCTTTATTTATTTTGAATAATTTTTTTTCTTTTTTTTTCAGGGAGAAAAAACACTCTTTTTTTTTTTTTGAAAGAAAATCTATTTTTTTTTTTTCTAAAAAATATTAAATTTTTTGCAGGATAAATTGGCGAGATTCAAAAATAAGTTGCACTGACGATGGAAAAGAAGAGAGTTCAAGTTTCGAAAAAAAAAAAAAAAAAATTGCTTTTCAAAAATTGAAATTTCACGGGTGTCTATTTGAAAGCACGTTTAACGAGCGACAACACAGAATGGTTCGAAAACCAACTCTGGCACCTGTCTTCACACACATGCTTTTTGATGATTCGGAAGGGGAAATCCGCGATACCCTCTCTCTCTTCAGATGTCAATTAAAATAATGTAATAATTTATTTATTACATTATTATTTATTGTTTCCTTAAATTGAAATGACAAATTTTTGTTTTCTTCAAAATCGAGAAAAATTTCAATACATTTTACAAGGTAATAATTTTTTTATTATTATTATTTCGAGGAGAAAATATTAATTTTTTTTTTTAAATTTCCCGCTATTTGAATTTAATTTACAACCAAATTTTGAAAAATAGAATTATTATGTTTTTTTAACAGAATTTATTCTGAAAAAATTTTTCAATTTATTATTTTATAATTGAATATTTAAAATTAAATATTAAATTAATATTAGATTAAAATTAAATATTAAATTAATATTAGATTAAAATTAAATATCAAATTAATATTAATAATTAATTTATGTTCTTTTTTTTTAGAATGAGAAAGGAATTCTTTTTCAAATCATTTGGGATTTCTCCCGTGGGTAAAAGAAGGAAAAAAAGAACAGTTTAGGTTTTTACACATATAAAAATGATTTATACTTTTAAATTGTTTTCCTCAATCTTTTTTAAACTATATCCTAAAAAAAAAAAGTTGATTTCCCGTTAACGAAAAAATTCTCTTGACTAACGGACTAGAAATTAAAATTAACATCTGATTCGTATTATTTGAATTAAATGCAAAAAAATTTAATTTTATTCTACACAATAAAATCATCTTATTTTATTATTCTTTTACAATTTTATTTAATTTTTTTTTTATTGAAACGATGAGAAAGAATCAGAAAATATAACAGGAATGCACCAAAATTAGTTACATTAGTCTGTCGAAATTATATATTTAGCTGCAAAAAACCGGTTGGGAAGTCAATAGCCTTTTCTTAATATTGAATGTAATTTGATAAATTTTTTTTTATTTTTATTTTTAAGGGATGAGGGATAAGAAAACTGGTTATTTTTGAAAAATATTACAATTAAGGTAAACCCTTTTATTTTTTTTCAGAATTTTAACTTAAATTTTGTACAATTTCAAATATTTATTTATTTATTTATTTATTATTAAATATGTAGATAATATCTGATATATAGATGGAAATTTAAATACAATTTATCATAAAGAATAATTTTTTTTTAAATTTCTATTTATATAAATGAAAATTAAATTATAAATTTTTTTTAAATATTTATAAATTGAGACAAATCTATTTTAACGGGACTTCTTTACTTGCGTCATCAATTTATTTATGATCGACAACAACGATTTTGAGGGGGGGAAAAAAAGAAAGATTAATTATTATCTCATCATTGCAAATGAATTAATATTGTAAATTTTATTTAATTTTCTTGTCATTTCAAAATTCTGTAAATTTTTTTTTCAAGTTGAAATTATTTCCTTTCAATTTCATACAATTATTACCTGGTAATAATAATAATAATAATAATAATAATAATAATAATAATAATAATAATAATAATAGTAATAATAATATTAATATAACTTGTTTAAATAGAAATGAATTACAAAATGTCATTTCATCCCAAAATGATTTCCACATATTTCCGCCATCTAAATATATATTTTCACAATAGAAATGTTTTTTTTTTCTATGTTGATTACAATTCTTTTTTGGTCGACCTTCACATCTTTCTCGCTCATCCTTGACCTAGACAACAGAGCATTAGAATGAAATCATAATTTTTTAAATCAATAATAACTTTCTTTTTTTTCTATAGAAAAGCATTTCACTGAAAATTTGCTTTTTGAAATTTCCTTTATTTTTTCTTTTTTTCCACTTTTAGTTATTTTCTTTAATTATTTATTTCTTTTTTGACTTTTTATCACTTTTAAGCAAAAAAAAATTTTTTCTTTATGTAATTAATTTTTTGTCAATATAAAATAATAATTAATTTAAAAATATTATTATTATTATTATTATTATTTTCGCGAAAATGATTAGAATTTAAATTGGCAGTAAATAACTATCAAAAAATTGAGAAATTTTTGTAGAATAAATAATTATTTTTATTATTTTTGTTAATAGATAAATAGTTTTGTTTTACTTATTTCTTTAGTTATTTATTTTCTTTATTTATTTCGTTAATTATTCATTTTCTTTAATTATTTATTTATTTTGTAAATTCAGCAAAAAAAAGAAAAGTTTCAATGAAAGTTGAAATGTCAATATTTCCTAATGCGTTTATGATGATTGATATAAAGTGTCAAGCATTGAGGGTCAGTAATAAAAGAAATTTCCAGTTATTTTTTTTTTTTTTTTTATCATCATAAATGAGAGAGGAATTGAAAATTCAAAGTCTCTTTCTTTTTACTGCAAGTATTTACATTGAATAACTTTTTTTTCAGTATTCAAGGAAAAAGACTTTGGATAGTACAAATTTGTATGAAGAAGGATAAAATTCTGAATTTCGAAAAAGAAGGTGGAAATTTTGAATAGCGAATTTTCAAAATAGAAAAAAATTTGTCTCTTTTTATTTTTTTTTGGGGTAAGCATTTTTATTTTTATTTTTCAATTTTAATTTTTTAATCTGCAAAATAATTTTAAATAATTTACTCATGAATGAGAATGAATATTGTGTGTAAATTTACGATTGAGAAAAGAAAAACGTCATAGTTTTAATAACTTGCAACATTTTTCACGCAATTAGAAATCAATGACACTTTTATGAATTCTAGCGAAATTATATACAAAAAAAATGTTTTAAATTTGTTTCATTTTATTGATGCAATAATTAATAATTAATAAATCTTATTTTTAATAAAATTTTCAATAAAATAGAAAATTGAAAATTTTAATTTTAACTTTAACTTTTTTTAAAAACAAATGAATTTTATTGAAAGTTGATACATTTTTTCCAAAAGCTTTCAATTTCATTTTTATTTATTTTTGTAAAAAAAAAACAATTTTCGATAACTTTTGTTTTTCTTCCTTTTATGTTTAGTTTATTAAATCAAGGGAAGGTCAGTGGAATAAATTATTTAATTATTTTCCACTTTTGACGAAAAATAATTGAGCAATTTATTTCACTAACCTTTTGTTCTTTCATAACTGAAGTCAATTAAATTTTGTTTTCAAATTTGTTTAAAAACTATTTTTTTTGTATTTTATTGTATAATTTATTTAATAAATGCAAAATTTAATAACGTTTACAATAGTTTGTAATGCGTTTATTATTATTTTTTTTTTGTTATAACTTATCATTCAATGAGAATATTCACAAAAACATGAGAGAAAATTTAAGTTTTAAAAATTAAAATACATATTTCAATATTAAAGATTAATTTTATTCAAATTTTAGTACGTGAATTAAATATTGAATTTTTTTTTCTATTACCATTTGAAATTATTATGATTATAAAAAATTAAAAATTATTTTCATTATGCATATAGAAATTCAATGCGCAAATAAAACGACCTTCTCGATTTAACGTCAATCGAGTCATGTGTTGCTTATTTTAATTAAATCTAAAGACTCACAGTGCATCCCAGATGAGATTTGTCTAATGTTGTTGAACTTAAATTAACAAAAGTTATTTTGCCATGAAACATTCAACGTTTACTCAAATCATTATCAAATTAAAATAGATATATTTTCCAAGATTTCCTTGTTAGAGAGAAGAAGAAGTTAATTTTTTTGTTACGCAATATGAGATAAATATTTAAAAAAAATTTTTTTTTTAATTATTATTATTATTATTATTATTAATTATTTTTTAAATTCAATTAATTAAAAATAAAATAAAGATTTACATCTTGAGAATTTTAATTAAATTGTAAATAAAATAAATTGAAAAATAATATTTAACATTAATTTGAAATATTGTTTTTGAAAAAAAAAAATTCTTTGTAAAAGACAAATATTTGAAAGCTAGTTGAAATGTTTAAATAAAAAACTATGAAATTTCAGTTTGTGAATTATATAATTTTGTGAGAATTAAAAAGTGTTCAAGGTTCGTGATAAAAATCCATCTCATTTTTGGGGACTATTATAATTCGATGAGACAAAAAAAAAAAAAAAATGATTGCAAAATATTTTTTTGTACAATTATAATGTCATTTTCTGAATTTCAATTTATCAAACTAGAGTCATTGTACTTTTAATGTATATAAAATTCCTCTTTTTATCTAGCAATAAACAATTTTATTGCGAGTACGTGAGATACATATTATGTATACTAAGTATTTTTTTTCTTTTATTTTAGAGAAAAAAAAAATAGAATTTAATATGCTTATTTAAAATTATGTCATTTTTATGACAATGATAAAATATTTCGAAATAACAGAAGGACAAACTTCCTTTTTTAAATGCAATTTTTATTTTCTATTTTCTAAGTTCAATTACCTGAGATTTTTTTGATTTTTTAATTTTTTATATTCCCACTGTCAAGAATATTAAAATTAATTGATTCGACAAAAATAAACAGGTTTTTGGGCCTTTTTTTACAGACCAACTGATTAAAATCTCCTTGACTGTTATTTAGTGGTTCAATCGTTTTTTTTAAATCTACATTTTCTATTCACGAATGCATCAGAAATAAAACGAAAAAAATATATATATATATTTTTTTAATCCTTAGGATATTATTATATTAGACATATTTTTTCTTTAAAAATTGACGTGTTCTTTTCAATGTAAAGTTAATAAAAAATAAAATAAAATAAAGATTTAATGGATGCAAAAAATCGTTCAGATGTCTGGCGTGAGTTTTCGGGATTAGTCGAGTCATCTTGTAAAGAAAAAAAAAAAAAAAAAAAATTTACCCACATTATGATTCATATATTCTTGTCGTAAAAATGTCTGGAAGAAATAAATTGATTGTATGGGGATCCCAAAAAATTTCTTGCAATCAAAATATTTTTTTTTTTTTTTGGTTTTATTTGCGGGTAAAAAAATTTTTTTTCCGTAATTATGCACAGTAGAACAAAAAAAGAAGCAAAAAAAACAAAAAAAAAAAAAAAAAAAGAAATGTGGAAAATGTAACAGAAAAAAAATTAATTTGTCGCAATTTTGAAGTGGAAAAAATTATTTTTGCATTGCAGTTTATATTTTAAATAGTTTATATAATGAACAAAAAAATAT